CGTTCATTTCTGTCATTTTGTTCATTTTTCTTGATATTTATATAAACAATATAAATATTTTTGTTTATTTGGTATTGTTGTTCTACAGACTTTGGAGTATACATGTAACATGTTTGTTTAAAAAATATTGTTTAATAAACATTATTATTCAGCATTTTAGTCATAATTAGTCATTGTACGAATACATTTTAAAAATACTTTTTCAATTAGGATTATTGTGTCTTCTAATGAGTGGATAAAATAAATATTTTGCATTATTATAGGTTACAAGTCAAAATATACAAGCATTGCTAAATGTATGATGTGGGTCCAAAAAGACCCAGCTTTCAAGTAACTATTTTAACGATAACCGTACGACCATTAACTGATAAATACAAAGTAACACAACCAGTGTCCACTTACTTTTGTCCCTCTATAATTGCACCTATTTTCCATTAAACACAATTTACGTGCACAAAAATGAAAACAGTACTATTTTGATTAATCTTCGACAATTTACTTCTGCCCCTTCCGGCCGTAGATACAGTTATGGACAAAAGTGGACCGATGATGAAAATGAATATCAATGAAATTTAATTACTGTAGCATCATAATTACGATACAGTAATTACTAGTTATTGGTCCACTTACTTCTGTCTCTCTGTAATTGTTTGATTTTTTGTTTAAACCTAATTTGGGTTTACACCGATTGTTAATATTCATTTTAATTGTTACTCAAATAATCTATATACTATAAGGATACATATTAACACTAGAATTACCAAACCAGTCAAAATGACCCATTCGTAATTTCTAATAAAACTTGCAAAAAATTTACTCGACTGAATTTTTGAAAAATCGTAATTTTCTATAAGAGAATCTATAAACACTTATTTCCATTGCATTATATATTTCTTCGCGTATCTATCGCTTCAATTTCTTTGGTACAAATAAACACACTATAATTGTCGGTAGTTCTAGTGTTAAATAAAACTAAAACATGTAATTGCAATGCTATATTAATTCATTGATATCCTTTTTCATTATCTGTCCACTTACTTTTGTCCCTGACTGTAGCTCTCCAAATATTTTCCGCGTAATTTAGCGCGCAACTGTACGCTCCCAGAGTCATTATACCCGCGTTTCACGGGAAACACCCTCGCGTGGTTGTTTCGCGTTGCATTTTCTTAATATCCCGCGCGTCGTACGAACATACAAAAGCGTGAAAGAAATAGCGGTTGACGCGCGACCGTCGTTCCTTGACCGTAGCCAGAGCAGATTGAAAGAGGAGAGCATCAATAAAACGCTGGTGCGCCGTGGCCAACTCCACTCCCATCACGGGCGAGAAGTATCGTAAGATCTCCGATGACGTCGTCCACCACGTAGCCGCGGCCGTCGTCGTGTGTCCCATGATCCCCTTGACGGAAGCTGCCCATTAGCCGAGCAATGATGATGCCAACGGACACCCAGGTCACCGGCAACTCAGCGTCCCGGTACCGAGCAGAGGCCGGCACTGACGATAGCTTTTGCTTCTCGATCGATCCCTCGAAGCGTCTCGACGCCCATCGTCGAACCCGAATCGCGATCGTTCGCCTCCTTCTGGCCTGAACCCTCCACCGTGAATTGACTTCCGTGTCGCACGGATGATCGAGCCATTCTACGCTTCCGGGCGTCGATCGAGAGCAACGGACCGAGAAGACGACGACCGCGTCTACGAGCGGACTCGGTGATTTTCACGGGTTCCGGTGGTTCTCCGGACGATCGTCCACCGGGAAATTCTCCGGGGCCATTCCAGCCCCGGGATTAGTCGACTTAACACGTTCACGGGCCCATGATCCGTGTACGAGTCGTGGCGCCTCGAATAGTTGCGTCTCGAATCGGAAAACGGGCAACATTGAAATTGATCCAATGCTTTTCTCGTTGATCAACGAAGGATTCTCGTGTAACAGCGTTAAAATTTTAATTTAAAGAGAAGAATTAAAAGTTCTATTGTACTAGACTTTTAGGGGCACGAAGAGAGACCCTTGACAAAAATATTTTTTTAATCTATTTTTTATTATCCTTTAATCCTATTCGACGATGTTAACCACAGTAGCATCTATCACATAGTGTCCATGATATCTCAGAATCTTCAATATTTGACCAATACTTGTCCAATTGGCTTAAAATTTTGGATGCACATTCAGTACATGTATGACCATAACCCGTACTAGAATCAACCCAAAATTTTTATTTCATCTTTCTTTAGACCCCCTAAATGCAAAACAAAAAACATGAAAAAATTCATGATGAAATAACTTTAAAGTGTTGCCATTTTTTTTTAATTAAGAATCTTTCATGTTTTTTCATTTCAAACAAACAGAATGGCCGAAATCATGGACACCGTGAGACTACGTTTTTTAAGAGCGACTATGTTTGAGAGTATGCATTGCCACCAATTTTATCTTTTTCTCTACAAGTAAACCTTGTTGACTGCAGAGAGTGTCATATTTATTCAAAAAAATTCTCCAAGAAAGTCTACAAAAATGCACTTCACACTAGAATAAAGCAACAGAACCTTCTTTTTCTTCGTGTAAAAAATACTTTAACCGTTGACTGCAGGAATCTTGGGAAACTAAACCGTGGACAGTATTGTCTGCGCGTATGTCACTGTTTCGGTACAGAGCACTGACATATACACAGAAAGGAACGTTTCTGTGAATCTCGTGCAAGCTCTAATATGTGTTCCAGTCCCAGGAAGTTGTGAGAATACAAAATAGTATACACTGTGTGTCATAACTATAAAACCAACCTACAATTTTCAATTTTATGTATATTCTTGTTGAAATTTGAAGAAACGAAATATCCCATATTTGAGAGCATGTTAGCAATCTATGTTTCCTTAGAAACATTTGAATTATATTTATTCTAAAAAAATGAACTACAGAAAACTGATTTGTTACTGTTTCATAACTGTAGAATCAAGCATTCGAATGTTGTTTTCTATCAATATTTTGTCAGTATTGTCTTGTCTAGTCTGTTAGAAGTGTGATAATATTAATTTCGTTAATAGTGTCACGTAGAAGTTATTTAAGAGAACAAGAAAATGGCAAAATTTTAGCCCAGACCATTTTTATGGGGTTTTTCTCTCTTTACGGGGTTGAAGAACAACTTTTCCAACATTCTTAGAATTTCTAAATATTTGTTACTAAAATACGCGTTGTTTCAATTTTGAAACATTAAAATCGTACGATCCGTCCAGAAGTTATGATGATTTAAACATACGCATGCGGACAAACATTTCTGGCCACACATATTTTCGGTAAAGAATTTTTTTCTCGAAACTACGTAGGATTTCTGGGGTATGACTATTCACAAAAAATGATTGTAATTATCCCCCACAACCAAAAATAATTTTTCCAGAATGATTTGAAATATTTTTTTTCTAGGGTAACCAGACAGTTATGGCCAGACATTATATTTTCAGTAATGAATTTTTTTCTGCAAAGTGAGTAAGATTTTGGGAGTATGCCTATTCACAATAAATGATTGTAATTGACTCCTGCCAGCAAAAATAATTTTTTTAGAACGATTTGAAATTTTTTAATTTCTCCGAAAAATTTGTCCGCCTTCCTAAATTTTTTTCACGCAAGTGCGAAAAATTACGAAGGTATATGTATTCACCAAAAATGATTGTAATTGACCCCCGCAACCGAAAATAATTTTTCCAGAATGATCTGAAACTTTTCAATTTCCCCGAAAAATTTAGGCACCTACGCTCTGTCGATTTTTTTTTAAACTTCGTTTTCGATGTTTACTAAATTTGGTTGACGCTGTACGGAAATGTTGTCTAATACTTTTTTGTAGGTATCCATGAACTCTGCTTCCATGCTAAATTTTAATGAGATACGTTCACTATTCTAGGAGTTATGGTCATTTGAAAATTGGATCACTTTTATGGGGTTTTTCTCACTTTACGAGGTTAAGGAACAACTTTCTGAATATTCTTGGAATGTCTACATATTCTTCACTAAAATACGCGTAGTTTGAATTTTGAAAAATTAAAATCCTTCAATCCGTTCAGAAGTTATGACGTTTTAAAGATTCGCATGCTGGGGTACATTCCTGGCCAAACATTATATTTTCGGTAAGGAATTTTTTTCTCGAAAATGGTTCTGATTTCGACGGTATATCTATTGACCAAAAATGATTGTAATTGGCCCCTGCAATCGAAAATAATTTTTCCAGAATGATTTGAAATATTATTTTTTCAGGGTAATCAGACAGTTATGGTCAGACATTATATTTTCAGTAATGAATTTTTTTCTCGAAAGTGAGTAGGATTTCGGGGGTATGTCTATTCACCAAAAATAATTGTAATTGACCTCAGCAACCGAAAATAATTTTTCCAGAATGATCTGAAATTGTTTAATTTCGTCGAAAAATTTCTGCACAGACCCCCGGTCGATTTTCCCTAAAAATTCATTCCTGATTTTTAATAAACGCAACCATGGGTAATGTAATACTACAATTCATTAATAAAACACAAAATATATCAAATTCCTACGCCTCATTCGCCAACTTTTTACTATTGACGTCGCTGGTGGATGCATGCGACTATAACTTCTTTATTTGCGTGAAATATAATCCGCAACATTAAAAACTAGTCTATGTAAATACGCCGGTTATTCGGGCTGTTCCAAATAATCGGAACTCTACTGTATCAATACTTCGAGAAGATACGCAAAAATAAAAAGAACGTCGATATTTAGCTGTAAAACGACCACACGCTTCCCCCTTTAATTAATCGTGTGTCCGGCGCCCCGATCGTCCGTCCCATTTCGGTCGTTCTCGGTTCGTTCTGATCGTCGTCGGCCTGCCCGCGTTTAGCCGACTCTTGGACCCAACCGTGCCGCGCTCCAGCAAATTGACGATACGCTTCGCGCGCTCGTTCTGCACCGGCCGATTAACGCGTACGTGCTTGGATCTACCCATACGCGAACGGAAAGGTACAAACTCGTCGGTTCACTGGTGAACGCGACGCGACGCAAGCAACCAGCGATCAACCCGATCGTTTCGTTTGGCCGTTGCCTTCCCGACAAATACGAGCGAAATTACCGAGTGTTGCCCGCTGGGGGGGAAAGCGTACCGAAAACGGAATACGTTTCCCGTAGGCGAGGGTGTCGACGGAAGGCGTGTTTCTTTACCGGGTAAATCGTCGAGTGGCTGAACAAAGGCGACAGTGAGGGACGAGTGAAGTGAATCGGGACACGATCGTGACAAAGTAGAAAACGAATCAATCGTCGGATGATCGCGATGGACTTTTTGCTTCGAGTCGAAAGAAACGTTCGTTGAAACGTGCGATCGTTATGATCCCCCGCGTTTAAGCAGCTCCCGGGGCTTGATCAGACCAATTAATCCGATCGAACACACGGCTAAGTTTCTTGATGCGCAGCGACATCAAAAGCGATGACTAGTGATTACGCGGGCTCGCGCTGTTGTTTCGCATCATACGCCCGCAGGAAATATTTCGCGAGAGACGGAGAAAACAACCACCTGCCCTACATGGATCGGTACGTGTTCCTTTGCTTCTGTTCTTTCGGTCCGTGAGTTCGTATTTTTTTTACTACTACGTTTTCGATGAAATTATATCTTTCTTATCGAAATGCCAACGCTGGGACTTTTTGGACCCTCGCTGTTCGCCTCTGAACAATGATAAAAACTGCCAGATGCTTCAATTATTGAAAAATGCATACGAAAAAGAGATTAAACGTGAAAGAGTTAATTGTCCACGTAATATAACTTGTAAAAAATTTTCTATAAGGGAATGAATAAACACTTGTTCCCACTGCATTATACGTTTCTTTACGTATCTGTCGTTTCAATTTCTTTGGTACAAATAAATTATAATTGTCGGTAGTTTTAGTGTTAAGGTCTCATATATCTTGCTTTGTGTTTATTTTCTCAAAACATAGTTTAATCTTAAGATCAGTATAGCAAACAATATTTTATATAAAGTATTAGTTTTACTATTTACAATGCAAAGTGATGAATATGTCATGAGTGATAGTTTTAATAATAACTCGGTACACCCAAACGAATCGACAATTACAAAAAATGTACGTTTGGCATATAAAAAAATAAATATATACGTTTCAAGTGGAATAAATTTGCTTTATTTTGAAATCAGTTTCATTGATTCCTCTTGGCTATCGATCAACCCTCGTATATCGTACGCAGAATAAAAGTTTTTTCAGGCTGAAAATCTGGTCTACAACGTGATATTGGATGTTGACTCGGTGACAATCATTGTTTTTTATGTTTTGTACAAGTACCATTTTTCATCTCCAGTGCCAATTCGATCGAAAAACGAACAAATGTTCGTTCGCTGATAAATCGTGCGAAATCCATTTTCCGGGCTTCGATACTTTTCCAATTTCCAATTTCTGTTACTATTTAATTTCCCGGCTATTCTTTCGACTGCCAAACAAAATTTTTCCTCGATCGTAACTTTTAATCCATCGATGTCAAACGTTTTCGGTCTGTTTATCGAAGAGTGAAAAATCCTGTTAAAGGTGTCTGTAAAATTAAAAAGAAAAGAACACACGAACGTTCAAAGAGCGATTCAAAGAATTTTGATCCAATAACTTCGAGATGCGAAAATGATTCGCCCTTTCAAACATCCATCTATGGTTTCCAACGAGTTTCTAAAGGATCCCGAAGGAAAATATTTTCTTGTTTATTTTTCAAGTCGCAACTCATCGCGCCCCTGTTTGACGTGCAATAACACCACTGTGTTTACCGTAACAATTTCGTAATCAACAGTACGCGCAGCGTTGCAGCTGCAAAAATAAATTATTCGAGACGTAATTGTACAACAAACGTACCGACAACGAGATGTACGAAACGCACAAATATTTCAGAATAATAATAATGGTTGGTTCTTAGATCGCGGAGAACCTCGACAATTTTTCTCATTGATCAACTCTCTGTAAATACAATTTCATTTTGATCTACGAAAAGAACACTTTCAAACAGCACAATCTAATAAATACGTTATGAAGTATCAAAGTAATTTTTGTTTGTTCGAACAAGGATCAATCGCGATTTGTTTTTGAGTATATTTATTTCGTTAACAGAACCACAATAACTCGAATTATTCGGTTCACATTCACTAGTAAAATTAATAAAGATGAACGTTCACTGACTTCCATTTTCAAAGTAATATATATAATTCTTAAAGATCAGCCTTTAGAAAATAATATGTAAAGAACGCGAAAAGATACGACCTCAAAATATTTTACTAATCTTAACCAGAAAATCTAACAAACGGGGATTTGAACGGCTACTGAAATACTCGTTATAATTGACATTACAAATGACATGGTCTTGGAGCTTTGAAAATAGATCTTCGTTTACGTCTGTTAATAACTGAGACAGTTATTCAAACTTGCTAGTTGACAATATCATATCTGAATTTCCGTCGATTTATTTATATCGTACGCTCGAAAAAGACCTTCCCGCTCAATTGCAAGAGGTTAAAACGGGCGTACAATTTTTGGTTAAATGGCTTTTTACTGTCTGATCGTTAGACAGTTAAATTGTTTGACTTCGGATGCACAAGAAAGAATGGTTTGATACGATAGAAGAATAACACCACTTTCTATTTTTAAAAATCCAGTGGACCCCCTTCATTTAATTAAAATCATAAATGAAATCTTTCATTGGTATTTTTAGAAAAAAACATTTTATTCGGACCACGTGGTATAAATATATTTACTATATACAGGGTGTTCGGTCAACCCTGGGAAAAATTTTAATGGGGGACTCTAGAGGTCAAAATAAGACCAAAATTAAGAATACGAATTTGTTGATTGAGGCTTCGTTAAAAAGTTATTAACGTTTAAAGTTCCGTCTGTAGAACGACAATTTGCGAACAGCTGCGATGGTAGTACTCGAATTTTTTTCTCATAAATACGTACGATTTCGGGGGTGTGTCTATTCACCAAAAATGATCGCAATTGACCCCCGCAACTGAAAATAATTTTTCCAGAAAGATTTGAAATTTTTTAATTTCGTCGGAAAATTTGTCCACCTATTTGAATTTTTTTCTCGAAAGTGCGTGGAATTTCGAGGATATGTGTATTGACCAAAAATGATTATAATTGACCCCCGCAACTGAAAATAATTTCCCCAGAACGATTTGAAACACATGAAATTTAAGGAGAATCATTCATTCATGGTCAGACATTATATTTTCGGTAAGGAATTTTTTTCTCGAAAGTGCGTAAGATTTCGGGGGTATGTCTATTCACCAAAAATGATTGTAATTGATCCCCGCAACCAAAAATAATATTTTTAAAATGATTTGAAATTTTTTTATTTAATTTTTGAATAACTTTTTAACGAAGCCTCAATCAACAAATTGATATTCTTAATTTTCATCTTATTTTGGCTTCTAGAATCTCCCATTAAAATCTTTCCCAGAAGTGGCTGAACACCTTGTATAGACAGTAGAATCCAAACTCTTGTTACCCGAACACATACTAAAGCGGCTCGTACGTGACACAAATTTATTGCACAGACATTGCACTAAATCGCTACGTATTTAGTCCAGTACTGTGATCGATGGCGACATAGTCTAATGTCGTCGTGATGAAATCGAAACACGGGACAATTAAAGAACAGAAGAGGGTCGAAAGTGCAGTTACGTTAATAATCACGGATATTAAAAATATCCTGCTACTGATCGAACGTCTGTAAAAAGAATAGACGTAAATAAAACGCCGAATGAAAAATTCTAAAAACAATCCTCGCCTCCCATTTCGATCGTGTCTGCCTGCTTAGTATTTCGAGCAATTTGTCCTGGCGTAAATAAAAATTCTAAAAAAACGAGTTCCGTACCTATTCACAGTACCGCCGTCTGATGTTTTCAGACTCGGTGTACCGGTGCACCGCGGAAGAGAGAACAATGGATATGAGAAGAGCAGAGGCTAAGTAGCAGGCTGCAGGTAGAGGATCAGCGAGGGCGAAACAGGAAAAAAGAACCGACCGAAAGGAACCGACGCGGAGGGACAGAGAGCGGGAGAAGCAAATTAGGCGAAGACGAGGATAGGGTGAATCGCCTGCGGGGGGTAATTGAACAAAAGAAAAAAAAGTCAGACAGACGAAACGGCGGCTGACAAAAAGATGAAGGAGAACGGCTTATGGACGCTGGTTTGGACACTGTGTGTGATAATGGGTCTGAGCATGGCACAAACATCGCAGCCCTGCCCTTCTCACAATGATATCGCGCCTTGCTCCTGCTCCCTCAAGAAATCCGGCTTGGACATCGTGTGCGAGTTCACCGACGTGACTCACATCTCCCACGTTATGAGCAAGCTCAAGGAGAAACTGAACACGGTCATCTTTTACCTCAGACTGAGGCACAACAGTTTGCCGAAACTGCAACGTTACGTGTTCCTAGGCCTCGACATACGCCACCTCTCCATCCACAACAGCAGCCTCGCGGTGCTCGAGGAATCCTCCCTCAGTTCTATCGGTGAGTTTCAGCGTCATTAACCCCTTATTAACACGTTCACTTCTGCGTCAACCGAACAAATTAATTCCCAGGCTTAGATATTAAGAGGGGATTATCGAAGTTTCCTTTTTTATTTTTTTCGTAAAGAATTAAAAGTTCTATTGTGCTAGACTTTTAGGAACATAGGGAGAGAACCTTAAACTATACGAAAATACTTTTTTATTATCTTTTATTAAATACTAGTTAATCCTATCCGACGATGTAACCATAGTTGGTATACAGCATCATAGAGATTAAATTGCGACAAATGAAAAATTTTCTTAAAGCTTGGTGGTTTCCATTAATACTGAACCTATTTTAAGCAAAAAATTAGGAAAATTTAAGAAACTATAGCATTTTAATCCCTTGTCATGCAATGACGAGTCTGACTCGTTATTAATTTTTGATGTCAAGTTTCACTATCGTAAGGCTACTCACTCGTCATCAAGTCTCATGTATTAAAACCAACACATTTTTACATTTACATACGAAGTATTCATGAGACAAATCTATATTTTTTCGTGGGCATTCCTTGTACGAACAAATTTAAACAAAATTAAATAGTATAGGTTTGAAAAATTACATTAAATCGTACGTCAAGGGGTCAAAGAAAAAGCTCGAGGCGTTGGTTGACATATTCGTCGTTTATAAAAACAGACCAACGTTGCCTTTTAAAATTACGAATGCATATCGTCTGCCAAACCTTAACATTTCCGGTGCTCTGACCAAATTTCGAATAAAACATTGTTTCTTCATGTTTAAAATGTTGTGTTGAGCATAAATTGTGATTGCAGACAAAAAATTATCGTGAATCAAGGCTTTGAGAGCTAAAACAAGGATTCATCTTACAAGTCTTTATTTAATATGAATAATAGTACGATTGAATCAATAATCATTTGAAACATTTACATTAATACTTAGTTTCATATAATAACATTAATTATAAAAGTATGAAGGTATTAAACTGAAAAATTTATTAAAATATTTCTGTTTGGCATAGAAATTTGTTCTTCAAAATGCTATAGTTTCTTAAATTTTCCATACTTTTCTGTCCTTTTGGTATCTGCTGTAGAAAAATATATCCTGATTAAGAATTTTGGTTTGGTTTGAACAAACAGAACGACTGGGAATCGCAATTGCGTAGGAAGCTCTATACTAGCACTAACTTTGATTATTTCTCGTAAAAATTTGTAAATATTATTAAAATAGTATCAAATATACATGAAAAACGCCAATGCAAGTAGTTGTATGGTTTCTTTATAAAACAAATATTGAAGGAAACAAAAAAAAGACGCGTTTTACAGTAGAAGACTCCCTCAACACTAGAACCACCGAAGTGGTCAAAATTGTTCATTCATAATTTCTAATCAAAATTGTACAAAATTTACTCGGCTAGATTTTTGAAAATTTACCCTAGTTTTCTATGAGACGATGAATAAACATAAATTTGGACAAGACTCGATGTGCTACAGCAAGTATTGGTTTCAGTAGTTCCCAATTGTCTAAAAATTAAATGTTTGCATTGTGAAAATTTTACGAATTTTGCTTGGCAGTCAACTGGATTTTTATTCTAAACGACGATGATAAACATCTTATAACTATAGAAAATGTCAAACATTGAGGCTAATCTGTTCAGTATACGTTCGATTGCTAATTTGTATGCTTAGGAAATATTATTCAAAATACTATCATTAATATTTATATGTGATATATTATAGAAAGAAATCTAATGATCGTCTGCTGGTTTGTCTACGTCTATTGCATCGTTCTAACATTTATAACCAGATTTGGTCCTGAAAGTTGACGAATTTTATCCGTCTCTGCTTCGACAATTACCTTTACCTCGCGTTAACAGTAATTATTGCTAAAATTACAAACACCAAAAGGACTTCGTCTCTATTTCTGATGAGATAGTGTAATTAATACGCCATAAAAGGAAGCAAAAGTTGAACCGAATCAATTTTAATTTAATTGCACTTTTGATGTCACTGAAGTCTTCGAAGACCGTCTGCTTATTTAAAGTTTCTCGGTTTATTTTAATCGAGTCGAATAATTTCACGGAAACCATATTCTTCTGCAGGGACTGGCTTGACGCAACTCGACCTCTCGCAGAATGCTTTGCTCTCGGTGCCGTCGGTCGCGTTACAAAACCTTCAACATCTGCTTATTTTGAACTTGAACCGCAATAAGATCAGTGCCATCCATGCAAAGGCTTTCGAAGGACTCGACACTCTTGAAATCCTTTCCGTGTACGATAACAAGATTTCTACCATTGAGGAGGACGCCTTTAATGGACTGCACAAGTAAGTTCTCACGTATCTTCCCGTTGCATCCGCCTGGTAATTGTTTGACAATAACGAGAACTAGGTTTCGCCTCTTTCGCGCTTCTTGCAAAGCAAACCGTAAACATAGAAATTAAATTACGCGGTGATAAAATTATCACCGACATAAATATTGCAACCACGTGGAAAGTAGTCCAATGTGTTCATTTTGAAGGATGAGTTACTTACTTACTTCGAGAAACTAATATCTGCGTTGCAATTTGAATTACAATGTGTTTAGAAATGTTCGTAACAAGAATTCTGAAGGTTCCTAAAAAGTGTTAATTGTATGTGATATTCTAGAATATTGTTCGTGTTTTAAGTTGAAAAGAACACACGAACAATATAACTTAAAACATGAACGATATTCTAGAATATCACACACAATTAACACTTTTTAGAACCCTTCAGAATTCTTGTTACGAACATTCCTAAACACATTGTAATTCAAATGGCGATCAAATAATAATATATTTGAAAAGAAATTGGAAAACTTGTAACTCTAATGGACTTGTACATCGTAACAATAGTTACAATTAAATCTGAATTTCTCCCCGTCAACTGTACCAAACAGACGAACACGTTGCGTTGTAATAAACGAATGAAAGATCACCGCACGATATTAAAAATATCAGAAGCTTTTTGCAAGCATAAAAAGTTCGCGATGCCTTGATCTGCATTTAAAGCGTGCACTAGTCGCCATCACATGCAATGCATGAAACGATAGATTAGCGCGGGCTGCACGTGAATATTAAAATGTAACTTACAGTAGAAAACTAAAGAGACTGAACCTGGGAGCAAACGAGTTGTTGAAAGTACCAACGAAAGCGTTGCTCACCCTGGACATGCTGAAGAAATTGGAGATGCAAGAGAACCGAATCACCGCCATTCAAGAGGGCGATTTTGAAGGTATTATCTCCATGTTAAACTAAAATTTTATATAACATTGCTAAATAAACAATCTCGTTGATCTGCACTTTCATTTAACGTTCTCGTTCCTTTAATAAAAATATTCAAATTCAACGATGATAACTTCAAAGTTCAGTTTAATTTGCATACCTATTTAAACGCCAGCGATCAATAACGCGTTAAGATCTTACTGAATTCCGAGACGTAGTGGGAAATAAGGAGCGTTTATAGCAAACGAGCAGAATTTTGCTGGAGGGAATCGATTCGCTCCGTTGGTCTAAACGCAGCTTTTAACTTCCCGTCGAGGAAATCGAAATCGAACGAGCTCGTCGAATCGATCGTATAAATGATTCGCCTTTCCAGGATTGAAAGCCCTGGATTCGTTGGTACTGGCTCACAATCAGCTGCGCGAAGTCCCGGCTCGTGTGTTCTCCCACTTGACGCTATTAAACTCTTTGGAGCTAGACGGAAATCAGATTACCCACGTGGATCCGGATGCGTTCATCGGTCTCGAGGGTAAGTGTAATTACGATTTGATACGATTCCTTTGAACCATCCGACTGCCTGCTTCCAGTTTTCTAGTGTTTTCGTTGCCCGTAATACGGATTCCATGTGTGCACCTGCGACGACGTTAAAATATAATTCGCTATTAGGGTCGTAGAAATTATTACAGCGTCCCGGAATATTGCATATTTTATACAGGGTTGTTAGGCCACCCCTGGGAAAAATTTTAATGGGAGATTCTAGAGGCAAAAATAGAACGAAAATTAAGAATATCAATTTGTTGATTGAGGCTTCGTTAAAATGTTATTAAAAAATTAATATAAAAAATTTCAAATCATTCTGAAAAAATTATTTTTGGTTGCGGGGGTTAATTACAATTATTTTTGGTGGGCACACATACCCTAGAATTCCTACCCTGTTTCGAGAAAAAAATTCGATACCGAAAATATAATGTCTGATCATGAATGAATGATTCCCCTGAAATTTCATGTGTTTCAAATCGTTCTGAAAAAATTATTTTCGGTTGCAGGGGTCAATTACAATCATTTTTGGTGAATAGATATACCCCTAAAATCCTACGCACTTTCGAGAAAAAAATTCAGGAAAGTGCATTTCTTCGGCAAAATTAAAAAATTTCAAATCGCTCTAAAAAAATTATTTTTAGCTGCAGGGGTCGATTACAATCATTTTTTGTGAATATACATACCCACGAAATTCGACGTACTTTCGAAAATTCCTAAACGAAAATATAATGTATGGCCAGGAATGTACCCCGGAAATGCAAATCATTAAAACATAACTTCTAAACGGTGAAGGATTTTAATGTTTCAAAAAGCAAACGACGCGTATTTTAATGGAGAATATGTAGAAATTCTAAAAATATTGAAAAAGTTGTTCGTTGACCCCGTGAAGTTAGAAAAACCCCATAAAAATGGTCCAATATTCAAACTGTCATAACTCCTACAATAGTGAACGTATCTCATTGAAATTTAGCATGGAAGTAGAACTCATCGATGCCCACAAAAAAGTATTAGGCAACTTTTCCGTACAGTGCCAAACAAATTAGTTACACATGAAAAACGAATTTTTAAGAAAATCGACAGGCCTAAATTTTTCGGCAAAAAAAAATTTCAAATCGTTCTGAAAAAATTATTTTTGATTGCGGGGGTCAATTACAATCAATTTTGGTCATTAGACATACCCTCGAAATCCTACACACTTTCGAGAAAAAAATTCAGTACGGATGGAACTTTAAACGTTAATAACTTTTTAACGAAGCCTCCATCAACAAATTAGTATTCTTGATTTTCGTCTTAATTTGGCCTTTAGAATCCCCCATTAAAATTGTTTCCAGGGGTGACCGAACACCCTGTATACGGTTACTCTCATATTCGTACACTATATTGGTGATTCACTATAAATGAGAAAAAAATTTGTTTCGTATGAATTGAGTTATTTTTTAAACTACTATAAGTTCAGCTTTTTATAAAATCATAAATTAACGATCATGTCACATTGAAGTTAATTTGTACACTGTTTATATTGGTCTTTTCAATCAGTTTTGCAATATTAAAAAAAGTACTTCGTAAATAGAAATAACACAAATGTAATAAACAACACTTGGTAAAGATAAATGGAAAGAGTTTACAAGAAACAAATTTTGTTTTTATTTATAATGAATTACCATTATAACGTACGAATACGAGTGAGAGTTTAAGTGTGAGCAATATAAACAATTAAGCTTGCGTTTTACCCAGTCGATTGGCAAATAATCGACGTTTCACGACATATTTTCGTACCGTTCATTGATTATTTGAACGCCGCTCGGTATAAAACGTATCGTCTCTACGTTGGTGCATATTTTATTTGAATTCCCATTACAGAGAATCTGCAATATTTGCGGCTGGCCGATAATAATTTACATTCGGTGCCGAGCGATGCATTGCGCCGTCTACATCGATTACGCCACCTCGATTTGAGAGCCAATAACATTTCCGTACTCCCGGAGGACGCCTTCACCGGATATGGAGATACTATCACATTTCTGAACCTCCAGAAGAACTTGTAATTTCCTTCATTTCATTACCCATATCGCGAACGGTTCTCCGCGCATTTTATCGATGATTATACCATCTCGTTCTCTCTACAGGATAAAGGTATTGCCGCCGTTGGTATTTGAAAATCTCAACTCCCTGGAAACTTTGCATCTGCAGAACAATAAACTGGAACAGATACCGGAAGAAGTGACCGAGAATATCGTCGACACCCTTCGTCACATCGATATCACGGGTAAATATATCAAACAATTCTTTTCTCGTCTTCTAGCTCTATCGATTATTCAATTCTAACCAGATACAACGATGATATTAAATTAAGAATTTGATATGTTTAAAATAAAGGTAGGTAGGAAAAGTCTCCAAGTGCAAAGAGTTAAATGTCTTAAATGAAAGAATTCCATTTCAAAGAAATTCTTTCTGGTCCTCTAGCTCTATCAATTGTTCGTTTCTAACCAGAGGCATCGATGATATTAAATTAAGAATTTGATATGTTTCAAACGAAGAAGGCTGACTATAAACATCTGATCCAATATAATTCGTACAGAAGGTGCAGATATGAATAGATATCCATGATATTAACCCTTTGCACTCGACTGTCCCCTCAGAAAGGACATCCAGCAAAGAATTTGAACTCTCTAAGGGAACACAACGATATTATTTGTTTAAAGTGATTATATAGGGCAAAATACATAAGCGGAATGTTATCAAAAAAAAAAGATATGTTTGCTTGGAGCATTTACTATCTACTTCGTAAAAAAGTTTGTTTGATTTCGTTTCAAAGAAATTTCTTCTGGTCTTCTAGCTCTATCAATTTTTCGTTTCTAACCAGATGCAACGATAATATTAAATGAAGAATTTGATATGTTCTAAACGAAGACGGCTGACTATAAACATCTGATCCAATATAATTCGTACAGAAGGTGCAGATATGAATAGATATCCATGATATTAAATGTCTTAAATGATACACGACAGCAACACGGTTTCAAGATTGATAGATGTGATCAATGTGACCCCAATTAATTTTAATCTGCTTTGTACGAGGCAATTCGTTACGGAAGAAGTTAAAATGCTACCAGAAAAACATACTCGTACAGTCGTTAAACTTCGATGGTCATTAGAGCCAATTGATTTAACATGCTCCCGCCGCGAGCCTCTTCAAACACAGCCCCCATGGGCGAAGGATTCGGATACGCCCCAATCAGCGCACCCACGCACCGCACTTGACTACGGACTATCAATACGACGGTATCTGTTGCGAACTCGCAAGCCCAAAAGCCTTTTCTATGCCTCCGGCGGTGCACAACTTTCTCGATTTCGGGCCAAATAAAATAAAATAATATTTTCTGCCACATTTCAGATTAGAATAGGAATAAAATGTCGAGGATCTTCGATTGTTTACGTTCGCATGCGTGGTAATTTGTACGTGTTTTGAAAAACGGATAGGTTTTATACCGAATTAATCACTTTCGTTCAAAGCCAATTGATAATTCGCGTGTAAAGCACTTACCTGGATCGTTGTCCTTGCCAATGGATTCGTCTTTGGACCAAGTGAACGCCATTGCCGTCGAACGACAGAAGCACTAAATCAGGAATGATTCCACGATTAGAAATTGTTGGAAAAATGTCAAGAGTTAATTAATTGTATGTTGAAACGGATGCAGAAATTCATCGATGTCAAAGGAGGACATATTTCTTATTAAAAAATCAACGTACCATATTTTTCTATCAAACTGCTTCGATGATGAGTCCACATCGACGTCGCGTGTTGACCGCACTAATTTTAACACTAGATTTACGGAAGCCATGTTTAAAATTGCAGAACGCGTAAATATTATTTTTTAACAACTTATGTTGAATTTGTTTGATGCAATGGCATGAATACATATTCTAATTAAAAGAAAAATCGTATTTTAAGGTAATCGTCAACATGAAAGGTATCAATAAATATACGTGCGATCAATGCCCGTAAATCTAATGTTAATAAAACACTCTCGGGGCTCTAAGGCCCACGATTGACCTTCGCGAGCGCGTTCAGTCGCGACTATTGCCAAATTTAATATTTGATAACCGTTTTAAATATCGATGGCTAATGTTCTGCAATTTAAATGGAGCGTAGCTATACTCACGACGATCGTAGATAGACTGCGTCGAACAAAGTCCTTTCCAAGAGTTTCTGTAGCATGGTAACAGCTACCTGAGTCTCGACGACGCTATTGGGCCTTCAGCGAAGCTACGACGCCCTTGATTCCTTGGAAATTAGCCGGTCGTTGTCCTCGCCAATTCTTGCCCCGGCGATTAAGTATGTTTACGTTTTCGAATCTACCGTGGCACATCGATGAGCCGTGTTATCCGAAAAAAGGCACCTCGGATTTCCTGGAAAGCCTGCCTTCACCTTGGGGCAAAATAAAATCGATAATTTGTCGAGTGAGAAACTTTTAAGTGACAACCAGAGTTATGGTCAGTAAAAGTCCGTAAAAATTGTTGGAAATGGAAATCTTTTATAGGGAAAAAGAAGAATATAATACGGTCATTTCTGAGCAATATTTATGAGAGGTCATTCGATAAGGAAAAGAAGAAACAGACTCTGAAATTGTCTTTCTTGGAGAACAAATATACATATGTGAATTTTTTATAATTAAGGTCATTAAAGAAAGAAAGGATTGTTATTAATTTTCTATCTTGATCCTCAATCATTATTATTAAAGCTTCAAGTTTTGAGAGTTCGAGCTTCGACTTTTAAAGCTAGCGTAGATGATTGAAGCTCTCAGGGTGGTCTAAAATCATAAAATTGGTAAAATTAGTATATTTATTGTTATGGTACGAAAATAAATAATTTACATTGAAAATTGACAAAATGGTGAATGCTGGAAGTGGAAATTTTTAATAAAAGAACCTAATGAAAAATACTCAAAATTCATAAATATTAGTAAAAATTTATAAATTATACAGAGTGGTCCACATAACTTGTGCAGCTCGATAACTTTCAAAATATGCGTTGCGCGAAAAAATTTTGTATACAAAAGTTGCATAGTTTAAAGGGGTACATTATGTAGTGCATTTATATTTTATAGGTGGAAGCGTTTCGGAGATTTAAAGGTCAACTTTGTTTTTTTAAATAGAATATTATATTTTTTGTATGAAAATATGGAAGAATATCAAATTCTGAGTAAACAAATTTCACTTTATTTCATGACAATTTTCTTCACGTAATATCAAATTGGAAACTCAACCTTATCACAGATTTCTGTAGAACAGTGAAAATAATCAAGGAATAAAGTGAAATTACTCGTTAGCTATTAGGTTTAGCTATTAGGCTCATAAAGGTCAATACTTTTTACTCAGAATTCGATATTCTTCCATATTTTCATACAAAAAATATAGTATTCCATTCAAAAAAGACAAAGTTGACCTTCAAATCTCCAAAACGCCTCCACCAATAAAAAAAATAAATACACTACATAATGTACCCCTTAAAGGGGTACCATGCAACTTTTGTATACAAAATTTTGTCGTGCATATTTTGGAAGCTATAGAATTGCACAAGTTACGTGGACCCACCCTGTACAACATTAAAACAACTTTATTGCAATTATCTCTTTTAATGTAGTCTGAATTGAATGCATCCGATGATACACATTCATCATGTACTATTATATTATTAAATAATTTAACGTAATAAATAGCCTATTTTTAAGAATATCTTTCCAGAGTTAATAAGCTATGATCTTTACACTTGTAATCTTCCGCGTTTCACTGGTCTCTAAGGGGACCCCCCAGGTTGAAAGGGCTCATTTTAAAAATCATTACTGAAAGACTAGCATCAGACGGTTCATTTACGCTTTTATTTCTCAGATAATCCCCTGAAATGCAACTGCGAACTGCGATGGTATTCCGTCTGGCTGGCAAAGCTGCGCGACAGGGACGACGAGAGGATGTCGAGGAAGCGTACCGTGTGCACGATGGCTGGCGAACACCGTGAATACGCCCTGCAGAACATACCTTTGGAAAGAATGGGCTGTGTCGGTAAGAACGCGGGTCGAACATCCTCGTCGGCTAGCAATGGACGCGTCTACGTGGACACGATGCTCCAGTTGTTGACCGTAGCCGTCGCCGTCGCCGTACTCTAACTGCAGTCAACCATCCAACGCTCGACTATCGCCTCGGTTACCAAACGCGAAAGCTACCATCCTGTTTCGTAAATTAAACAAAATTTGCATCGTTCTACCGTCGATGGGAGAAATCGTGCCACGGTCGCGGAGACGCGGCACGATTCGAACCAACGAGCATCCGTATTCCGTGGAATTGTTCCGACGATCCTGACGGATGCGCGATCGAGAACGTAAAACCGAACTATCGAGAGCCGGGTCGATCGTTGATTCGTAATCCAAGGTTATATTTTGACGAGATCCTGTAACTTCCATCGGTATTCGTCTATTTTTTTCACTGAGAACATTTATACATCGTCGAGTAGGGTTTAAATGTTCAAATCCAATGGAAGAATCGAGATTTTATAAAATACATATAGAAACGTAAGTATATCACGAGAAAAGGAAACATTGTAATCTCCATTGGGTACGTAAAGTCTTTAGTTTGTTGATTTAACGACATAAATAAGAAAAATAATGTAAACGATCGACGAGCTTCTCGATAAATCGATCGCAACATCGGTTAACGGTAGATCGTTAGACTCGATCTAAGAGATCTATTCGACTGGGAGATGATCCGATCGTCACGAGCGATCCATTGGATCGAAAATCGCGGTACATCTGAAACGTGGAAAGAAAGAATCTCGATCGTGACGTACGATAACAGGGTGAAGAGGAGGCTCCTCGATCGAAATGTTCCAGCGAGCCTTTTTCACCGAACGTTACATATCAAGATCATTGCCAAGTGTTTCCTGGGCGCCTGTCAAACTCGCGACAACCGTAGCATACTCGATAGAGAATTCGAATGTCCGTAGTTTAGCTATCATTCTATGATCCACGGGCATTTGTCTCATACATATCAACGCGTTCCTGAAACGTCGGGACGAGTCATAGGTGCGTCACAATCTAACAAAAATAGACGAATAGTTGCTTTTTTTTATTTTCGCTGTTGCTGAAAGTCGCTAAACAGTCGGGTCTTTGCTACGTAAAACAATATACTCCAAAATAACCGCCAACTTCGTTTCCATATGATTTTGTTCTTTTACTTATCGCAAACTTCAGTTCAAGCGATTCAGCTTATCGTTTACATGTTAAAAATCGAATACTAATGCCACGAGTACTGGTAATTAATTAATTTTACGGTCCGACGAACGAAAGAGGAGTCATCTCGATCTCCGTTGGAGATATCTTGGGATCGTTTAGACGTTTAACTCGATTCACAAAGGACCGCGACCCGGTCGAAATGAAATAACGACTGCTGATGGAACGTAATACACTCAACAGGAAACCGACACTTGTCGATTCCGGTAGAGCACGAACGTGATCATTCAAACGGCTCGTTGGTACTGTTTCGTGGCTCTGACGCTGACCCTAGACACTCGACGCTCACGCGCGTGATAAAATTACGGAAGTCTTTCAGCAACGGCCGCGATGAGACGATGTACGTCGCAGTAACGCTTTCGCAGCCACGGACGTTTTATTTCAAAGACACTTCGGGGATTCCCCCCTAACCCTCCCCCTCCCTCCTCTTTCAAGCGGTGCACAGATTGTGACGTATGTACGCGCGCGCCTGTTTGTGTTTCCCAAGTTGCGAAACGTGTTCGAAGTAAACGTTTAGGAACGCACGGGTCGTCGAGGAACCACAATATTTTTCGATGAATGTGAGAAATTAAATAAATAGGTTACGCGAAACGTGGAAAGTATAAAGGACAAATCCCGATGCACGAGTTACACAGTCGCAATATAGAAGTATACATATCGTAGGGAAGAGTCGAACGCTCCGTTGCTAAATGTTTGGCGAAAGAAACCAAAAGTATCGTCGAACACTTTTCGCGAAACGCGCAGTGAGCAAGCAGATTCGTACTGCTTCGAACACCGACTTCGGACGGTTAACCCCTTGACGCACGATTTAATATAATTTTTCAAACGTATACTGTTTAATTTTGTTTAAATTTGTTCGCACAATGGCCACGAGGAAGAATTTGTTTTACGAATACCTCGTGAATGGAAAAATTGATTTTAATTAGTAAGACTTGATAACGAGTGAGTAGACTCATGATTGTGAAACTTGACATCAAGAACTTGTAACGAGTCAGACTCATCATTGTATGGCAAGTGGTTAAGATGATACAGTTCCTTAAATTTTCCTAATTTTTTGCTTAAAATAGGTTCAGTACCAATGGGAACCACCCAGCTTCAAGAAAATCTTTCGTTTGTCGCGATTTCTATTTGTTGATCTCTATGATGAACGCTGTACACCAACAATGGTTGTATCGTCGGATAGAATTAACTACCATTTAATAAAAGATAATAAAAAAAGTACTAAAAAAATATTTTCGTATAGTTCAAGGGTCTCTCTTCGTGCCCCTAAAATTCTAGTACGATAGAACTTTAAATTTACTAAAAAAATAAAAAAGTAAACTTTAAGAATCCCCTCTTAATATCTAAGCTTGGGAATTAATTTGTTCTATTGATACAGCAGCGAACGTGTTAATAAGGGGTTAATGACGCTAAAATTCACTAATAGAACTGACAGGGGATGAGCAATAGAGTTTTCCATTATCCCCTTAACGTACGATTTAATGTAATTTTTCAAACGTATACTGTTTAATTTTGTTTAAATTTGTTCGCACAATGGCCACGAGGAAGAATTTGTTTTACGAATACCTCGTGAATGGAAAAATTGATTTTAATTAGTAAGACTTGATAACGAGTGAGTAGACTCATGATTGTGAAACTTGACATCAAGAACTTGTAACGAGTCAGACTCATCATTGTATGGCAAGTGGTTAAGATGATACAGTTCCTTAAATTTTCCTAATTTTTTGCTTAAAATAGGTTCAGTACCAATGGGAACCACCCAGCTTCAAGAAAATCTTTCGTTTGTCGCGATTTCTATTTGTTGATCTCTATGATGAACGCTGTACACCAACAATGGTTGTATCGTCGGATAGAATTAACTACCATTTAATAAAAGATAATAAAAAAAGTACTAAAAAAATATTTTCGTATAGTTCAAGGGTCTCTCTTCGTGTCCCTAAAATTCTAGTACGATAGAACTTTAAATTTACTAAAAAAATAAAAAAGTAAACTTTAAGAATCCCCTCTTAATATCTAAGCTTGGGAATTAATTTGTTCTATTGATACAGCAGCGAACGTGTTAATAAGGGGTTAATGACGCTAAAATTCACTAATAGAACTGACAGGGGATGAGCAATAGAGTTTTCCATTATCCCCTTAACGTACGATTTAATGTAATTTTTCAAACGTATACTATTTAATTTTGATTGAATTTGTTCATACAATGGCCACGAAAAAGAATTCGTTTTACGAATACCTTGTTAATGTAAAAATTGATTTTAATTATTAAGACTTGATAACGAGTGAGTAGACTCACGATTGTGAAACTTGACATCAAAAACTCGAGTCAGACTCGTCATTGTACGGCAGGGTTTGATATACTTTTTTTCTTTTTGTTAACTCCATAACGATCATGCCCGAGTTTGACTGCTTTGAAAAACAATATTTGTTTAATCTAACGTTCTAAAGGATGACAATATTTGTTTTCCTTCAAATTATACGTTAGATACAACAAAAATCGCATTTTCATATAGCTTAGAAACAAATCTAATAAAGAAAACTGATCTTTCTTGATTAACTCGAACAATTTGAGCGTTAAGGGGTTAAATGGACTTTATGGAATCAATTTTCAATTTTTAAAAAATTAATAAATTCTGATTTATTCTAAGGAAGTACCAACCGTTCGAAGACAGCGATCGATGTTGTGCGAATACGTTTATGACTTATTGTGCGTAGCGCGTGAAACTATTATCAAAGACGCGTTCGCGTTACGTAGCGCCGTAAATGCATTAACGTGGAAAGTAAATTGTGTTTTACGACTCGATGGATAGTACGATAGAGTTAAGGCATTAATATTACGATTAATACTGCATATCGGAATTAGGCTAATGACGGTACGTCGCGACGCGATCCGCAATTCCGATGAAAATCGAAGGAGAGTAGACTTTTACCGAACGTACCCGTAAAACTTAACGCGTAGATATATAGGACCGTATTTGCTATTGTACGCGTTGTTCTGTACGTAATAGACATCTCTGCGTAGCTTAGACACGATGGACTTAGAAGGTTTCGAAAGCATTACACGAACGCCGATATGTACGAACGATTACGTTACAATACGAATGCTCGACGATCGTCGACGGAATTTTCAAAGACAAAAATTCTTGAACGTCGTCGCGTTCGAGAAAATGGAAAAACACGATGAAAGTAATATCTCTCCTTCGGTCGAGGGACGAAGGTCCGTGTCGATATCACACAACATACACATATCATTTATACGCCCAAGTTTTACCTGTAAGATAACGGTTAATTATTTCGATTTAAGGCTTCACTGATAAACAAATCTCTAAGGATCGTATACATATCGTGAACGTATGAGATTTAAGAGAATTTATTTGTTAATATATATATAATATATGTACGTTACATATAATATATACACATTATTACGATCGTCAAAGATATATTATATACCTATATATTATATATATATACATATACGCATTGGATGTTTTTTCTAAGAAGTTTCGTCGGTAAGAAAATGCAAAGTCGTCGTTTGCGCGACGTCGTTGAGATAAATTCGAATCATCGTGTTTCTCGCGATTTCTTTCGATTATTATTCGAATATGTTTATTTGATTTTCGTTCCCACTTTGATCCTGTAACCCGAACGACAAAGCGACACTCGATTTAAACGGTACGCCGAGCGCGATTCTCTGCAGGCCCTACATTTAGCTTAGGATCCGCGGCAGGCATATCGGAAATAATTTCTCTCGGAGTGCAGTTTCCGTAAAGCAAACGTAAAGCTCGAACGACAGCGTGCAAACGATCGTGAGTTGGAAAAAAAAAAAGACAACAGTAGATAACAAGAGTAAAGAATAGTAAAGTTAGCATAGACGCACTTATCCGGGTGAGTCAGGAGTCCCGAGTCCCAAGATTATACAGGATGTTCGGCCACCCTTGGAAAAAATTTTAACAGGAGATTCTAGGGCCCAAAATAAGACGAAAATGAAGAATACCAATTTGTCGATCGAGGCTTCGTTTAAAAGTTATTAACGTTCAAAGTGCCGCCTGTTGAACGGCGATCCGCGAACAGCTGCGCGCTTTAAACTTCAAACGTCAATAACTTTCTAACGAAGCCTCCATCGACAAATTTGTACTCTTGATTTCCGTCTTATTTTGCCCTGTAGAATCTACCATTAAAATTTTTCCCATGGGTGACGCCCCCGTATAGATCGAGATGAAAAGCAAACAGAACCGTACAGAGAAATTCTATTCTCTGCAACGTTCATCCAGCAATATCAATGTACTCGTTCCTCCCAAACAACAGTGAAAAACAGATTGTAAAACGTGCGATTATAAATTTTCTACGCGAAACAGTTTCCGTTACGACGTCGACAGTTTCGAGCGTTTGCGTGATAATTAGGTACCAGCTGAGGAAATGTGTTCACCTTAAAACCAGCGCTTTTTACCGCTCCTGACTCATGTAGTGGAACATATCCTTTAGGTGATCGTAGAACGATGAAAACGGGACAGTCGATTGCGTATTACGCAGACACCCGCAGAACCATGTCGAGACATATCTCTGATGGCCGTAGTTGTAGTCTCGCCGGCTGCGTTGTTATTATTACTAATTATTATAAGCGGTATTTTTGTACAGTGTCTTACAGTGGTCGGGGGTCGTTGCAGGCGCAGCCGACGAGCCGTTCACGGCATAGCCATATACATATATATACATATATACATATTATATTTATTTCGATTTATAGCGCGTAATACTCTGAGAACATATCTTCGGCGCGCTCGTCGCACAGATGTACGCGAGTCACGCATGCGAAACGTAATAAACGTGTGTGTCAGATTAAGAGTAATTAGGGGCAAAACAAGCGAAGATATATTGGACCTGTTGCGCGAAACAACCGGGAGCTTTACTCTGTGTCTCTCTCTCTCTGCCTCTCTGTTTCTATTGAACTTCGATGGATGTATTCGCTCTCGTACATACAATACATACGTATATCTCGGTGCTCTCTTATACTGTCCGCTTGTTTACGCGTCGAAGACTCTTGTTTGACACTTTCAAACTTTATTGTTAGCGTATGCGCTGGTGTAACACGTAACTACACACGATCACACAAGAGGACATGTACACGCATATGAAGTGTAGTTGATGAGCATAGACGCTCACGCTCTGCGTATTACCCGTCTCTTTGATTAACGATTGAGCGATCAATGCGTGTGAGAAACGCGAAGGCGAGGTTTAGATACTAATGAAGATGAAATGTTGGTTCGCGCGTATGTATGCATACGCGTGCAGGCATTCTATGAGTCGCGGAGGATACGTACACAGACGCACATACACACATACACACATACACACAGAAACTCCATGCCTAAAATGACATATCGGTGTTACAACGTATGAATATAAATATATAAATATAAATATCACGTAAAACGCAGATACACGTAAAGTTCGTCTGTATATGTCTATAAATATTGTTACATATATACGATCATTATATTATAATTATTACGTGATATGTATTATGAAGTATCTTTTTCTCGCAATGGTCCGCGATACGGGCATCCACTCAGATTCTAATGTCTATATGTCATTGTTTATTATGTCGTTAATGATTAACGTGTATATGTGAAACTTTGAAAACGAATAAAAAGTACCTAAGCATATATAACCGTGATAACGTTACTGCCTGCCCTTCATATTTTTAACACATTTGTATGTACGTTTTAAACGTTGATAGGCACCTATTGAAATAAATATACCAAGAATGGAATTAGATATGTGTAAAACGTTCTTTATGTTTAATAAAAAAGAAACATCACAGTACATATTCTTCATGCAATCAAAAACAACCAAAGCAATCAAAATCACCTATTCGTAATTTCTAATAAAACTGATAAAAAATTTACTCGATTGAATTTTTGAAAATTTACCATAGTTTCCTCTAAGAGTATTAATAAACACTTATTTCCATTGCATTATACGTTTCTTCACGTATCTCTTGTTTTAATTTCTTTGGTATAAATAAGAATGCTATAACTGTCGGTAGTTCTAGTGTTAAAACTACCCCAAATATTATTCGAATCTAATTAAGTTCTTCGTCCATTTCTCTATGCATTATTTAATGCAATTAATGAGTTATAAACGATTACTGGAAGCGATTCTTATTTCAATGTTGCGCTAAAAAGTGCCTAAACTAGTGTCGCCATCTAATATTTGTTAAGATTTCGAGATATGCTTTTATTTAATAGAGTTAGAAATGTGTAAAACGTTCCTTGTGTTTAATAAAAAAAAAACATCGCAGTACATACTTTCCAATCTTTTTATTTACATTCTTCTCTACCTTTCCCATTAATTTCTTAATTTTGATAACCCCTTAATACTACTCCAAATATTATCCGAATCTAATTAATTTCTCTATGCATTATTTAATGCAATTAATAAGTTATAAACGCTTACTGGAAGCGATTCTTATTGTAATATTGCGTTAAAAAGTGCCAAAGTATAGTGTCGCCATCTAATATCAGGGATTCGAACTCAAAAAATCGTGCCAGGATCACAGAATGTGTGAGGAGGTATCCGGAGTACAGCTACCCCCACTCCTGCTAATCCTGATACACAGTACCTTGATTATTCATTAATAACTTCTTTCCTGGGATTAAAATGTGAACTTTTAGAGTTTAAGAATGTAGTATAGACCCTTGGTAATATTCAAGGATAGTTTCTATGACCATGCCGCCCGTAATTAAAACGTTATTAACGAATATCGGAAGTCGGAACATTTACGACTGTATCACTGTCCTCTTTAATTGATGAATTATCAACTATCTATACTACATTCTTCAATTCTAAAACTACATATTTGAATCCCAGGAAAGGAGATATTAATGAATAATCAAACTGCGTATCAGGAGTAGCAGGAGTGGGGGTAGCTGTACTCCGGATACCTCCTCACACATTCTGTGATCCTGACACGATTTTTTGAGTTCGAATCCCAGATATTAGATGGCGACACTATACTTTGGCACTTTTTAGCGCAATATTAGAATAAGTAATCGCTTCCAGTAATCGTTTATAACTTATTAATTGCATTAAATAATGCACAGAGAAATGGTTGAAGAACTTAATTAGATTCCAAGTAATATTTGGGGTAGTTTTGAGGGATTATCAAAATTAAGAAATTAATGGGAAAGGTACAGGAAAATGTAAATAAAAAGCGTAGAAAATATGTACCGATTTCTTTTTTTATTAAACATAAGGATCATTTTACGCAGTTCTAACTTTATAAAATAAAAGTATGTCTCGAAATCTTAATATGACTTTTTTATAAATAAATTGAATTGATGAGTAATGTTTTTATAGTAATTGTAAAATGAAAGTAAGGTGTAAAATGAATTTCTTTTTTTTTTCGATAGTTAAAATATGATCAAGGGGCCTCGAAACATGTATTAGCGTAAATAAAATTGTTTTTACCAACTCTACGAAACTCTACAAGCTCACGTATACATGATCTGACATAGTGTGCGAAAGTGAAATTCCACATGTGATAAAATGAGGTTATTTCATATTTAAAAAAACAGTTGTTAATATTATTTACAGCATCTATATTGATTGTATCGGTATTTATAATCTCGTGCACTTTTTATAAACGGTAAATTGTTTCATTCGATTTCTTTAATACGAAAACAATAGAACAAACAATGACAAAATAATTGTATATTAAAATCCTAACTGAAAATAAGAATACCTAACTTATATTTTAAAGCCAAGAATATTCAGTTTAACAGGTATGTACCAAGTGCTTTTATTATTAAATATATTGTAATATTATTCTAAGGTTAGAAACAAAGGTTAATACGCTTTAAATCTTTCTAGAAAATGACTCGATATGCAAGATCAAAGGGTTCAAAAGCTTCGAATGAAAAAGTAGCTGATGAACCCACACCGTGGCATGTAATGAAGCAACAGTTAGCAGAGAATTTATCCAAAAAAGAGAATCGTCCGATAAAAAATAAATCTGCAAAAGAGTTGTTGCAAGATAAACAAGATGTGTTTTACTGTGACGTTGGTAATGTTAATAACGATTGGGCAGAATTTGAAGATAATTCTCCAACAAAAAGCATTAATTCGGTAACAAAAGAAATTAAGAAGAAGCAGAAAACACCTCAACATTTAAATAAACCAAAGAAGAATAAAAATGTATCTGTAAGCAAAGTTAAAGATCTTAATAAAGATACAGAACACATAAATAATGTTAACATAGAAGCAACGCATAGTAAATCAAACGAAATAAGAAAACAGATTAAACGCAAAGATAGGAAGCCTATAGACGTGCCAATAAAAGAAAGTGATGTTTCACAAATTGAAAAAAATGAGAAAAATACACATAACGTAGTAACAGAAAATGATGGTGGGTTATCTAAACGACAAAAACGTAATATGAGAAAGCAAAAGAAAAATTCATGTGAAAATACTTCAGAAACTGATGTAAGCTCTAATAAGCAAAAGAAAAAATTTAAAAATAATAGTAATGCTAATAAAGAAATAGAAAATAATCAAAATAATAATGAAAATAGAAATGAAGGAAACGATCGCGGCATTAAGCAATTTAATAACAAATTTACCAATAATTCGAATAATTTTAAGACTGTTCCAAATAAATTTCATTCAAAACAGTTTGAAAATAATAGAGTCAATAAAAGAAAACTTCCTAAAATTAGGGATGATAAGGAACACAAAAGGAGGAAAGCAGATTTAGGTCCTACAAAAATGGTTATCAATGGTATTGAAATAGAGATAGTGAAGTTTGATGGTTTTCCAGTTAAAAAAGAAGATGCAGAAAGATTGGGTGACTTAAAACAAAAAATGATTATAAAAGGTGAATATACAGTAATGCTATGGAAATTGGTCGGGATATTCTCTTGGAAAATGACGGGAAAAAAAACTTCCTTTAACTTTGGCCATTTTTGGTCCTGAACATCGGCCAATATCAACGACATTACTATATTTGTACAAATGACCTTTACTATTTCTTATAGTTAAGGTCATTTGAATAGTTTAATTATTTTTCATGTGTCATACTTTACTCATCTTTGCAGGTATTCCAAAGAAAGAAATAGATATAGCAATGAAACTGGAAAGAAGGAAAGCTGAAAAAGCATTAGCACGTATTAGGAGGTGTGTTTGTTTCCATTGCCGGAAGGCAGGTCACAATTTATCCGATTGTCCTGAGCTTGGAGTCGAACAAGCGGGAACCGGAATTTGCTTTAAGTGTGGCTCAACAGAACATACTCATTTTGAATGCAGAGTAGCAAAGCCAACAGAATTTCGATACGCGACTTGTTTCATTTGTCGAGAACAAGGACATATTGCTAAACAGTGTCCTGATAATCCCAAAGGAGTTTATCCACAAGGAGGTTCTTGTAAAGTCTGTGGAGATGTTACCCATTTGAAAAAGGATTGTCCAGATTTAATTAAAGAAAAAGAAGAGAACACCATTACAGTAAACTCGATCGCAAATGATAGCGTAGAATCCTTGGAAGAAAATGTGAAATTTACCCATGAAAAAGATAACAGCAAATCTAAAAAAGTAGTGAAATTTTAGTATAGACAAATATAACATACATACTTGTACAAAGTAAAATCCTTTTTTGTACGTGCTTCAATAAACTAACACCTGCTTTGTAAACATAAGATTTATTGAAAGGTACATGTGTTCGACATGTATGTACATATACATTTTCCTCGTACGTACATTTCAGTGTTATTAAAACACTACCATATCACGAAAAATCTGATATCAAATAAGACAATGAATATCTTCATAATTTATATATATATTGCCTATTTACATCACACTCGAATTTATAAATCAGTTAAAACTTTTTACATATTAGTTGTACAATGAAATTGTGAAATTACCTAGTTGTTTAAATAAATTTTCCTAAAATAAAGGAGTAAGTTATTTATTTAATTCAGTGATATCAGATTTTTGTCTATGTACAGAAGAGAAATCACGAAGATATATTTAGATGTATGAATATTATCTGTACATAGCAGTAATTTGTTATACATATACACCAGCATCTTTTGCAAAAGTTTATAACATTAATTTAAAATTCATAGTTTTATATTCGTCTTGTTATATAAATGGTATATAACAAGTAAGAACATGTAATTAATATTTCATTATCATAATTTTCTTTTAATTATATTACGAATCAATAATCTGTACAATTTGTATACATAAAATAAACGCTGTCCTTTGAAGTACGAATTCTATGAATATATATTTATATTTGTACCTCTATATTACATTTGTTCTTATACTGCCCTATGTATAATATATAAACTCTCTATACTTTATATTAATTTCCTACATATAAGTTATACTTGTATCACCCCTAATGGCAGACAATAGTGTTACTACTACAGTGATAATTAATTCAGTACACAATGAAAAGTATTTATGCGTCTGTGCCTGTTAAACTGATACATCAAAGAATTACATTGCCAAGAAACCTTTGTCCTCGGTGCAATTTCATTCACCATATCATTAATGAATTAAATAGTGCTTGGCATTGAAAATTGTATATGTATCAAGGTACACATACTTATTGTAAACTTTAACAAATGATGTGATTATTTTAGAATTAGAATCTTTACGATATAATATATCGTTATACAATTAGTAAATAAACATGTAAAATGTATTTTCATGAGAATTCTAGAAAATTCATTTCGAATGTTTAATAATTCGATTACCAAAAATTGATTATGTTGTAGATAATAGGTGAAAAAAACATTTCCCAACTACCGTCAAACAAAAATCTACAGTTAATTATAAATGAAAAACCAAACTTTAAATAACGGTATATAAAAAATTACAAAAATGCAATGTCATACACAAATGACTTAAGTAACTCTTTTTAATAAATCAAGATTTACAATTTTGTTTAATAATGAAGACAGTTATGAACAAATTTATTATTTTAGTTCCTTTTATATATCCCTTATTCGTGAAATATATAATAATGAAAACTCATCATCTCATAACGAAAAAACAACTTTTATAATGCAAGATTATTATGAGAAATCGACAAACAATATGAAATAATCATAATATAACGTGATCATATTTTACTTCACTCATGAAATTAAATTTATTGAATGTTACGCTCATCATTTATTTTGTTCAACCAAGAAAAACCAAATATCCTTTATATATTCTAAAATTCTCTTGATATCTACAGTTTATTATAGATGCATGCATTTTTCCTATTAAAATAAACTTTCAATATTGATGCTAATGGAAACACATGATATAAAATGAAAATATGTTTAGTATACCAATATTATTTAATAGACGTGTAAAATTATACCTCTTTACTATTTTAGCCTCTTAAATTTTCAATAAAATCTTAATTTTTCAAGTGCGACCGACAAATATATAAACATTTTTTGTACCATCGAATGTTATACACTTGTATTACAAATTTTACTGTCATATTGCATTCAACCGTAATGCTTCGAATATTTTTTTTTACTGTTATCTAATAAAATAACTTTACATTTTTCATGTAAAAACTTTTTAATTAAGGATAAAACTTCGTAAACTTCACTCGATCGTTCATTAATTATATTATACAAAACAAGTTTGTAATTACAAAGTGTACGTAAATGTAACTAGATTTTTAGAAAAAGACTTTCTTCATCTAGCAACAATAATAACCGGTTGAATGTATTATGATTTAATATTGTTACCGTTATCTTTGGTATATAAACTTTATTTCTTTTTGTAATTGTGTCCAAATTATTAGATTAAGAGGTACCATTAACCATTGTTTCCAATTTTCTGCCGTATGTCCGCAAAAATCGAAAACTTTCACCATTGAATTTTTTTTCAGAATGTACCTGCTAGGTAGCTTCAGCTTTATGTGCTGATTCTATAATTTCCTTCAGACAACGGCCGAATTCTTCGATTATAAGTCTCTGAGATGTTTCGTCGTCGAACATGTTCCGTTCCGCGTCGTCAGCTTGTGCCATTAAGCACTGACACGTTATTTCTACTACTTTATCAGTCAAGAAGTTGAACGGTCGTCTGTAAAAAAAAACAAATGCAAAACTATACATAGCATGGTATTTAAAATATTTCCTAAGACAGACGTGACTAATGGGAAACCATCTGTTTCCATAAATGATAATACACTCCAGTTCTGGCAGACGTTAAATTTCAAATAATGTCTACTTACTTTAATTATTATTATTATATGCTTACCTCGCGCCAGTGTTTGATGTAGCGGGTGGTCTGAAAGCCATTTCCGATAGTTGTAATTTCGCTTTATTCAATGTAAGTTGTGCCGTCCTAACTTCAGCTGCCTCTGCTAGATCTTTCAGAGATTTCTTTTCTAAGTTCGGTTCTTCTACGTTACGACATCCTATGCATTTACAATTAGCAGAGCAAGGAATCTTAGCCTTAAAAAGATGTTTTTTATTTTAGGAAAAAATGTCATAACATTTAAAAATACTTATACTTATATGTAGAATCAACTTCAATACCTCATAACATTCACAATAATTTTTTAAACATCCGCTGCGTTTACAATTACAACCCTTATTGTGTCTCCGTATATCATCACCAGTCTCACGGCCTTTGCCAATTTTTGGACGAAAAGCATTTGGATTACGTTCCAAACAGGATTTGATAGCGCGTTGCCTCTCTTCTTCATTTCCAAGATTATTAGAACAATTATTGCAGTTACACATATGACAAAACTCTCCATTCGCGAAACAATCACAATATCTGTGACAAAATATATTCATAATTCACCATTTTCATTTATCAAAACACATTTAAAACTTTTCTTTATTAACGTCACAATTATTTCTTAATTCACACCGCAAGAAAAAGATCTTTCAACTACAGATACATTTTTATTTTTCTTACTGATCGTCATTTTTCAATTGAAATAACAAAAAACCGAAGAGTTGATGCTCAATTTTTGAAAGATGAATTATAATCATAACAATGATTTTAATACACACGAACATTTAAGAATTATTTTAAAATTAGGATCTAACAGTACTGATATATATTGTACTCACAACTTAAGACATTGTGATTTAGTGCAGTTACACGCTTTTCTCGGCCTAATACCATTAGGCTCGACGCTAGCATAAGATCTCTGGGAGCTTTTACTTTCTATAATAGATCCTACTGATAAATTTCCTGTTGAACTCTGCAAACTTTGCGAATTACCTAACAAACTAGGTGTAACTTGGGATTTCAATTTCACTTCGTCTGCTGACTACAGAAAATTAATATAACTCTTAATTATATCATATATTACATTTTAAATCGTAAATATTCCTTAATCAATATAGTTAACTTGTTTCTTTAATTGAATACTATACCTGTTGCTGAATATATTGAGCTGGTAAAACTACAATGTTTCCCATATTTGAATTAGTTGAGAGGACTGCCTGCCCAGATGCTAATTGACTTAAAGCCGATGCTGGAATAGTTACTGCATTTTTCGATTGGTTACCTACAGTTGCAGTCGCGGGAATTAATAATCTTTGACCGCTACTTGTCAACGTAGCCTTCGGCGCAACCGTTCTTAATGACTGATTATTAGTATTTAATGGAACTACCTGTATTACAATTGGAAAAGAAAAGATCGTATATAACAATCTAATAAAATTTTTTTAAATATTCACATTATTTACTATTGTTACAAACCTTGACGATTTGTTGCTGACCTCCTATTTTCTGACTAACACCAACAGTTTGCAAAGTTGTTTGCGACTTCGTTTTACCCACAGTAACAACATTCGTAGTTCCAGATGATGGAGTGCTGACTAATCTTACATATTGCACCTTCGAACAGAATATATCAAAAATGTTTATAACTTTAATATGAAAAAAAAAATAATTTTATAATACAATTAAATTAAATATAAGACATAATTTATATTTCATAAAAATTATATTACTTGTCTTCCAGGCATTTGTATTTGATGTACTTGATTAGATCCAGTAACAATATTTTGATTAGCTGGTATTCTAATAACTTGTCCACTTCCAAGTACAGTTCCAGGTTTCAAAGAGCTCTAAAAGATATTGTACAATTAATATAAAAACATTTAAAACGTCAAGAATGCATAAAAACTGCTTTACAACTAACCTGTCGAATAATCACTTTTTGTGGACTCTGTTGAACAGTTGATTTATTAGAGGAAGAAAATGTAGATTGCTGATTCGAAATTGATGAAGATTTAACTTGTGTACTCAATGTTGGAGCAGGTAATATTTTTGTGGGGGATTTAATCGTACTGCTTGGAACTATAGTCATTTTAGAGGACTGAGTATTTGATGATTGCACTAATTTATTTACAATTATTCCCTTCAAAGGTAATAAATATGAATTTATTACTTTTAATAAATTAATTAATCCGCATACTAATTATTATATTTTTTATACAGTAATTATAAGAAGTTTCTTATATGTATATCAATATACACAAGTATTAAAAAAATTATAAAATTAATAAATTCCAATACCCACTTGCTTTTGTGGTGATGAAGGTAGAATATGTTGAACTTTATTGGTAGAAAGTAATCCCATTTGCTGTGCTTGTGCCAATGTTATAGTTTTTGTTGGATTTGTGACATCCTGACTTGATACACTATTATTCAAAAATTTTATTGCTTGTTGATTTTCATTCTGTGAACTAGTTATAAGAACTTGTCCTGATTGTGTTTGATTTCCAGCTAATATCATCTTTGTATATACCTAAAATAATATCACAAAATATATAGTATGCATGCTAACTATAAAAAACATTTTAATATTATTTAAAATCTAAATTTTAGATATTTAAGGAAATAATATTATAACAAGAATTTTACATTTCGATTTTGCTGTGTACTCTGTGCTGTTCGTTTTATAGCAGATTGTACTGTTTTTGCATTCTGAACACTTCCTAATGTGATGTTTCCTGAATGACTAGTTGCCACTACAGGTTTAGTAGGTTGTGCTGATCTTAAATGAACTATATTTCCATCAGCAGACTTTGCTATAAGAGTCTGAGCTAATGACTGTAATTGACCAGCTGATGCTGTTGACGGATGTGAAATTTTTAAAATTTGGCTTGTGCCTTGGCCACCAGCAGGGGACACTATCATAATAGATTGACTTTGCGTTGCTTGACCAACATTCGATTTTACCTAATATTAAAGTAAACTGTAATTTTACAATACGCAACATTGATATTCTGTATAAAAATTATAATTATATATTTTATACCTGTACTGTAGATGGTGGAAGCCTTTGCAATGTCGGCTTCGTTTGGAATACAATATTTTGATTATTCTGATTTGCTGTTGTATAGATAATATGTTCTTCTTGAACTTGATCTGAAACTTCAGTCATTTCCACATCAGGTACAATCGTTTCAGTCTCAATATTACGTTCAATTATTATATGTTCCTCCTCTGTTGTCATAACTTCTTCAGCACTCATACATTCCAACTCAGCTTGAATGTTTGCAAATGCCTCAAAGTCATTTGATGAATACTGTTCATTATTATGCGATAGGCTCAATGCACTTAAATCTCCATCACCGAGTGTACGTGAATCTAGAGCTAATGGTTCAACCAAAGCTCTAGCATTTTGCCCTTTATTTATAGACATGATTGTGTTCCTGTTCAAAATGTTATCTATTAAAAATACTTACATCTGTTTATAATTTTAAAGTATAGGTATTGTACTTAATAACATTAATTTCTTATAGAATATAATTTTACATTTACATACACAATTGTAAAAAGTTAAATCACATAAACTTATAATTCAATTTATAAAACACTTTTTCGTTTCACTGATTTATTTAAATTTATGTCTCTTTGCGTAAACTTCTTCCATTACAAAATAATCGCAAATAAAAAAACATTTAAATACGTAACATAGAAGTGCACAAAGGTAATGTACTCTGCACACGTTATTGTCGTTAAAATCATTTAAATGTAAATAAATTTACAACTCAATTACATAATTAAATAAGTACGAAGATAATATGCGTTGGACAGATTTGTAAGTATTTATACCCTATTACAAAATGTTAAATTATGAACTTAAAACTATTCTAATAATATTTAGCATTCTAATATCACGTATATTCATTTATACTCAAAGTGTGTTTATTTATGTTTAAAAAAAAAAGTTTTCCAGATGTCTGTATCTTCCATTATAAACATGTACTTCATGCATATGCAGGTTAGAAATTCAAAGAATGTAAATCATCTTTACATACAGCTTTAATCATCGGAAGACTATATATAAAAATAAATATCGTAAATCAACGGTAAAATGTAAAACGATTTACGAAATGACGTGAAAATGAAGCGAATCAGTGAGAATTTAAAAATTCAAAAATTCAAATCTTTAGGAAGCAAATACGCATTCTCTAAACACTAAGGGTAATGGAATTGTCTACGGATGCACCCAACAATACAAAGATCAAGTAAAATTGGAACTTTCGAAAATTCGAACGATAAAATTTGAATAATGAAGAAAAATTCGAAGGATAGTCTACTTAGGAACATTAGCGCCATTTATTACTTGAACGCGCCATTTTCCACGAACTGAATTTCTGGCTCTATTTTAACGTTTTTAATGGCATTATATCAACTCGACATTGATACTTAAAGAAAAACGGAATGCTTAATGCATCGAACAATAATAGAAAACATACTTCTTGCCGATATTCGTCTTAAAATCACATAAAATTCAACTTAACCTATAACTTATCAGTTCATATCAGGTACGTACAGTGCAGGGTGGGGGCGTGCCACGAAGCTTATTTTAATTATGATACAATATTCGAAAAAGTTGCTAATATACTCCTCAGAAATTCAAATTTTGATCAAACAGTCCAACAAGAAATTTAATCCTTTCTGTAATACATACCTGGGTGTTCCCTTGATAGCTCGAATTTGTTCAAAATCACGCGCCCACCATTGCTGTCCCACAGTGCACTACGCACCGCTGTGTACAAACAGACCCAAAGGTCGTTTAGTATTAAAATCTCAAATTGAAGGAGGAATGGTAAGTTAGTTGCTATTATGAAATTAACTTTTTCTAGTCTGTAATACGTCAAATGTTAACTATCTCAATCAAATGTTACGCTAAAATTGAGTAATATTTTCGCGCACTTTGCAAATTTCGATTTCGCCATTTTCGCTCTTCCGCGGCTAAAAACACGTCAGCCCTATAGCGCCCTCTGAGTCCAATAAAAAAACAAGTGTTCCGAAAACTTCAACGTTTTAAATGTAACATATCGGTCAAAGATGCACCATCATTATGAACTTTATGAATTTTTATAGGATTTATTAAGGTCTTTGTTTTTCAACAAAGAAGTAAAGTTTCGTATGCTATTTACATATTAACATCGTTATTACGCGATACCGATATTATATCAACAGGAAAATATCAGACGATTAATGATGTAATCAAGTAATGATATTAAAGGAAATTGGTATTCGTTTATTGCAAAACTTTTGTCACTAAATCAAGAAATGTTGGAATAAGAACATTTATAAATACCATATTTTCATTCGTGCAACTTGCAGTTCATAATCATTAGAGTATAGCATGTTTTTAATTATTTTTCGTATAAATGTAATGTCACATGTATATTGTAATAGAGGGCATGCAACTCGAAATAAAATAAATAAAAAAAAATAATTACAATTTTATACTCGAAATTTAGCAAAATTATATTTAAACGAAATTTAATTGTTGATTAGTGAATTTAAAATTCAAAATTTTTCGAAATCAATCCACCTATTGGATTCTTTTAGTGATTGTAGTGTGATGTAATGAATAAGTGTATTCAATTGTAATGCAATAAAATTATTATAATCATAAGAAAGTTATATTCTTGAATATACACCAAATATTTGAAGTATATACTCGAACTCGTTTGTTAAATACACTTCTTGTTAAATATTCTAATATATGTATATTACAAACGTGTACCATTTTCCATTTTTCAGAATCTATTATGCTAACGTATATTATGATTATGAATTTTCAAAATTAGTATGTAAACACAAATCTATACGTCACGTTTGTTTAATTCAGAAAACTATATATTGTATTTTCTTTGACGAAGTACAAAACAATAACATATTGTGTTTCTGAATTACTTTCAAACACTCCGTTATCACTACGAATTAAAGAGCATTAACCTCTATATTCACTTGCCAGATTCAGTCATGCTCAGTCAAATTTACATGTGAGTTCACACTGATTGTGTTCTCGTTGAGTCACGGATTGTTCGTATAAAGTTCATCGACAACGAATCTTAACCGTTATTCTATAAAACGCCATCTTTAATTATATATTCTTATACAAATATCTTAAAAACTTTACAATAACATCAGTGCTTTTCATACAAATAAAATTCATATAATAAAACTCAATATAAAGTACTTTATATAATTGTTATTATTACAAAATCCATTTAAAAAATATAATTCTAAAGAGGATACGATTAATTTTATTCATAAATGAATAAATTTAGAAATTTAATGATATTTATCTTCTTTCGTAGCTACACTTCTCCAATAGAATGACCACTGAGTTTTCATGGTTCATGACTATAAGCACGCAAAAGTCGGCAAAAGTAATGTTCTGGTTATCAGTGCCACATATGCACATATGTATATAGTGTAAACGAATTCCATATGCACTGGTTTGTCAAAATGCGATAACCGTAATATTACTATGATTAATCAAATAGGAAACAGTGTACCAGCATTATCAGCAGATTATTACAAGATTACTCGTAATACTCAACATACTAATACAATCCTTACCGTGAATTTAAAAAATTCTGAGAACATAACCTAGTTCACGTCTGGGAAAAACATACGACTATCAATATCATTCTAGCCGGACATACTGAAGATGTGATCTTACTGGTAAAGTAGGATTTGTCAGATCTACGTAATGCTATAACATTTTGTTTCAAAGGGAAGTGTAATGGAAAATCATTCCGTTCGCATAAATTATTCTTTAACACCTCGCGATACAGAACAACCATTAATACATGATAGTCAAACTAAACAATACGTAGAGAACAGTAAAAAGCGCGAGGAAATAATAGTTTTGACAAGTGAAGCAAAGGGTGGTTTGTTTAATCCCAGAGCTTTGCTATTTTTAACATTATGGTACTTCTTCAGCGGATGTACTTTGTTCTTGAACAAGTACATATTATCTTACATGGAAGGAAATCCTACAATTTTAGGTAAATAAATATTAAAATAATATTTCAGTAAATTAAAATGACATAAATATTGATTGTTTTTTTTTGTACTTATTAATAGATTTGTTAAATATTCAAATCAGATTTATGTAAATTGTTTATGCGATTTACAATGTTAAAATTTATTTGAATAGGTGCTTGTCAAATGTTAATGACAGCAGTTTGTGGATTTATACAAATGTATTTTCCATGTGGAATGTACAAAGCAAGCCCTAGATTAGTAAGACCATCAGGTTTTTATAAGCACATGATACTGGTAGGATGTACAAGATTTATAACTGTAGTTCTAGGATTAGTATCGCTCAATTATGTAGCAGTGAGTTTCACAGAAACTATTAAAAGTAGTGCACCACTTTTTACCGTCCTTATTAGCAGATATTTATTAGGTAAGAAACATAACTAATATTTTCTGTAAATCTTAGTTTTGTTTTGTTTTACAGTGATAATACAATTCTCGTTATCAACATTTTTGTTTACATATAAATATTTTTAAACTACATAAACTGTTATGTAGCAAAAAATATATAATTTTATTGAAATATTCAGTTGAAGTAATATTTTTTAAAATACATTGATGTCCTGAAACTAATTAAAAATTATAAAACTTTCATTATAGGAGAACATACAGGGTTATATGTAAATTTATCTTTGATTCCTGTAATGGGTGGTCTAGCTCTATGTTCTGTGAATGAAATCAGTTTTGATCTCAGGGGGTTTGTTGCTGCTATGGCTACAAATGTAACAGAATGTTTGCAAAATGTTTATTCCAAAATGTTAATCAGTGGTGATAATTTTAAATACACGTGAGTATTATATATGTACTAATATAAATTATATAAAATTAGATCTTTTCAATTTCAAATCAATTTTATCTTAAATTATATTACTTTTTATTTAAACTAACATGTAATTACAGACCAGCGGAGTTGCAATTTTATACCAGTTTAGCATCAATTGTGGTACAAATACCAGTGTCAATTTTATTAGTAGATTTACCAACACTTGAGCATTCCTTAACTTTTAAACTATTCACTGCATTCCTCCTTAATGGAGTTTTCTTCCATTTTCAAAGTATCACTGCATATGTACTTATGGATTACATCAGTCCTGTGACACACAGGTTTGTTTCCAAATTATAATTTAAAATAATTATATAAACAAATATTTTGACTTAAGAACCAATTATTAAAAATACTATATTTTATTACAGTGTCGCTAATACGGCAAAGAGAGCATTTTTAATTTGGCTTTCTGTTTTGTTATTTAACAATCCGGTAACTGGTTTATCGGCTATGGGAACATCCTTGGTAATAGCGGGAGTATTACTATATAATCGCGCACAAGAATATGATAGATTAAACAAAGCAAAATTACGATATAGTTCAAAAGTTAATTTACAGTAATATAATTCTAAAGTTAATAAAAATTTATATTCGATAAAAATAGGTGTTTGTATTAAGCACGTTATGTCACTAAAAATTAAAACAAATTTAGTACTAATTTTTATAATGCAATATTTTTTTCATTACAATGACAAAGTGTTTACAGTCTTAATTAAAATATGAAAGTGAAAAATACATCTTGCATTTTAGATTAGGGTTTCCATGTTTTTTTTCAAAAATTGGGTCATTTCTAAATTTTTACTTTAAAAACCTGGAACATTTTGAAAATATAAATTAGTCAACAATGTTTCGTGGGATAGTTATGCTAAAATATGAAATAAAATCCTTTATTCATATTCAAAAATGAAACATTTAGGATAAATTCGGGACACTGAAACCCTATTCTAGATGCATTTTATAATAATATAGCTTTAATTGAAGACATGACGGTACAAATTAACATGATCATAATAAGTTATATGAAACATCACATATGACATAGAAAAAAAATCAAGGTAATATAAGTCATTTTTTAGCAATGTAACTTACATACATACATGAAGAAATTTAATAAATTATAACTGATTTACTTAACTATGGTATTTTATTTGTTTCAATGCACAAATTAGGTTAGGTTAATTAGGTTAGCAGCACAGCTGATTCTCGCCTTTTACACCGCTCTACACTGTCCTCCGTTAACTTAAAGACCCGTGGCAGGAATGCGAGAAAAGTAGAAGGAATACACGTATTTCCATGTACACATTGAATTCTAGTCCGCTATTCGTCACAGCAGTTACACACGCATGCGTACTGACTATCGAAGAAAGTAGTGAAATAGAAAGGTGGGCGGTCCGACTTCTCTTGCCCCTGTGCTATCCTGCAGGACTTCAAGTCAGCGGAACACCGTACATGTATTTTCCATTTTTTATGGTGTAATAAAGATATTATTAATTTGCAGTATTTTCCATAGACACAATCATATAACTGTTTTCGATGTATAATTTACTTTAAGAACTTCATATGTGATCGTTTAAAACTTTGCCTTAATTCTAGTAACTATTGTATTATATTTTATAAGATATAAATTACATAAAAATATGTTACATAGAATATTAGAAAAATAAATCGTTTTTACGAGGAACTATTTAGTACCATTTAGTTCTTTCTTACATCATACTAATATCTTTTGCAGTCAAAGTTGTAACAGTATAAAGCGTGACTGCAAAGTTCAAAGAGTTATTATCGTGTAGGAATGTTAAAATTTTAATAACTATAAATCTTTTCGAAAATTCTTTTCTAAAATTGATACAAACGTCTATATCAAGTTTATAGAGTCATAATCGTAATAATGCACTACTCGTTTTTATGATTTTCGCTGATTACTATATTTATTGGCAAATTTTAAGAGCTTGATCAAGGTCAGCTAAAATATCTTGTTCCGTTTCAAGACCAACAGACAACCGTACCAATTGATCGGTAATGCCTAATGCTGCTCTAGTTTCTGCAGGAACTGATGCGTGTGTCATCACGGATCTACACAAATAATTTAAAAATAGAATAGGTTCATCTGCACATATTATAATAAAGTATTATTTACTTACGGCAATTCAGCAAGGGATTCATAACCACCAAGTGATTCTGCTAATGTAAATAATTTCAGTGCTTTTAAAAACTTTGCACTATCACCTTTAAGATAAAATGAAACCATTCCACTATGACCAGATGTTTGTCTAAGAGTAAGTTCATACCGTGAGTGTGATGGAAGATCTGTAATTAAATTAAATTGCTATCTAATCGAAAAATATAATACATAAGAATGAAGGAGATTTATTGTATTGTAAACTCGAATAATTTTATTCCACTTATTTAAATACCACCAAGAAAAATTATAAAGCAAGATTATGTACTTTGTATACATACATGGGTGAATTACTTTCTCTACACAAGGATGAGATTGCAAAAACTTTGCAACTGCTAACCCATTCTTCATATGCTGTTGCATTCTAATCTCCAATGTTTTCAAACTGCGATTAACCATAAAGCAGTCAAAAGGTGATGGCACAATGCCCAAAGCTAAAATAATTTAAAAATAAATATTAATTTTAGACAAATAAAAAATAATTTGCATTACTAATAAAATTGTGTAAACTACCATTTTGTATAAACCGAAGTCTTTTTTCAATATCATCTCTATTTGTAACTACTGCACCCATAAGAACATCCGAATGTCCATTCATATATTTAGTCAGAGAATATACTACAATATCTGCACCTAATTCCAATGGTTTCTGTATAAAACAATACATATAATGTAAATTACTTAATTACATTATACTTTTAAATGAAAAATATTACCCACCTGAAAGTAACATGTTAGAAAAGTATTATCTACCACTGTAATGATTTCAGGATATTTTTGTTTAAGCATATCCGTTACTGTCTTAATATCGATTATTTTAAGTAGAGGGTTAGTAGGAGTCTCGATCCAAATCATCTAAAAGTAGATATATAAATGCATATATACAGTTATGAAATCTTAGCAAATATAATGTTGCTAAAATTATAATAAATAATAAATATTATATCTGTGTTTTCCATAGTATCAGCATAATTCAAGAGAGGGCATGATAAAAATTTTTAGTATACAAAAACTGCGAATGAAATATCTCTTTCAATTAATACATTCATTAGAGTTTCATAACTGTAAAATATATTTCTTCCTTATCATTTTAAACATGCCACTTATCTTGGGTATAAATATTCTTTCTTTTAGGGAACATCTTCCAAAATATTTGGAAACAACTGCTGCATATCTTTCATATTGTATGAGCAATCATTTATATTAACACATCATTTTTCCATTAAGTTTCAAGACTTCTTCATACCTTTGTATTTTTTTTTATAGCAGACACAATATTATTCACATCTGTCATATCTACAAATGTTACCGCAATATCATGCATGGATAAACATTTTTGAAAGAGACGATAGCTTCCACCATAGACATCATCCCCAGACAGAATATGATCTCCTGCTTTTAATAATGAAGACAATGCTGTTAGAGCACCTAATCCAGATGCAAAAGCAAATCCATATTTTCCATTATCCAAAGCAGCTAAACATGTCTCTAGAACTCTTCTTGTAGGATTACCACTTCTACTATAATCAAACCCCTAAAACATTAAATAATAATGAATAACATATTTCAAAAAACATTTCAATTTGTTATAATAGCTATTGAATTTACTAAAAGCTTGTTGGACATTATTCGAATTACTAGAATTTTAAAATAAAGAAACTTACTCTATGTTGTGCAGGCCCATCCTGGCGAAAAGTAGTAGACATTACAATGGGTGGTATTACTGCACAATGAGTCCATTGTAATGGATCTTGTCCAGCATGTATAGCTTTTGTTGCAAAACCCTTAACCTCTGACATTCTATTAAACACATTGTTTAAAATATTTCATTAAAAGTAAATATAATTTATTTAACAACGATTAAAATAATTTTACAACACTTTGTACATTATTAAAACATATGTATATACATTACATTTAAGTATGCTATATTTCGTATTCTATAAAATAAATTTCGATATTTTCTTTGTTAATTATAAAGAAATATTCACATTACTGAAAATTGGCAAACTGAAACAGATGTGACGTGCAAACTATTATGAATTTCATCATAAACGCTACATGTGCCAAGAAATGCTATATTTATGAAAAGTACAATGTTGCAAGAATGCAACGCGTGCATTAAAACAATTTTTAAGAAAGAAATTATTTGAAAGTTTGGCCTACCCACTGATATTCATGACTTTTGGATACGACCATTATCAGGCCTTAGATTCCGAGATACTCCCACGTTAATACGTGCAAAAAAATTTATACCGAATCATTGTTTATCGTAAAAAAAGTTATAGATACGACTGAAATTCATTCAACTTCATTGTGACAAATTTTATTCACTTTGTTACGAGTTTTGAGACACGTGCACGTACTAAAATCTTTAGCATTACCGAGTAATTGATAAAACTATAATCAGCAGTCGCCCGGCCTTGCATACTGACACGTCTGTACAAACGTGAATACATAGGCCAATCACAATTCAACAGACTGTACCATCAGAATATTGCAAATATGCTTGAAACTAAGGCCGACTGCCATATTAGTGCAGAGGAAGCAGTTATTTCAAATCTTGTTCTTTACAATATATCTAAAAATCATCGAAATCGATAAATTGGCCTAATTCCCAAATAATTACCGAAAAAATATTACTTACGTAAATTATTAATGTTTAAGTTAAAACAAATTTAAAAAGTAATGTAAATGTCACAAATCACAGAAATAGTTACTAATTAATAATGAATAAAACGTTAAACTTATACAGATGTTAAAAAAATATATACACGCATCATACCCAACGTACAATGATAAAATGATGACTAGTACAAGTAGTACCTATTTAATATAGTCTACTATCCGCTCAACTTAAGGGGGGATTCTCGTGTGGCAAACTTAAAATTTGATGTTTCCTTTTTTATTTTTTCGTAAACAATTAAAAGTTCTATTGTACTAGACTTTTAGGGGCATGAAGGGAGATTCTTGAACTATACGAAAAAATTTTTTTAATCTATTTTTTGTTATTTTTTATTAAATAGTAGTTAAGTCTTTTAATCTTATCCGATGATGTTAACCATAGTTGGTGTACAGTGTGGCATCCATCATAGAGATCAGAATGCAACAAACGAAAAATTTTCTTGAAACTGATTGGTTTTCACTGGTACTGAGCCTATTTTAAACAAAAAATATGGAAAATTTAAGAAACTATAGCATTTTGAAGAAAAAATCTCCATACCAAACAAAAATATTTTCTTTAATAACTTTTTGAGTTTAATACTTTCATACTTTTATAATTAATATTACTATATGAAACTAAGTATTAATGTAAATGTTGCAAATGATTATTAATTCAATCGTTCTATTACTTATATTAAATAAAGGCTTGTAAGATGAATCCTTATTTTAGCTCTTAAAGCCTTGATTCATGATAATTTTTTACCTGTAACCACAATTTATGCTCAACACAAAATTTTAAACATAAAGAAACAATGTTTTATTCGAAATTTGATCGGGGCACCGGAAATGTTAAGGTTTAGCAGACGATACACATTCGTAATATTAAAAGGCAACATTGGTCTGTTCTTATAAACGACGAATATGTCAACCAATGCGATACGTTCCTACTATAATTAAATCGATATTTACTCGATTATTCAGCGAACTATCAACCTTTCGCGAGTGAAGTTTCTCTGTCTAACGAATTATTTTGACACATCGAATACAATCTTTGAAAAGAAGTAACGCTCTGAAATGAGAAAAGAAAGGGAAATTAACGTTTTCTTATTGTTACTTTTCGTAAATGTTGCACGTAGTGATACATATATACCCGTAAACCGAGAGGATCCTTGTATAAATTTGTGTGAAAAAACACCATTCTCATTCACGAATGTACGTATTCCAAATAGCAAAATTTTTTGGTTGTATATTGGAAATAAGAGATTAACAATAATGTGGTATTTATAATTTCAGAGTAAATATGTTAAATCGTGTTGTCAACGAGGATGTAGATTCTTCAATCTAGTGGACTTGCATAACGGTTTAGAACCAAATAGCTTAAATGGCACTAGAGACGCTTGTAAAGCTTGTACGTGAAACTTGTATATATTAATTATTATAATTCTTAAGTTAATATTGTTTAAGTAATTTAAAATGTAGAGTACATATTAGAGTAAATATTATTTTAACAGGCTGAGCGCTGAGCAAAATTTGTATGTTTTTCAAATTATTATATGAGAACTAGAAACATTCCATACTTCAATAATATATTTATCATTTGACAGTATTCCCAATGACATTAATATTATTAAAACATTTACAAGTATTAGGATTTATTTATGGTAAACATTTCAAGATTACCATAGCACTCAGCTTGTTAATATAATTGTTCAATAGTAGATAAGAATTATACAATGTCTCATGTATTTTATTCACACAATTGAGTAAAGGTAATATTATTTAATTTTGTTATAGCATGTACAGAGGCATATACATTGCCACAAGGTCGCTGCGCATGCAGTACTGGTTGCGATTTTATGGCTAAGCAGCGTATTTCAGATCTGTTATCGCTCTTTTCTGTTGCTATCTATATAGAGGAAGGAGTAGATTCTAACATACTTTTAATGTCACCAGATATACCTGACAATGATATCTTAAGTGATCCAGGTTTACGGAAGGAACTTCTTCCACGATGGTGGGACTCAAACGGATTTAAACTGCCACAAACATATATCAAAACTGTCCCATTAGATGCTGGGGTAAGTGTTAACTGTAAATAATTTAAACAGAGAATTAGATATTTTAAAATAGAAATGTGGATGATTTTTATAATTTTAGAAATATAAAATTCAAGTGTTTGATCTCATATATGCTTTTAAAATGTGTAGTTATTTTTCCTATAATTTTCAAACACTTAATGTGTTTAAAATTAATTTTAAATAGTTAATTATTATTTAATTTAGCATATAGTATTAAATAATATAATCTGATAATAATACATACAATGTAGACTATGGATTACGGTGTACCATCAGACTACTCTGGAGAAAGTGACCAATCAGCTTCAATACCTGGATCTGATTGGCTTCAATGTGCCTCAAGACATATTGGACTGCCACATTGGCTTCTTGTATGTGCCCTTTTAGCAGCAACTCTATCTGCATTTTGGTTATGTGTATTTGCTGATAAACCTAATGATGCTTATAAAAAAATGCTTATCGCGAAGTCTGATATTTCTCCTACAGTTGCATTGTATGTACCAGAATTACCATTGCATAAACAACCTCCACCTAAATATTCTGAGAGCATTGATGTAACAGAAGTTAATATGAAAGTTTAACTAGGTACTTTAGTACCATAACTTTTATGTAACTTTGAAAACTATTTCAATTTAAGTATATTATTAGTTTTGAATAAACTGTGTTTTGTATTATGTATATTAGTGCTTTATGAATATTGCAATTATCAAAAAGTAATCGCACTTTCTGTTTCCAATGAAATCATTAATAGTTAAAGATAAGCTTCTAAAATTTACGTAAAGCTTTAAAAATTTAATTCAAGCTTCAAAGTATACAAGAACTAAAATCAAAATAAATTATAAAATAAGATACAAAATATTTTCTGAAAGAATGTATGGTAACGTACATATGCTGGGATTATTTTATACAAAGTAAAACTGTTTTTTATAACAGAAAATAACAGTTCTTATTACCTATTACATTCTTTTTCTATGAAGATTGTAACAAAAACGATCATCGAAGTAAAACTAGCAAAATGATTAAAAAAAAATGCACAGATGTAAGACTGCATATTATGTACTTTGTTAGCTATTTAATGACGATCAAAAGCTTTTATATTTATAACAATATATTATTTTTCTAAACATGATTTACAAATAGTAAAGGAAAATATTCTAACTTTAAATACTGCACATTCATTTAAAAACTTATTCATATGTTGTATAGTATTTTTTTCATGTAGACAAAATTTGTAGTCGTAATTTATACACATTTAGAAAAACTTGTTTTTGGTTGTTCTAATATTAATTACAAATTTTAATACTAAAAAACAGATATCACTTCATGCACTAAAAATGTGGTCTTTTTATTTTATTATTTAAAAAACATATATTTAATTTATATAAAGGATTTTCTGTGTTCTTCATATTTAATATTATAGTACAATCCTATTTCAGTGGAATTTTGAAATGCGGTATGGTATGTCACATAATACATACATAACGAATATTACTATAAATATTAAAATATAATTTAAGATTTTTTCCATACTTTAGCTACATTATACTGAAATGTATAAACTTGATATTTTCTCTCATTGTGTAAATTGATGTGTAATTATATAATCAATGTAAGACATTGCTTACAAATAATAACAAAAGTAGTAATGTCTTTACCTTTGTAGTATTAAATGTTAAATCGTTCATAATTTAATGAAGTTAAAATAATAAATCAGTTAAGGAATTATACAATTACTAAGATCATCACCATTTTAAAACGAAATTATTTTTATATTACTATAATATTGTTATTTTGTTAGTTTATTGAAAATGATAAAAAAAATATGTTTTAAATTGGAAAAAATGTTATTTAATAGATAAATATATTTGCATTTGTATAGCTATAAGTGTTACGAACACAATGTTGAAGGAACACATAGGTTATTATTATAAATCACTTGGTGAAAAGATATCTGTATTTAAAAAAAAATCAATTTTTATAAGCAATGTTTACTTATGGGATACGTTATTATAAAAATTGATTTTATTAAATAATTTTTTTTTTATTCAATATCGATAAAGTTTTATTGTTTTAAATAGAATGGTTAAAAATACTCAAAATATGTTTCTTTTATGTTATAAAAATAATAATAGAATTTTAAATATTTAACGGTGGAGTATGTTGTAAATACTGATATATTTAATGTATAAGAAAGTATATTTCAAACCAAAGTATCATGTTCCTTACATAGGATATTGACAAATTTACTGTATTAATAATAAATATTTGTTATCTTGCTATGTATTGTAAAAAATAAAAAAAAAATGATACAAAGGTGTATAAATTCTATTTATTATTTTCCTCATGTTTGAATTATTTTATTTAAACAGAACAATTTTTAGAATTTTTATTTTGGGACAGGAAGTTAATGTCAACATTTAACAAGTAAAAAAATTAGCACCTTTTGGAAATATCAATTACGGTGAATGAACAAAAAGTATATTCTATTGTATTAATACGGGGACTTACATCAATGGTAAGCTGTATAAACTATCCAATACAAAAGTACTTTGATAGAAAACAAACAACATTTTTCAGTTTTTAATAATCCTTTTGTTATTTGTCAGTATTTTTGAAATTTTTTATACTAAAGAATCATTTTTTCAATTCAAGATAACTAGAATATGTACAATATGAAAAAGTATCTCGAATCAAAAAAATATTCACAATTCTTAAATGTAAAAAGAATTTATCTGTACAATACAACTAGTGTTTATCTTTTTTAAACATTATCTTAACTTCTTAAGTATTTAAAGCATTTACAGCCAATAAAGTTTTGGGTCATCTCTTCGCACTTGAAGTTTTAACACGTGCCTATATATTTTTAATGCTGGACCTAAAAGTAGATCGAGCCCGCTTAAAACATCAGACCGTTTCATTAACAGTAAAGAATGACCATCAATGTCCTGAAACATATATCAGTACAGATGAACATTAATGAAAATATTTTTAAAAAGGAAAGGAATTTAAAAAAAAATGCAAGAAAAAGGTACCTGTTGCCTGAACACTTCGGCTTCCTTTGGAAAAAGTCTTGCAAAATACTGATACACTTGTTCAGATGTCCAATCTGAAGCATCAGGTATGTTTGGATCAATTCCATCTCTTGGACCATCATCTTCCATTTGGTCAGAGGATCCTCTGGCAGGAGAAACTTGAGGACTTAAAACTGGGGGTAAAACAGGTGGATTTGATGGTGTATCGGGTCTGCTTGTAACCAGGTTAATATTCTGGTTTAGATTTGTTTTATACTGCTTTTGGTTACAGTCATTACATTGCCACTTTGAATTTGATTTAGGAATTATTATTCGTGGTGTGTGGCAATAATAATGATAAGCTTCGTCGCAAGTGAAACATGTTGCAAGTGGACCCTGTAAAATGTGATTAAATTATAATACAAAAAATTGAAAATAACAATGTATCTATTTTAATCAACTTACAGCATCTGAAGTTTCACAACATATTGTACAACTCTTGCAACGTTCACATTGCCAGTTACTTCCTGCCTTTTGGATCATTTCTTCTGGACTATAAATACAACTTGGGTGCGCTATAAATAAATTTAAATTTAAGTATGTTAATTTAAAAAGTCTATTATATTTTCATATTAAGAAACATACCTCGCACAGTACAATCTCTGCAAGCAACCAAACTTTCTTGTTTTTCTTTGGCACAAAGACTACATTGTCTACAAGGTCCGTCTTTGACAGTTGATTTGGATGTATCTTGAGTTTCTTGAGACAAAGAAGACTTATTTTGAGAACCCGGCTGTCTTCCACGCTTTCGTTTTACAAGATTATTGTCAGAAGGATCAAACACTTTTTTTGCTCTCTGAAACATGCATGTTTTCGTTCATTTTACTGATTGTATATATAAATTTAGTTGAAGTATTTAATACGGTAAGCAAAATTTGTCATATCTATAATCATTAAAATAAATACCTTTCTACGAGCGCTACGAAATCCGCCAACATTAGCATTGGATGGTGTAGGCGAAGGATTAGTGGAACTCCTTCCTGCATCTTCGTCTTCCCGTTCTTCACTAAGGTGTCCAGCCTCTTCTCTCTTTTCTTTTTGCGAACTTGTTTCTTCTTTATTTTCTTTTCGATAATCCTCAAATTTGATCTCTATGTCCATAGGATCATCTGTTCGAACAAGTAAACGCTGTTTACGCTCTGCCTTCGATGATCTTTTGAGGTTATGAGACTGATTATCCGTATTCTTGGAATCATCTTTCACATCTTCGATAGAAGTTTGCGACGGTTCCTGAGAATCATGTTCCTTTATGGAATCGTGTTCCACCGATGATTCGGTGTTCTCGTTTCTTCCAACGATTATCTCGAAACATTCTTCTTTTCTAATCTGTGGATCAGGCTTCGGGCTTGCTTGACGCGAGGATCTCGGCGTATTCGACCTAGAATCCGTAATCGTCAAGTTTTCTGTCTCGTCAAAATCGTATAGCCCGCCTGTCGTCGACGAAACAGTCTGTAATTCCTTGCGACGCGCGTTTCCATTCTCGAGGGTAAATGATTCTCGATGCGTTGGCTCGGCGGTGGTTGTCATGTCAGACGTCGCCACCAGCGAGTAATTGCCGTTAGACAGACGCGTCAAATTACCGCTGGCTACTTCTTTCCCGAGGAAATCTTCTACCATACGTCTAGAGGTAGGATTTGAAACACCATCGAGCAACTGCTCGACCAACCTGTAAGCTGGTACACCTTGATCGAGGTAATCCGGCTCCTCGACAACGAGCTCGGCCACAGCACCCGCCACCATCCCGGAGTTCAATTTTTCCTTCACGAAACCCTCCGGCCGATTTTTGTAAAGCTGTAATCGCGACCATTTCGAAGCATTTCTATAACTGGTGTTACCTTTATAATCAACCTGTATCACCTTTTCCGCTTCAATTAACCGATGCAAATCTGCAATAGTGTCTCGTGCATCTACGGAAAATTTCCTTAATAAATAATTACAAATACGATCAGCGTCAGGACGCGCTTTACGTCGACGCAACTGGTCTATCGCCTCCAGGATCTGCTCCTCGTGGAGTATTTGCGTTTCTACCCGGTGTTGCTGCATTATTATGCGTCAATAAAACGTTTTGCGCAAGAATGCGATATTTCACGGTATATGTTTGTATAACGTTCAATAACAACGTACAATTCGCAGAAATGATTTTTACTGTGCTTTTTGCATGTCTTTATTATGTGTGTACCATTCGCGCGTGATGTCATAACGACCGGCAAATTTCTATATATCGCGTGTGTATCCGCTTCTGGCTGTATCACTTTGCCGTATTTCGCACAATCTTCATCCTTTTTCTAAATCATTCGTGCGATGCGATGCGGTGCGAACGCAATTCTTGCGGTCAGAAACGTATTTCAATCTATCATTACGTCACGTGAATACCGAAAGCACTTGATTGCATTTAAAACGATGCGTAGATTAAAAAAGTCGATCATTTTTACGATAGGAATTGCCCCGAACCCTGTTGTATCAAGCGTAGAATCATATTTGCATATAAACAAGTTCGAGTAACAGATTATAATAAAAGCATGTACCTCGATGCGGCTATACGTACATGTTGTGTCTTGTTCTTAATTTTATGAACGTATTGCTGCTGGCGGAAAAGTAGCAACACAACCGGAGAAACTCGTCAACGTGATGCAATATTATCGATTGCACGGATCGACGAAGTCAATAATGTACAAAATCTATGGCGCATTCGAAACGCGCGAAATGTCTTCACAACGTTCAGCGTTAATCACCGAGCGCAAAGCGATTAAACGCGGCTCACAAGCGAGTCCACGAATGATCACTTTCTATTGTTCGTTCGCTACCGGGAGAGGATTTCGAATCGCGTACCGCAGCTGCGCCGATCCATTGTTGGACTGAAGCCGAGAAGTGCACGGCAACGACGACGACGGCGGTGGCGGCGGCGACGACGTCGAGAGGCAATCTGACAAAGTCAGGTCGTCCGCCGCTGCTGGATCGAACATCGAACTGCAGCGCGACGCATTTCACACCCTTTGCACGCACTTTCGACGTCGTGATACTTTTGTGCCCGCGCACGTAACTTCCTTCCGGCAATCGTGAGACACGATTTAAAATTCGAACAAATCGTTATCGAAATATCGCTAAACCGAACAAAGAGAGCCGTCTTCACACTGGTCGCGTACTGGTTGTTCCTTCTCTTTTGTTTCGCTCGTGAAAATGCACCGATCCATGCACCCATAAATAATGCCTGTTTCACGGGGACGAAACGAAGTAACCGGGGAATACTTGCACTACATACGTGCCAAGTGACCGTCGAATGTCTACGCCACGCGCCAATCGCCGAACGACGGATACCTCTCCTCTCACCGATCACTCTCGTCGCACGCAGACAAGTTTTCCACAGCGTTGGATCTCTCTGTTAAGCGCGCTTCGCGACAGTCCACTTCGATACACGCGACCAAACGACGATTCCACGAGTCCACAATCTGCGAATGTGCATGCCACACGTACATATCACGGTTACATGTGCAAGTTACGTGCGTATACGTACCATGCGGGATATATCGCCGCCGGTTGCGTTCCCCGTATACGTCCGCGTACGCGTACGCGTTGACACTATGCACGGGTTACTTGTAAAATGCTTTGACGGTCTATCATCTACTGTATACAGTGACATATACAACAGTTCCGCGAATGTCGATAAACTTCAACGATTATGTCGCACAATAGCCCACCGCAACACACCGCGAACCTGCAAGACGCGGTCTTTTCCCGAGCTGGCCTCGGCGCGCGCCAGCCTCTTCTCTCGCTCCCGGTTCGACCGGTCGAAAATTCTCACTAATTCGCAATTTCGAAAAGTATAATACACATATATCTAATCACTATTACTTATCAGATCAACGCATTATTTGTTACAATTTCCAAAGTCCTTCCGATTCTTTCTCGAGTATCGTGTACTCCAATGTAGCGCAACGCGCGAGACGCGCTCTTTTTCTAGAGGCGGCCTCTCATGCGCGCCGCGCCAGCTCTCCTTGTAGTACAGAACGCCCAAAAAGATCGAACTCTGTGAAACTGTGACGCACTTCACCTCACTGATACTGTCACTCTCGACAATTCACGAAAAATCGTTTGCATCGCTGGTGAGCCTTCTTTACGGCCGCTTACGCGAATTATTTCGACAAAACCGAAGAGCGCCAAGCCGGGTGCGGCTACACGCGAGTGTGGACGGACCGCCGCTGGAGTACGGAACACGCGGAGCGCACTTTTTGCGGGGACGGGTCCGTCCAGGCTCGGCGATATCTTTGTTAGCACCCTACAAGAAACCGGCTTCTGCGCATCGCTTTCATAGACTTATTTCTTCTCTCCGTATAACAGCTTTGTTCTTTTTTTTTTTAACGAACGATAATCATAGTCTTGTCCATTTTATCGTTTCTCTGTTTGAACAGTTAAAGCGAAAAAAAACATAATATTTTTACAGGGAGTATTGATTCCACTTTCGCATGGAAGATTTGGAAATTCTAGTTTCTCCCGTTCATTTTTTATTACATATTTTAAATGTTTATTTTTAAATATAACAAACTCAAAAAGTTAAGCGTTAATTTTATTCGCAAGTACGTGGTGTAAACGTATTTTTCATCAATTTAAATTAAGAGGAACGCGTAACTAATATTTTTTGACGATTTACACATGATACGTTACTGTGTCTTTGATTTTAGAAACGACCGTGACGTATCGGCCATTTCCGAGCGCTGCTGTCCTCGTTCCCGGCCGAGTAGCTCCCTTTTGAGCCTGTTTTCAGACAGACGGATCTGACGCAACAGATCGCAAGCAAATCTTAAGTTACGTTGCACGTGACATATTCAAATGTTCGTTTTTCTTAATTAACCATCTTAATTGCTATCATTTTCGCTTATGATTTTAAATTTATAGATTTATCCATTTCTTGTTTTACAAAGATTTCGCAGACATTCTATCCGTACGTAACATAAAGGTAACGTGTTTACCAGTTAAAAGAACAATACCACAATTAAATATACTTCTATAATATAATACAGATAAAGCAACAAAATTCTTTTGTTTTTTGCTTATTGCATAGGAATAGTTCAGAAAGAATATTATTGCTATATTAAATTTTAAACAAATTACTTTATTGCAAAATACATAAGTACAAAAATATAAAAATACGAAAGTACGGTTCTTTTAACGAATCTTACTTTTGTTTAATAGCACAACCACAATTGATTATAAAATAATTCCTTTTATAGATTAATAATTAATATAATTGTTTTCTTTCTCCATTACATTGGTACCAACACTGTGCCGTCGAAGTTTTGAGATCTGTTAAGAAATAAATTTTAATTAACTATACATATGAATGAAATTATTTTATTAGCAAAATACAATTTGATATATACCAAATTGATCGGCTTCACTTTGTGCATAATCTTATTACTGTTTCTCAGAGGACTCTGTTGCATATTGCAGCCAGTATTTTTCAAAGAAACCGGCGAATTCTTTTGAGAATTTGATAATTTATACGATTGCTGTGGCAATTCAGATAATCGCTCGTAATGATTAACATCTAATGAAGAGTTTAATCTCTTACTCACAGGAGGAGTCTGAGATTTTGGAATGCTAGAATTCGATGAGCGTCGTTTAGGTGTTGTTTTCTTCGGAGATTGTAATTTACTAATTCTAAAAGACAAGTTAAATTAATTTGTTACAATCTTCTTTTTGTTTGTAAATATAATAATGTTAAACCTACCTTTTTGGACTATTATTTACTCCATTGCTATTACTAACATTTCTGCGTGTAGTTACTGGCGAAATATCACAAGAAATATTACGCTTCCTTGAATAGTTACTTATTTGTGATTGTATTTTACAAGTTTTAAAATTCAAAGAATCTGGAGTAGATGATGCCACTGGTTTTGAAGATTGCGAAGATTTGTTCACAGTGTATTTGTTTTTTGCAATATTATCTGTTGAATTGGGTGTACTACTAATAATTTTGTGCGACTTAGGCGGCGTTACAGAGCTGGTGGTTGGAATTGCTTTTTTATTAATGGTATCTAAAACACAAAAAATACAACATTCAACAAATAATGATATATAAATAATGTAACTAACATTTATATTTCACTTCATTTTTTACTCTCGTACCTTTTTTCTGCATATTTCCTATAGGCAAAACAGCTTTCAGTGGTCCCTTTTTATGAGGAATATCTCCACCAACTTTTGTTTTAAATTTAGTTTTAACTGTACTTATTGTACTCAAACTCAATTTGTTAACTGATTTTGTTTTTATTGAAGTTTGTGTTTTATTTTCAAATTTTGCTTTAGATTTTTTTGAAGTTTGTTGGGCTTCTATACCATTATTATCACTTTTTGTATTTTCATTCACATTACAATTATTCGAAGCAAAATTTAATACTTTTCCTAAATTTTTAAGTAAATTCAAAGTTGAATGTTCTTCAGTCTGCTCAGTTAATAATTTTCCTATGTTTGTAAGAAGTTCTATTGCAACTTTTTCGTTTAAACAATTATTATCATTTGTTTTACAAGAAGAGTGTTTTTTACACGTGTTTTGAATATCCAGATCATTTTCGTCCGTTTCTTTCTTTATATTTTCAGTACCGTTACTATTTATTTCTTTAAGGCATTCTTTATTATTAGCAGAATACTTATTGTTCGAATCATTGAAGTTCATATTTGAACAAATTCCTGATCCTTTAATGTCATTTGGCAAACCATTAGTTAAATTATCTTCTTGACTGAACTCCATATTGTTTTCTGTTACGTTTTTTATTTCTAAGGAATTGTTTGATTTTTGTGGACTTTTTGATAGATTATTGGTTGGACTGAGGTAAGTAGTCAATAATTCAGTATTATTTTCCCAATTAATACCTAATACTTTTTCCAAATTTTCTAGTAGTTTATTTGCTTCTATATTATTTTCTATTGTAATTAATTTCTTGAGATCCAATAAAAGTGTTGCAGTTGTAATACGTTTATCTATTGATATCGGATCAATAAGTTCTGTTTCCAAATCTTTTATTTTTTCTTTCACTGTATTAATAACAAGCTCTTCATTTTTGTTTGCATATGAATCATTGTGTATATGCTCCGTAACTATTTTATTTTTTGAATTTAGATTATTTTCATTCGGAGACGTGGGTAATTCAATTAAATTATCAACTTCATCATCAAACGCTGGCAATAACTCTGATGTCCATGATAAATTGTTTGACATTAAATCATCAATACTTGCTAAATCATAAAATAAATATAGATTTTGTCAAAAATTTATCTTTATATAATTGCATCTGTGTATTCTTATTAATTAAAACACTTAAATCAATAATTTTGTTTCATAATATTCATATTAGAGGAATGGTAACGTTTTGAGTCTAATATATCTTTAAAGAATATTAATTAAGTACAATATTAACTTACATTCCAAACTTGATTTTAAAGCCAATTCTTTAAAAGTTTTTGAAAGAACTTTTGCTTCATGAAGTATCGACTTATTAATTGTATTTCCTTCCTGTAAAATAAGTATAAGTACATTTATTTAAAATATTTTCCGAATTGTTTTTGTAATATTGTCTTACATTTCTTTATGAAAGTACTAGTAAATTAATTTTATTTGCTTACAGTAAATACTGAATCTGATGAGGTGTCCGAAATAGACGTTGTACAGTATTCTTTACTACAATTCATATCTGGCGTAAATACATCAACATCTATTAGTTTATCATTTGTATGACATTCTTCACTTCTTTTTGTTACAGATACACATGTGTTGATATCATCAGAAAAGACAGATGTGGTTTTATTTTTTTCCTTTGCAGAATTTTCAAGGCTAAGTTCTAAAGTTTTCATTTTTAATTCATTAAATCGATTTGTTAAATCAGATATTGAAGATTGATCTTTATTCAAGACATTTGTAACTGATGTTATTGAATGCCTTGATGTTGGTAACACTGACTTTGTTTCCTTTGTAAAATCCATCTGCTCTGTTAATCTGCTAAGATCTGATTTTTCAGACGAACAACTTTCTAAAAATGTTCGATTAATAGTACCATCTGATAACATAATTGATGGATGACTTGTAGAAGAAACAGAATTTATTCTATGTATGGAAGAAACATTTGATAAACTAGAAAATACAGAACTCCTGCTACTTAAGAATCCTTCATTTAATAGGTCAAGTGAATATAAAGAAGATACACTGCTTCTACTTCTAGAATTAATTCTTAAAGGTTCTACTAATGACAGTTCTTTTAAATTTTTTGATTTTTTTGACAATTCATCTTTTGTTTCCGACAAAGAACGTTGAAATTTTGGTATTCCTAAAAATGTGGTAGATGATGGAATTAAATTAATATTATCTTTATCTTTCTCTATACATATTGATGTCTCATTTTGTGAAATGGATTTCATTCGTTCTTTATTTAATTCTGTATCTGTCTCAAATAATGTATCATTCATTACAGACTGATTTAGAATAGACAAATCATTGACTTGAATATCAATATCACATATATTGTTAGTATTCTTTGAGAATGATGAGTTATTACTATCAGATTTCAAATCATCTCTCAAGAAATTAGTTTTATTCAAGTCAAATTTTACACTTTCATTGACTCTTTTATTAGTAGATAGATTTCTCTGTGTCAATTCTTTATTAATTAAGGATTCATCTAATGTCCTGTTCATTTTCAACTTCTGAGGATATCTTTTTTGTTTAAGACTATAATCATCTTTAAAATCAAAAGAACAGTTTCTTATTGGAGTGTTCTTTTTATATTTTGGCTTCAACGCTTTCTTTAAAGTCACCTCAAATGGATCATGCTTTTTTTGAATATATTCTGTAGTCTTATGTAGTACCATATCAAAGGGATTATTCTCCAAGCTATTGCGTTTGCCTATTACTAGAGAGTTTGGTTCATTGATATGATTATTGCAATTATTGCATGCTGTATCTGTAGGAACTGGTATTAAAGGTGACGCAAGTTGGGAACTCAATAAGCCCTTTCTGACGGGGCTATTTAAATCTATCAGATCACACATGTTCACGTTTTTATGCATTGATATCTCTTATTTTCTTTTCAATAACAATAGTACGGCCTTTCGAAATAAATTAAATATTACTTCATACAAATGTATGTACTGAGATTCATAGTATCAATTTATATTATTATTATTATTTGCAAACAACGTTATCACAGATCTTGAATGCACCAGCTCTTTCTTAAGAAATGCATTATCCTTCGTCATATAATAAACTTTCTTTTGGTCACGAATTTGTAAAAAACATTTATAGTTTGTAAGAGATTAAATTCTACAATTTCACGTGTTAACGGACATCAACGTTTACTGTAGACATTTCAAAAATCTCGAATTCACTGCCATCTAGTGGACGTTATAGAATTTTAAATGTTAAACTGAAATTGCTTCCTTTCAAATTGTTTGAAAACAAAAAAATAACCAAATTGGATATATTTAATCATTTCATTACATTATATTCCTATATTTGTTTAACTTTTAAATTAATTCATTCGCTTCGCCAGAGCGTAACATAATATGCGTATTCATACTACAATTGAATAGTGGTGGCTGTTTTTACAGTCTATTGAATATATTAATATATTATATACTATTTCATACTATTATCATCATTACACGTGTTATCTACACCACTACGTTATCAATGAGTTATCACAATGCAACCCTTAATCATTAGATAACACCTGTTGATATTGCATCGATATCATGGCATCCAAATATTTACAATATTTTAATAAATTCTAGTTATAATGAGATAGTGTTTATTTATTAAAACGTTAAAAGTGTTCTCTTAAAAGAAAAGGTTGTCTATTAGTAATGTAACCTATATATTCTATACAAATCTATATTATGCTTCGAAACTACTATATTTTTCGAGATATTTATACACGAATGACAATTACGTCATTGTTTCTGAATTATATTTTCGTAATTGAATTGAATATAAGACCTTGATTCAAATGAAATTTAAAAAATTGTCAAGCAACAAAACGCTTATTATTATTCAGTTAAGATATTTATTCGTATATCAAAGAATTTTGAATATAAATTATTGAATGTTTTTAATTTATCATAAATTGGAAGCACTATTTAATAATTTATATTTATATTTATATTATTATATCTAATTCTAAATAAAGCGAAACTACCGTTTATATGAATTTAGTTAATGTTTTAGAGTTTTAATTGAAAATGGAACTGTTTTATTCCTATAGGTATAGGATTTCCAGTAAAAGCTATCCTCAAGCTCAATCGCTTCACTGCCCATAAACCTTTTCCTATTGGTGCCCGTTTAGAAGGAAGTGGTAAATGATTGGCCAATGGCCAACGTCTATACTCAAACGCAACCTATCAGAGCGCTCCCTTGCGTTTACTAACGTAATGTAAAAATGCTCGTAAGAAGGCTGTTTCGTTAACGTTGGCGTCATCGCTAAACAGTTCTTCCGTTGACTGAGGTAGGAGGAATTGGGCTTCGGTAGTTTTTAATCGCTGAAAGCGTCTTTTACGGGCATAGTGTTATCGTGCATCAAGTTGATGATTTGATAGTGCGCGGACAAGTGATAGTGCAATAAAAGGATCAAATATTGTGAGAAAATGTCAACAAAAGCGAGTAAGAAGAACATATCGACCAGCTCGAGTAGCAGCGTGCAAACGCCGCAATTCAGCACGTCAACGCCGGTCGGGCAACGACCAGGAAGTCCTCTAAGTCCGACTCGTTATTCTCGTCTTCAAGAGAAGCAGGATTTACAAAATCTAAATGACCGGTTGGCTTGTTACATCGACAAAGTACGGCATTTGGAATCGGAGAATTCCAGACTTACGCGGGAGGTTCAGACGACCCAGGAGACTATCACCCGCGAAGTATCCAACATAAAGTCGATGTATGAGCATGAATTATCCGATGCAAGAAAATTATTAGATGACACTGCGAGAGAACGAGCAAAGCTCGAGATTGATACTAAACGACTATGGGACAACAAAGAAGAACTTAAGTCCAAGTAAATACTTTTTCCCGTATATGGTTGTAAAATTAAAATGCGTCGTAACATATATTAGTCAATGCAGTCTCGATATCAGAGAATACGATCAAGACTGTTACACCATTTATGCTTTCTCGTTTGTTTTAATTTTTGTTATTTTAGACTGTTGACACACGAATTACTATGAATTTGATTTATCTTGTATCATAATTTATAATTTGTATGCATATTATATATAATTCGCATTTTTCTTTGTCAAACATTTAAAGAAATCAAAAAATATGGCGTGTACATAGAGTTTGTCGTAAAGAAAGTTATAGTAAACATAGTCCTATGAATTACAAAATGGTATTACTATATAAATGTTGTACATATGTAAATAAATTTTCATGTTAACGTAACGAAGTAATAAATTTAGAAGGATATGGATTATTATATTTTAAGAGATAGAGATTACCAATGTTTACAAATATTTATTACATGTCTAGCTTGAATGCTATTTATAAATTACATGTTTGTTTAAATTAAAATATAAAAATATATTTTTTTTGGTGCAAATATTCAAATAATGGTATTATTAATATTAATTTGAGCAATTTTGTAATGCACCGATTTTTAGTTAACAATATAAGAGTCTCTAGGAATACAAGTTCCTTTGAAATAAATCAGTATTATTTTATAAATTTTGTACGATCTTTGAAAAGCTATATCATATTTTCTGTTTACATTACCACATATGGTTGTTATTGTGATTACAACATTGCTATATTTATATCTTAGGAATGCCATTATGGTTTCATGCATCTATAACAAGTAACTGCACTACTCACACATAATTCATTGTATAAATGTGTTATAAAATGCACGTAACCATGGTTTTGTTATAGCATTAGTAAAATAATTTTTAACAGAAAAGTGCAGCTTTTACTAAAAAATAATCATATTGCAAAAAATATATATTTTATTCAGAGTATTGTAATTATTAAGTGCACTTAAATATAATGGTTAATTCAGTTATTTAAAAGATCATAATTTATAATCTTTTATAAGATTTATAATTTGAAATTTAATGAAAAAAAAAACATCCGTGTGGTCTTTATATAATGTTGTCTGGTAATGTGGCAAAATTAGAATCACGAAATATACATATACAAACAATTTAATAAGTAGTATACCATTTACAACAAAATTCGAACTTATACTGACTGGTTATATTTTTAAGAAATGTCAGACGCGATAGACATTTTGACACGAGTATACTGGCGTGAGATTCATTCACGGAATCGTGACACATGCTTTATTCAAAGTAACTTATCAAATTATCGTGCATATTTTTTTTTCTTTTATTTGTACTTTGTCTTAATAAAAATTCTAAAATTTATACAGAAAATTAATATATTGTATTTATAATGTACATTAGATTTTACGAAATATAATGATTACCGATTACTTAAATAAGAAAACGGTATTAGAGGCAAAATTAGCTAGAAAAATAACTAGAAAAATAACTAGAAAAAGTTTAGAAAATACTAAGAGAGATTCCACAATAGGAATTTACTATAAAATTTTTCAATATTTGGGTGTGCCTAAGTTGAAACGTGACGTTACTACTACCGATTGCGTCACGCTTACTATGCGATGGTGATGTCATCTTGTATACGCGTATAACCTCGACTGAAAACATTGACCTCCTTTCGGTAAGCGTTGAGCAATCGATAAAAATACGGGTAGAATCCTGAAACAAACTAGAACTATTATTTCGTAGGGATCAATAAAGCGGAAACGATATTAATCATTTCATTTTTAGTTATATTATTCATACCGTTTACATTTCAGGTACGAATGTTTATTTTTCTTCGATTGATGTTATATTTTTATCAAAAACGATCAGAAGACAGTCGAATTTGCAGCATGAAAATTATAACATGTTTTGACCTACACTTAAATGTAGAAAATAAACGATTCGCTCATTTAATTAATCGATTATCGATATTTCACGGGATTTCTAAATCGATTGACAAAAATGTCCTACCGCGTGCGCTGAAGGATTAAACGCGCAAGATTTGCTTGTCATAACAAACACAATGAAATAATATTTGATGACAAATGCGAAATAATACTATAAGAAGTTTCGAATAATACTCTTAATATTTTTATCTTTTTTTCATCATTTCGACTCTCCTTTGAACTTACGATAATTTAATACGATTTAGATAAAGTAGTAAAGTTCAGTTATCAGCCCGACAGTATTGTATAGAAAGAGACATAGTGCCGACCTTGCATTTATAGCGATTATAAAAAAGGACGTTTCTCATAAAAGGAATGGCATTATCGACGAGACGCGTGTCCTCGTACAAAAATACGAACTCAACACTTCTCGGGAAATAATTTCGTCATGCGTAAAATTTATGTTCAATTCATGCATTCTTTTTTTTATTATGCAAGTACTAAGCCTGTATAAAAAAAAAATCGAATGTTCAATATTTTTATTATTTACCGTATGTGTAATTACCTTTACACTGTGTTTTCGTAAATGTTTCATGTAATACCGAAACATTATCTACAACAATTAATATACAAACAACATTAATATATAACGTTCATAAATCGTAAATTTTAGGGTAACGGAATCTTAAGGCCGCTCGAGACACTATGGTAGAAAATAAAATTCTCGATGTGGGTCGTTGCTTGAAATAGAAACATGCGAGCTCAACACTTCTTCACGACTATTGGACTGTCGCGAATGATCGAAATTTTCCTTTTATATACAATTTAGGGAATGCACAAATTTTTACTTTCTTTTACTTTCTCGAAAGTGACATAAAAAATGTCGACACTTTATGTTTATAGATTATAGTCATAGATTCAAAAGTACAACTGAATAAATTGGAATTATTAACAATTTTTTAAAATAGTATTTCGAAAATATGCTTGCCTATGCCAATAAATAAATAATTTTTAACATTTACCGTAAGGTATTCTTTATTTAATAACTAATGGGATGTTGAGCGATTTAAATATTTGAATTATAATATTAATTTCATCGTAATATTTTGTGTTACATACATTTTAGTTATCAACTTTTCTAACTATTTATGATTTTTTACAGATTAGAAAAGAAACTAATGGACTTGCAAGTTGCTGAAAGAAATTTGTTATTGTATGAAACTCGCTACAATGATTTGCAATCACAATATAATCAGTCTCAAGCAGAACGTAAAAGATTGACTGAAAGAGAAAGAGAATTGGAACAGGAAGTAGAAAAATTAAAAACATTATTGGAAGATGCACGTAAACATCTTGGAGAAGAAACTTTGCAACGTGTTGTCCTTGAAAATAGCATTCAAAGTCTAAAAGAAGATATTAGTTTCAAAGATCAAATTTATCAACAAGAATTGACAGAAACAAGAACAAAGCGACAGGTATATATTTAGAATTTAAAATTTAAGTATAGTAATTATTCATTGTTTAATTTGTTACCTATATTGAATTGTCAAAGAAAATGATATTTACATAAATTAAGTTCTTTAATGCTTCATGGCTTTTTTGCTTATAAATCGTTTATAATTCATTTCAGATGGAAATCTCCGAGATAGATGGTCGTCTTGCTGAACAATACGAAGCTAAGTTGCAACAATCTTTGCAAGAATTACGAGATCAATATGAAGGACAGATGCGAGCTAATAGAGAAGAAATTGAGTTATTATATGAAAGTAAGATTAAAAATTTGACATCTCATGCTCAACGTACCAGCGGGGCTGCTAGTTTAGCTGTTGAAGAGTTGAGACAAACAAGAACAAGGGTTGATGGACTTAATCAAAAAATCAATGAACTGGAAGCATCCAATAACGCCCTTAATTCACGAATCAGGTAATTTTGTAATATTTATGTGCGAGATATCGTATATGTACGACTTTGAATTTATAACAGAACCCATATTTTTTCATGAATGAATAAATACTATATGAATTTTCATACAGAGATTTGGAAAACTTACGTGAAAATGAGAAAGCACGTCATGCGGAAAGTATGGCATCAGCAGATGCAGAATTGGCACGTATGCGTGATGAAATGACTCAACAACTACAAGAATACCAAGATCTTATGGATATTAAAGTTGCTCTTGATTTGGAAATTGCTGCATATCGTAAACTTTTGGAATCTGAAGAAGCCAGGTATAATAATTAAAATATATAAATAAAAGTTCTCTAAACATATCTTGCTTAGTTTCAAGGGAAACATAATCTAAAATACAAAAAAAAAATATTGTCAAATTAGTATTGTTAATAATCTTTATTTGTAGATTAAATATCATGCCTGCACAATCATCTACAACAACAGTGTCTAGCGGTAGAAGTACTCCTTCAAGACATACACCTTCAAGAGGTGGAAAACGAAAACGTACTTTATTAGAGGAAAGTGAAGAACGTAGCAGTACTGATTACAGCGTATCTGGAACAGCTAGAGGTGATATAGAAGTTACAGAAGCTGATCCTCAAGGACGATTTGTGAAACTTACCAACAAAGGCAGTAAAGTAAGTAAAACATGTAGCATAATTTTACAGTTATTTTGTGTAATATCAGTATCCGTAGATTTTAGTTTGTTTGAATTATGTCTATGTATTATTTTAATTTTGTACAGGAAGTAGGACTTAGTGGGTGGCAAATCATTCGTAAAGCTGGATCTCTGGAAACAGTATTTAAATTTCATCGTACTGCAAAGATAGAACCAGGAGCTACTGTAATGGTATGGTCGTCAGATATTGGTGCTACACACGAACCACCATCAAATATTGTCATGAAGAGTCAAAAGTGGTTTACAGCAGATGTTATGACAACGAGACTTCTTAATAACGAAGGCGAAGTAAGCTTTCTCATACTTATTATGGATTTCGATAATATGAAGTCATGTAATGGTTATAATCATTATTTATAATTTTTTAATTTATAAATAGGAAATGGCCACTTCAGAATGCAAAAGGCAACAGTTATCCTCATCTCTGTCTCGGCATAGAGAAAATTTGGGTTTCCGTCCTTCCGAGGATCTTCACCATCAACAGGTATGTAAATATTATCTAGGTATGGCAACAAAAATAAGAATGAACATTAATAAATAATCATGAAAGTCGTATGTGCTGTTAAATGGTTTTAGTTAGTTTTGGCACTTTTTAAATCGGAGTGAAGATAATATATGTTTACTGTTTTTATATTTGAAAATAATAGTATAAATATTTTGTATTGTTTAAATATCTATAATTGCAATTGGCCGCAGACACACAAATATGTATATTTAAAAGTTAGTTATAAAATTATTTATAACTTTATTGTTTCCAAAGGTTGTTTCTTTCTAGCAATTTAATTAACGAAGACAATGTGGCTATAAAACGTTTTGATTTTCTACAGTAATTATTATTATAAATATTTGTAAATTTCTTTTAAAATTATCATTTTCTTATTAATTTTACTATTAGATGTAATATGAAAAATGTATGATAAGTAAATTCGGGGTGTGTGTTATCAACGCATCTTCTTATTCCGTAGAGAAGATATCTCTACCCATATTAAGTGGGCGACCGAATGGTTCTGATGAGTCGATTTATGTAAGTCGTTTTCAACTTATCGAACGTTACAATAGGCGGCGATGATTAATGTAATTCGCGCTTCAAGTACAAAGAATTATTTGGCTTTGTTTTTCTCCATCACAGCACTTTATTTTCATGCTCACGCTTAACTAAAACTTCACAAGTGTTCAAAGTATAATCTTTTATTAAAATATAATAGTTAACCACATTGTCTTTAACATATATAATTAATGAATGTAGCTTCCATTACATACATAAACTTACAATAGTTATTCCATATTCAATGCAATGTATCACCATTGGTATTATTATCATACATTTGTAATTTAACACATCAATGAAAAGGTCCAAACACTAAAACATATTAACAAATATCATTTTATTCTCAGTGAATTGATCAACTTAATTTTTGTATCCTAGTTGATAATGATATGCTAATGAAATTAAATAATTTTTGTTGTCAATTAATATTATATTTTTATTAAATTAATATAATTCAATTTTAGGATAGTATTTAACTAAATATTTTAACTAAATTGATTGAAGTTTGTATTGAATGTATTGAACACAATAATTGGATAGCCAAAAAGTACTCACTTTTCATTTGCGTTTATACGAGGCTAGCTAAATATTTTGTTATTCTAATGCATGTAAAAAAAAATTTTTAACAAATAAATCCTTGTTAGGTTAAATCAACAATGAAAATATTTCTTTCTAGCATAAAAAGTAAAAGTATTCTAACAAGTTTTATATGGTGTAAATATTAGACGTAATTATATTATTATGTTATAAATATTCATAATATAATGAAATATTTTCATGAGATGATTTTGCCTTGTCTCATAATTTAACATGGTTTGAATAGTGTAAATTATTTATTAAATTCCTCTGTCAGAGAGGAAATGCTTTTTAATTAAATTGTATAGCAATAAAGAAACTGATAATTGTAGTATTACATTGTTTGTACAAAGTATACAGCAGTGTTTAGTATTAAATTATTTGTACAGAGTGTACAACAGTGTTTAGTATTAAATTGTTTCTATAAATATATTTCATCGTACAAAATGTTTTTCACTATGATCAAATTATGGTAGAATCATATATGTGCGTGCATACTTCATAAGTGTGCGTGTGTATGTATTTTTACACGCATGCAAAAATAAGCACGCAAAATACGTCTGTGTCATAAGATTCTACACAAACGATTAACATTCATTAATAATTGCTTCAAATTATGTAACTAATAAATACAGAATAATATATAAATAATAGTTACGCCATGCTGTCTGGGTTAATAAAAGCGAGGTTTTAATTTGTTCTACAGAAATGTGATTCTTTTTTTTGTTCCAGGCCGATCCCCAAGGAGAGGAATTCTGTTGCCTTATGTAAAAACAAATTTATAAAATAATTTTAAGAACTCTAAACAGCACATTTTAAAAATGCTTGAAAGGTACAGGAAAGCAACACTTGAGAGGCTCGTTTAGAGGTCGAGCCCATTTCATCAACACAAAGAATATTCATATGATAATGTTTTGAATGATTTATTTTGCTTAAGAAAATAATAAAGAAGAGATTTAAAAGAGAATTCACGACGCTATTAGTACTTTATACTTCTAGAGAGATATGTACACCATATAAGAAAATATTCTGTAATATACTGTTTAAATCAAACTTAAAAAGTTTCATGATGACTGAAACGATTATTGCATTTATATACTTGCACATCGTACAAAACTTGTTTGTCCGTTGTATCGAAGTTACTACTTTATTAAATAACGAGCACGAAAAATTTTTTCATCGAGACCGATATATTTTTGGCGTAACATTTATTTTTACCTAGTCGTTAATCGTGCCTTTTCAAATGTAAAAAAGAGATCACTTTTCTTGGTAGATAATAGTATTTATTTTTAAGTACAAAACCCGGATGAAATAGGAGTGTGGTGCCTGTATAATATTCAAGCATATTCATTTGACAAAAAAAATATCTATACTATATTAATTTAGTTATATCTGCTCCATCATCCGGACTATGATTTTGTTAATTGTATCTGAGTTTATACCATTTATACCAATAATAAAAATCTCTGATTAACCATATTTCTATTGTATTTATATACAATACTATATTTTTTTGACCAGACCAAAGTATTTTTGGCATAACATTTAAAGGTAAATTTAATGGCACTAAGTATGCAAATATTAAAATTTTGTTATTAAAAACTTGTGAATAATTAATAAATGCAGAGGATTTGATCGTGTATGTGTATGTACATATACACTGACCTTGGTATACTCCGTGTGATAATATGAAGTGGCGCACCTAATTACATAGTGATAAATGATTAGTTGGCGTTCCATTACTCATTCGTGCTGTGAAGGGAAATAATTTATCGTCACGTTGACCACAAAGTCACTTATGCTTATCTTATGGCTCATTTAAGTGTCTTGTTAATCATCGATATCAAGAGTAAAAATTCGTGTAATATGTTTCGTACACGTTGAACTGGATCTAAAGAAAATCATATGACTGTAGCAAATTGACAAGAAATTATTTTTCGAAATTTAACAATTCTATTTGCGCCACATTAACAAGAAAGTAGATATAGATACCGAATAAGCTAATAAAAATATACTGGAAAACAGGAAAATACATGAATTAACAGGACAAAATATTCTCGGAAAAGGAAGTTAATCGCATGAGCTATCTTCGTTTATATTATAATAATCGCAACACAAACTGTCTTATTAAAGTCATTCTGTCTATATTTAAGAATATAATATAGAAAGATGAAAAAGACAGTGGCGTAGGCAAAGTGGCCTTGACAGGCCAGTTCGTATAGCGATTACTATGTGTAGTGATATTAGTTTCTGTTAAAGCAGGATTGTGTGAAGGGGGTGATGTATAATAATCCGTATTCCACTACTAAATGTATTCTCTTTATTTAATAACAGAATTTGAACAGAAACTATTCTTAACACGTCTTGCTCATGTGAGATGATGCCTGGAACTGAATTATCGTTAAAAATTCCCGCTCGGCTTTTGTTCGTGGCACGAGAAGTGCCGAGGTTGTCCGAGTCTGTCTGTACGCTCTATTGAGAAATGATGTGAACTTAGCCATTCTCAATAGTTTCAATGTTATTAATAATATTGTTTAATTTCCAAATCTGCCTCAATTTTTTTCTCACAAATGTTAGATATAATTAATTAACGTTTCTTTAATTATTGAACTCATTCCCTCTAAGAATAAATCTTTGACATCGAATAACGAGTATAAATTTTAGATTGATTCATAAACCAACTTTTATGTACGTTTCATTCGTAAATGCATTTATAAATTAGAATCTATTAGTAAATTTGTTAAGTCAATATATCAATAAATGATAAAAGTAGTGGTTTTACAGCGCACTTCGTGTTAAAAGACGGTGACCCTGGGAATCATATTCAACCCGACCATCGAAGTCGGTAATATTTGTAAATTCAAGAATTACTGTTACAGAAAACTATCATATCGTAGATCGAGCCAGTGAAAATCATAGACGAGGTATGTAGGCACAGATAAAGTATACAAGTAGACCTTACATCTTATACAAGAGGTGATTTTAACGTTCTCTTCTATTCATTGAAATTAGTGTCAATGGGAAAATAGACTGTAGTTGTGTGTAAATATATGTACGTGAGTTGTGAATTATGAATTATTTACGTTTCTTTGTCTAGTTAAAGTTGCAAATAATTTGCATTAATTGTATAGTTCCATTTAGAATTGCGAATGAGAATTTTTCGCGTCTGCTTTTCCTAATTTTGGGGATCAAGCCCCGATGTATCATATGGTTCATAACTAATTTTAGTAATGTAAAAGCATCTTGACTTTAGAAACGTACGACCATACAATGCGTAAATAATTTTTCATCAAAACTTTTGTCGATGTCGCATCAGAACTAAAATTCATGAATTTGCTGACATTACCGACGTCGACGATCGGGTTAAATATGATTACCAGAGTCATTGTCCTTAAACACAGAGTGCACTGTAATGCTATTGATTATTTACATGATCAGTGTTTCGATTCGTTATAACGCAACCTCGTATTGAATCAGTGGTGTAAACAATGCCTAATTATTCATTAAACTATTGTTTTATAAAAGATATATTTATTCTAAAACGTATGATTTAGTTACGGTGAGTGCTGCGAAATGTGAAGCGTCGACAGATTCGCGATATTCTGACTTTACAATCGATTATCGTTACAACGAATAAATTTTAATGAAATACGTATCATATTATCTTTTGAATACTCTGGCGAAAGAAGAATTAATCAGTTTCTGAATTAAGCTGACCTTGACTATCATTTTATGTATTCAGAAAGTGAGAGAGTAAAATTTATTCGTTTTGTTAGAACACAAATTCTTCGATCGATAATCGAATAGGAACGTAATATGCACTCTATGCGTAAGAAACGTAACTTTTTGAATCATAATTACGTGTAATCTTCGAAGTGAATAAAATGAACGAGTTCAAGAATCTTGTCATCCATCAATATAGTTCTACAGCCAAGGTATGTATTTACGTTGTTCTAGTACGTCTTCGTTCTTTTTTTTAGTGAGGTATCCCTATTTCTTTTCGAAATACAATTCTTCACCTAATTCGCGAGCGTTACTGGGTACAGTGAAGGGTTGTCATTCGTACTCTGAAAATTAACGTAGTAAGACGTGTCAAGACATGTCAGCGTTTCGTAGCTAACGAGGTGCGTATTTCTAACCTGTTGATCTTTCCTAATAATTGCTACTCGTGTTTTAAATATGATCTATTGGAATACGGTTTGGATTTAATCGTTACTTATTTATAATAATCGTTCATGTACTTTAATGCATTTTTATTTTATTTCTGTTAGAGTCTTTGATTGAAATTCGAAGTCAAGGAATTCCTTTTCGAAATAGAAGCTTCGGGAAACATCGGAGATTCCCCCACCCCCCGAGCTAATTCCCGAACGACGCTGGGTATAGCGAGGGGCCGCCATTCCTGTTGGAAAAATTGGCGCAGTAAGACATGTTCGGACATGTCCAGACGCGTCGGTGTCTCGCGATCAACGAGGTACGTATTTATAACCTGTTTATACATATGTCGTCATACTACTCGCGTTTACTCTCTAACGGTGCTTTCGTTTAGAATTAATATATTTCTACCTAAAATTGAGTCGGAATTGTGGCAAAAATTAAATCGTATTTCGCACGCTTTCTTCGATATTTAACCGGCGTCGATTCATATCTCTCTAAACGAAATTACGTATTTTTTAGATATTATTTCAAGTTCCATTATTGTTTAATTGTCATTAGATATGTGTACTGCAATGCATTTGATTTTAATTTGTACGTTATCTGTGTAGCAGTCTCTGATTGGAATTCAAATAGAAGGCAAGCTACCGCCACGGAATCGACGCCATTACACTTGGACAACTTCAAATGGTCTAATAAGGATTGGTAAAATTTAATATACATATATTATTATAATAAATAACATTTATACATTATTTAAATATTTTTATAATTTTATCGTTTTATTATTTGTCAAATACGGGATATCTCAGTGTTGAGATTAAATAATTGAAATTAAATAATAAATCATTTTTTAATGATTCTTTGACGAGTTTAGTGACCGCGGGTATTTTCAATACCCGAGAGTAGCAATACCAATTGTTATATTTTTTTACTGCAGGCTAGGGTCTTCTTGCACTAGCGTTTTTTAATGTTACAAATAAATATTACACAATATGAGTATTATACAATTTTTATAAAATATATGAAATATATTTATTAACTTTATATGAATTGTATGATTGAGTAAAATGTGAATTGATATAATGTGAAAACATTATATTAATCATATGATTGAGTAGAATATAAATGTCAATTGCTATAATATTATACAATAATTTTGATAACATCAATATAATTGTTAAATATTGATCGGTTCCTCATTTAATTACTCACTGTGTACAATGTTGAATTCTTATTGCATACTAAATCAATATGTACTATTGAAATGGCAAGGAGGTTTTCTACAGTTCCCTCAGTCTTTGAATAAAAGCACAGACGAGGTACACGAGTAAACCTTACACTTTATGAATTTTCGATTTACAATCATTTTTGGTGAACACATATATCCTCGACCTCTTACCCACTTTCGAGAAAAAAATTTGGGTAGGTGCTGTTCGGCGAAAAAAAATTTTTCAAATCGTTCTGAAAAAATTATTTTCGGTTACGGGGGTCAATTACAATCATTTATGGCCAATAGACATACCCCCGAAATTCTAACCAGTTTCGAGAAAAAAATTCGAGTAGGTGTGAAATTTTTCGACAAAATTAAAAAATTTCAAATCCTTGTGGAGAAATTAGTTTTAGTTACAGGGGATAATTACAATCATTTTTAGTGAATAGACATACCCTCGAAATCCTATCCACTTCCGAGAAAAAAATTCAGTAATTGGACAAATTTTTCGACGAAAGTAAAAACTTTCAAATCATTGTAAAAAAATTATTGTCGGTTGCGGGGGTCAATTACAATCATTTTTGGTGAACACACATATCCCCTAAATCCTACCCATTTTCGAGAAAAAAATTCGGGTGGGTACTGAAATTTTTTGGCGAAAAAAAATTTTTCACTGTATGGGTGACAGAATTTTTAACAGTGGAACTAAAACAATTAATTCTCAAGTTGTAATGTTAAAGAAAATAAATTTTCTTCATAAATTTTAATGAAGTTACGACAGTAACTACTAGGACAATTTTTAAGTTGTGTAGTTTACAATTGACTAAAATCAAAGTTTTGGTCTTGTAAACAATTTTAGGATTTTAGGCTGGCAGTCAACGTGTTAAGGATTAAGACTTCTGTAAAAACCAGAAATAAAACGTTTTTTTGCGATTTTTTTTTTTGTATGCATGGAAAAGTAAGAGGATAATAATATTCAATCATTTGTCAATAAATAATGTTAAAATAAACTTATCGAAAATCCCCCACGTATGTCTCTAGCTATACTCATGTAGATTAAGAGAAAGTTGTTTTTTTTTCAGATACAAAGCGTCAGTTATATTGCATGCCGCAGAGCGCCTCAAGTTCAAAACACGCTTCGCGAGAATGGCTCCAGCGTCGTCAGTTTGCACTATTTTTGAATAAATATTTTTTTTTTTAACACTTAACAACATGGTTAATAACATTCTTGAATATTATTATCCTCTTACTTGTCCATCCACCAAAAAAGAAATCGCAAAAAAACGCTTTATTTCAGGTTTTTACAGTGGGCTTATCCCTCAATGTATCATTCCTATCGAGTACCGATTCGTGAAAAGTTCGAGGTTCGATATTTTCCGCAGACGGGAAAGTGGAGAAAATGGCGCGTAACAGCGATGACGCATGTTGCTTGAACGATACACGTGTATGATAGTTGTACGTGAATACCAACAGAACGCATACGGGTACCGATAGACGCGGACACGTGAGCGCCGGAACACGTGCATTAGGCGTCGATAGCGTACAGCAGCGTCGTAAGCGGCCGAGGAACGACGAGACCCAGTGCTAGGTGGAGACCGGTTTGCAGAAAGCGGTAGCGAAAATATTGGAACACCGCGAATCTTTCCGTAGATTTTTTAGGAGAGACGTAACCGCGCGTAACGACCGGGAAAAATTTGTTTGAAAATAAGAAGTCGAAGTATCTGTGTGTGTTTAAGTAAAAGGTGTCATTTTGGTTCATTTGGCGCGCTGTAAAACGCAATACCCTTTTCTTTCGGTAGGTGATCAGTTTTTGAACATCGATTCAGCGATTTAAGGCGAGATAACGATGTAAAAGTTCAACGAACACGTTGCAGAGTTTGCTGCATAACGCTCCTCCGCGATAAGGAAAGTTGTAACGCAAATGATCGTTGATACTTTGAGAAATGTTTGTCCGGTGAAGATAGTGCTGTTATTAGTGATTATTGATCGTAACGTATTAACATCTGCGTGTTTGTTTCAGGTACAGCTTGACGGATCTCGAATCTAATGCTTGGAGACAAGTCGTCGCAGAAGTAAATGGGTTTCGCTTCCAAAGAACACGATTCTTCTCCGCAGACGGCTTTCGACCATCGTATTTCCTCGTATCGCCTGATTCACGATTACTCGACGTTCACCGTTCTGGACGGACGTAAAATTCAGTCTCAACCAGGATAATAGGTAATTTTACTTTACGCTTGCTTCAATTAGTGTTCGAACGCTGTAATAATTTTGTCTGTGCTGTGTATGCTGCGATGAGGCAATCGCGTATCTAACACGGAAAATGAAGTATTTTATAAGAGGAAGCGCGGCATATTTCGAATACTAATTTGTCTAAGACGAATAACAAATTACGATGCGGAATAGAAACAAGTAAAATTGCATAACATCGTAGGGAAATCAATAAACTTTTATATTTTAAACTCTCAGTAATAATGAAAGACAACAAATTTCTATCTAAAACTTTAGTATAATCGAAAAATGACGAAGACGATTTTACAAGATGCGGGTAATTTGGAATAGTAGAATTTTAAATTATTCTCACTTTATAAAATTAAAAAAGTAAATAGATATTATTTTTTCGGCTGTACTTTCGAGAAGCTCCAGTGACCGATTGACGTAAGATTTAAAGGAGGTGGGGAGATATCAATCTCAAATATAAAATTTTACCTTCAGGAATTTAATAGTTTCCGAGATATTAGGTTAGATTTTAGTTTGGATTAGAATATTATATTGTAAACATTTTCTGGCAATTAAATTAAAATTTTACATAAAAACCCATTTTCTACGGGACACCATATATTTATCCAGGGATCGAAAACCGAGGTGTCGTTATTCAACATTACCGTAAGTAGAATGTAATTGTAGTGTAATTATTGGTCACTGAAATTAAAATGTAATGCAACTTGAAAAAAATGTCAGTTTCGTCGGAACACTATAGAAACTCAGGTTCGATATGCGTCATGGGCTATTCAAATAGCGACGACAATACTACTGCAGAGAAAATGGTCGTGTTAGCAAGGTTTGTGTCTCACGTACACAGTTAAAGATGTACACGTATAAACAGAATTCAATTGCGTAGAGCAAAAGTTTCGGAAACCATTAAATATCTGGAAGTAAAATTTCATAATTAAGTTGTACACTCTTCCAAAAAAATTTGGGCATAAAAATCACAACATAGGAACAATCATCTTAAGGGGTTGCATAAGGGGAAAAATTCTTTTTTTGTTTGAAAAAATAGTTCAAGGTCTAAAAATTGATTTGCCATGTAAAAATCTAAAGCAGTTTTGGAGTTATTGCACTTGGAGCGAACTCAAGAAGATCGCGAGTAAATAGACGAATAAACTAGACAATGTTTTATACAACATAGTTGTTGATAGTTTTGGCGTATATGTGGGTTTTAGAGGTTGCTCTGTTGAATATGAAAATAAGTTCAAAATAAAGAAATAAAAAAAAATAATTCTGAAATAATGAATAAAATTATATTAATTTTATTATATTTAATACACTGTATTAATGGATTTTTTAAGTCTATTGATTTCGCAGCTGGTTTTAGATATTGTGTTTACATAAGTGAGGGTTGATGATGTATTCGTCGTATAGGCGTGGAATTGACGTCAGTTGGTGTTTGCGGGTGTGCAGTTGGTAAAGTGTTTCTGTTGCTGTGTTGCAGGATAACTGGGAGGTGATTGGTATTTGGTATAGTATGGTGAGTTTGTGAGGAAAATGTCTATGTTAAGAGGGTTGTGTGTGTAGGTGTTGCTATCGATGATATGGTAATTATTATTGATCATGTGGGTATTGAGCGTCTTGCCATTACTGTTTGTGGTGGTGTTGTTCCAGTTGGAGTACTTGGCATTGAAGTTACTCCCTACGATAAACTTTTTAGTTTGAGCAGAGTCTATGATGAGTTGTGTGTTGATGGAGGTCTGTATGAAAATTCCGTAGATATTGTCCAGGAATAGCTGGGGTAGGTAGTCGTATGTGATGGATGGGTGGATAAAGATGGCAACGCCACGTTTTGATGATGTTGTATCTGTTGAATTTAATTGTATCTATGAGTTGAGTCAGGTTTCGGATATTAGAGCTATTTGAATTTAATGATGTTCAAGAAAAATTTGGAGTTCTAGAACTTTGTTTTTGATGCTCGTGACATTCCAGAGTAGGATATTGTTCGGGAGATTAGCCATTGATAAACTCAACAGCTTTTAGAAAGGTTTGTTGAAGATAATTTATAGTTTGTGTCTTTGTTAAAGGTGATTTATAACATTTCGTTGATTGATGGTTTTGGCACCGGAAACATTGAATCTAGGGGCGAGATACTGTTGTATTTTTTCCAGTAGAAATCCCTCTGGTATGCTCTAGGAATCTGATGATGGCCTTTTCCTTGTAAGATATCAAAATATTATAATGTATAAAAATTTGTAAAATATTTGCAAAAGATTAATATTGACCCAAGTTTTCTGTAGTACTTGAGAAATTAATCGCAAGATTTTGGTATTTACACCGAGTAAAGTTGAATAAAAGTATGTTAAAAGAGTAATTCTTTTGCTAGAATTGTATTTGGAAAAAGTAAAGAGATAACACAGAACGAAAAAACAAAAGACGGATGAGTGTATAATTTCAGTCGTAATATGTTCTTCACAATATTCATAATAATTCGAGACTTTAGTTATCAATATCTAACGGAAGTTATTACAAATTATACAACACTACACCATTCGAGGAAAGTTTCTAATTCATCGGTTTTTACGCTATAGAATCAACGCTAGGCGAAACGTTGAAAGTTCGGTAGATGTGGACGGTGTAATGTTTAATTAATTAGTAATTTATGTCAGTTTCCTTTCTCTTCGTGATACACGTGAGTTGCAACGGAAAACACGTGAATGGTCTATTGGGAACCGGCAACGGGCTTCGCAAGTCCATGACCTCCTTTTATACATTACAGACGTTATATTAATCGTATGAAATATTAAACAATTAAGTGTACATTTATACTTAAAAAAAAAGATTAACATAACAAAATGGTCGCTACGGAACATTTAGAAACGAAACTTTATAAAAATTGGACTCTTTGGCCTCCATGTTTGAAAGTAATTTCTTGAAGGCAACTTTAAATAATGTTATTTCAAGTTTAAACATGCTATATTTATTATCATTCATTAGAATCAATTTTTATGATACAACGTCTTTCTCGTAACCATGATGTATCTTTTAATAGAATTATTATATTCTCGTGACTTATGCAAAATTATAATACGAAAGTTAGAAAGTAGTGCACAGTAACTATAATTTTGTAAAATATTCCAAGATAAACCATTCAAATTCGTAAAAGATTTCATACAAGATGATGTTCTTATTTAAACTGTCATGCAAGGAAAATCAAAAGAAATAATTTTTAATAATTAAAAGTATCTTAATGAAAGATTTGCGTCGTAAAGTAGTATAAAGTCATTGCTTTAAAACGATATATGATTGCTACGGATTACCATTATGTTACACAATGTATATCAATTTTTTAAATCTTTTCGACCAAACGATTTTCGATCTTTAACACTATTTGACATTATGTTTTAAAATTTTTACTTGAAATTATTTTCTAAGTTCAATCATTTTTCCTGAATAATATAATAAAAATTGAATCTTCCGGATTTCTTTTTACGGAGACATTTATAAACTTGAATCAAATTTTGGACGAATGTTTAAAAAAAACGCGATTTTGTTTTCCTCCCGTTGGAATCCACGTGACCGCTAAATGTAAACACGTGAATAGCCTATTGAGCTTCGGAAACGCTTGTTCAGTTCGTGACCGGTTTCTGTACCCGGCAATCCTTTTACCCAGCGTTTCTCAGACTGGGATCCGTCAACATTCAAAAGAAAATTAATAGTCTCGAATACGTCAGAATACTTTCCAATGCACCAAGAAACTAATCACCTAAATAAAATAATATTTTCATAAATCTAATAATTAAAACATTTATGACGCGCTCAAAGTTTTTTAACACCTTTTAATTTTGTCGATTGAAGGTATCAACTATTATTGTGACCCAGCAATAGCGAACCAAAACGCTACGAAGCACACTGGTTAACAGATTCTTTTTATCAGACGTTTGTTTTGTCTGCAATGCCGAGACAATATTACTGGTACGTGGAAATATTTTAAAGTTTCATAAAAAGAGCTGTAAAACTAACTGAGATTTAATTAATTTAAAAAGGATAATTGAAGGCGGTGTCCAGTTGCGCGGCAAGAACTTTTGTCTGTGAAATTCTCGTGTTAGCACTATCTATGTAAATTCTTAAATACCCATATATTTTTGCACTTTATTATGCTTTCGAATTTTTATAAAATAAATTATTTTACAGTTTAATAAAATAGAGAGTTTCACCTTTGAAATGATACCAAGAAGATCATTGTAAGACTTCTTTTCATTAAGTTACAATAACTCTAAACATTGACCACGTTTGGACCAGGAATCCTAATGTTTATGAGCAGCAGAGTACGTTCAATGTTCAGAATTTAATGTTAGTAGTAATATATTTTTAAAATTATTATTAAAACTTGATATTCACTAAATTTTTTCTATCTGTATAATTTTGTATCTTCGATCAATCTAGTACTCTAGTACATACAGTGAATAATGGAAATATTCGGATGCTAGAATACACATAGGTTTATTTCTTTATATCTTAATTGTGTATGCATAAAATCTATTTACTGTTTTTCCACGTAATAATAGAGCAAAATTCTCTGTTTATGCAAAAATGAGTGCAATACCAATAAGCACATCTCATTTTATAACCGTTGCATTTCTTTACAACAGTAACGTTAGCAGTTAAAAAATTACTGTTATATCGAAATAGAGTTTTCCAATAAGAGCCATAAAACATGAAGAAATATACAGTTGTTCAACGCGTTGAAATTATTGAAATTCTTGTTCAATTCGAACAACGTTTCGTGCACTATGATTGATGGTCAATAGAATCAACTAACAGAACTCATAATTCGTCATTTGGTGGCAAAATTTTGATCACAAGAATTAAAAGGATCTACGAGTTAATTTACCAATGTTTATTTGTTAACAATTCTAATAAGTTTCAACGGAACTGAGCTCAAACTGAACGAATGCAATGAGTTTTTAAGGACTTTGTTGAAACTCTGCACGCTTGTAGATTTAGTTATCCGGTTTAAGAATATATAACATTATAAGGCAGATACACAGTAATTTTTGAAATATTAATGATTAAAACTTCATTATTATCTACAAATACAATTTTAATCTACAAACTAGCAATTACCACCATGGTGTGATAATAAAGTATGAGACTCTTACTTACTAAGGTCCAAGTTCGATTCCCGATAACTACATAATTTTTTCCTCTTAATATAGATAAATTTGAATAGTCACATTTACACATAGAAACATTAATTATTTTTTAAATAAAATATCTTTATTTATAACATAAATTTTTCTTCATTTGCGAAGTATACGCTTCCTTTCTTTTCAACTATTGTGGATGGAGAATTTCGAATTTTTATAAATACAAAGACACTTTATTTAAAAGTTAATCAGCATTTTTATGTATGAATTTCATTATTCAAATTTATTTCTACTAAGAGCAAAAACTTATGCCATTATCGCAAATCGAACTTGAACCTACTGGGTAGGAGTCTCTTACTTTACCATTAAAATTATATTCGTATACAATAATGAAACTTTAATCATTAATATTTCAAAAATTATTGGGTATCTGCCTCTATAATATTATACATTTTTAAACCGGATAACTAAATCTACAAGTGTGCAAAGTTTGAACAAAGTTGGTAACCCTAAGGCCTAGGCCTCTTCTTGTGAGATGTGGTTGCAACAAGATGGTGTCACGTGCCACGCTACTGCTGAAACTACTGCCCCCATTAAAGATAAAACAATGAGGTTGTCTTTCGCGGTTTTCATTTTACTTTAACCCCTTAACCTACAACTACGTGTGAGACACGTAGTCTTCTATTCGGGCTAAAACTGATTACCACGGGCCTGGCTCGTAGTACATCGGTCGGGCCAAATGTAAATACTACGGGCATAGCTCGTGGTACATCGGTTGGGCCAAATGTAAATACTACGGGTATAGCTCGTGGTACAACGATCGCAGTTTGTAATTTGACTCGCCACGAACAGCACAGACCAGGCTTGTGATACGCACGTTCGCACTTTGAAATATATTTTCTTAAATATTAGAGAAATATCTCTACAAGATGTGCGCGTTTAGTACAACTTAGGACCGATTTGCCGAACCGCGAAATGACTCGAAGGCTGCGCGATCTTGTTGACGCTTTGGGCCCAGGCTGTTGAAACGTAAATCGTAGGTTAAGGGGTTAATTCAAAGTTCTGTCGTCCTTATTGGAAAGCCCGACATTAAAGATATTAATAGTTTCATTGGACTCCTATTTGAGAGACACTGTTTCTAGCATTTTCGCGTTCGTCACGTTACACACTCCCCTTTAAAGGTACGCTGTGCACCGGTGTATACCTAGCACGTGCATGCCCTAGTCGTCGGGTATCCACTGCTTGGTTCCCGTGCACCCAATCCGATCAATGTTACCGGTTGCACAATTATTGCGTACCTTTCCAATCGTCCTTTCGCTTTTTCTCTACACCTCCTTCGCGAAGGCCGTAGCGGCGATCTGAGCTATGAGCTGGACGCAGTACCTTCCTAAACACCGTTTGCACCCGTTCGCTCAGTATAGTTTGGCACTCGAGGAGGCAGTCGCGCATAGCTCGTCGAACCTGCCTGAACAGTACTCGTTCTCGACGCCTTGAAGACTCAGCTAAGGTTTGTGTCGTTAACCCTTTGGAACTCTGGCTGAAAACTGCCACATGGCTGCTCCAGTATGATATGCCTGATTCCAAACGTAAATTCGGTAAATACGAGCAATGCGCTTTCTCTTTAGTTTACGACCTACGAGGAAGAGAAATATTGTAATCGAGTTTGGAAACATTTCTTTTTAAACAAAAAACACATTTTAATTTAATTTAATGTACATGTTATGTACATATGCATTGGGGTGTATGTCTATTAATACGATTGCATGTAAATGGTTGAATGAATATAATACCATAGTAAAGAAAATAAGACAAGCTTTTGTCGATGTGTAATACTTTTTTAATTAATGTCAACTTCTGTTAACTTATTATTTAATGAAGATTAAAGTCGAGGAATATATTTAACGTTCTTTGTTGTTGTGTTACAAATAAAGTAACGATTATTATAAATTGTTAAAAAGTGCTTCGATCCCACGCATCTAGAATAAATTAGATGCGCAAGATAAGTTTGTGACGCGTCGTGGAATATTGAATTCTAAACAATTACCATGTATTAATGAATATAATTATGATGAAAAATATATTCTAGAATTGAACAGTGATATATAATAATATTGTAACTGGGAATCTAAACTTTCGGTGAAAGAAAACGAAGCTGATGTTGTCACAAGCATTACTTTCAAAGATACTTTAGAGTCGACTCTTAATCATAATAATAAATAAATAGTAATGTTTAGGAGGACAAAACATACTATACCTTCCGATACAAAATCGAAATAACTGTAGTTTTTTAAGTCTTACGAGCGCCGTAACAAATTTTAGAATTCAATTGTAAACGTTCTAATCCTGGAACTAAATTTCTGGCGTGAGATAAAAAATGTTATCTCCCAAAATGTGATAAATTAATTAGCATTACTTTCAGAATTTGTAAGTTATCGTTAGCACACTTCTAATTTTGTAGTTGATTGATCTAGTTTTGAACGTACGAAGTTTAGAGCCACAAGAATTATTTGTTAAACATATGGCCTACGCTGTTGCTTAACGTTGTTCGATGTTTTTTTTTTTATATTAGATGCTGGCACTAATGAGCACTGCAAAATCTACTTTCTTGGAGATCGACAATGATAAGTTTAAGACTATCATGAAGATATCAAACGAAGATTCGATCCCGCAAAAGAAGGATCGTTCTGGGAAGGACGAGGATGCTTCGAAAACGTTGCAACTCCTTCGAATCAAAGGATTCCCTCGATTATTACCAGAAGGTGCAAAATTTCTTGTTAATTATAAACTGGCTCAATATTGATTTCAATATTTTTCTTTGAACTCTCTTCATTTTCAAATGTTTGTTCGTGAAATTTACAATCACAATAATGCTTCCTCGTTGAATAACAACTAAACTTTAAATTATTGAATTAAATGAATAATTAAAAATTTCACTACTCGACCGAATAAACGTCGCAAATAAAATTATATGCGTTAATTTTACTCGACGTCTATTGTTCGAATAAAATTTTGGGTAAATGTTTACTTCAATAGCTTTGTCCTAAATCTGTATATTTTATTATGGTTTGTTCACAAAAGGCTGTATCTGATCTTTATAAAGAAATATAGTTGAGGGGAGGTTGAAGAAGCAACGCGTATTAGCATTTTTTTTTACAAAAAGGATTTAAATTTTAAGAAAGTGTAGTATATGTCGAGCGATTTCGATGACTTTTGGGTATGTTATAGAGGATGAGATTGTGAACAACTTTTATGTGGACAATAATTGTCGCTCGGCCTCAATTTTTGAAATATTTGCCTAAAAAATTTTGGCGTAGGTGCGTTCCGTCTGCAAGGGGCCGCCGATCATTTTCTGTTCACATCGGTTTAGCGATCAGGACGAGTGTGACACTATAGTTTTTTAAATTTTAAGTCTTTTTTGTAAAAAAAAGTATACAGATTTAGGGTAGAGCCGCTAAAGTAAACATGTAACAAATTTTGTCTATCTTTTCTTAGCACTTTTGGTATTTCTACTACAAAAAAGTTATTTTGCATTTTAATTTCTATTTTCATAAATTAAATAATGTTAAGGATAATGGACGTTAAAAGTTTGACTAAAAATTGCTAAATGTTAATTTTGTATTAATCTGTTTTAAAGTGTTATTTTATTGTTTAATCGTATTACAGGGATCCAAGCGTTAGCTAATTATTGCCGGTACCTTCGGGAGCTATCTTTGTCGTATTCATTTCTCAGCGACGAATTACTATTAGCTTTGAGCTCTGAAAAAGAAATACAACTAGGTACCCTGAGATTGGAAGTGCATCCGGAGACAAAGCCTTTTCCACGTGTCAGCGATACAGCGTGGTTTACGTTTTCAAATCATTTACCAAACATAAACCTAGTGCTGTGAGTGCATTTTATTAAACTTGCCAAAATTTTGATGCACGAACATTAAGGAAGCACGGAAAACTAATTATTTTAATTTAATTTTGTATTTTAATTTAATTTACTGTTATAATATGTATCAAAGAAATTAATTTTTCTTCATTTATGGCGACGTTTCTAAAGAATTTTTGAATGTTTGTCTAAAACTAGAAAAATATGTTGCCTACAATATGAAGACAATCGATCGCAAAGGATTAAAATTCAGTCGTTCAAATTGAAGTGCATAATGTGAAAATCTTTCTTTTATCAAGGTTCTTTAAACGTCTCATTTTTAAAACAATACATTGAACGAGTCCTATGTTGTTCAATTTTAATTCATGGAAATAACATATTGGTCTGTTTATGTAACAAATTAGATTATCTTACATAACGAACGAAGACGATCAGAGTCCGCTTTTCGCTCCATACGTTCCTATAACACATTTGTACTTTGGAGAAGCACCATCGGAAGCAACAATGCTACGTATCGGTTGCCTGTGCCCCCGGTTGGTCGAGCTAGTGATTGCTGCTTATGGTCCCGAATTACTTGATCGTGCACTGCTTTCTGTCGCCCAAGGTTGTCCACTCTTAAGCGCCGTTGGATTGGGCGATTGTGAAATCACGTACGTATAACAATATGATTACAGCGCTGCCTTGGATATTGACCGACATTCGGGACCGAAACTGGTCAAAATTGAAGGAATGTAGAGTAGATAACACAGCACATCGGTAATACAGTAGATTTAAAAACATAAACATACTTGGCCGCCGTGACGAGAGGGAACCTAGTTCTAAGAACTGGTAGAGATAGCAATCAGCCAATTTCCAAAGCATCATTGTACAGTAAAAGTTGGATGTATGCCCGAATTGGGACCCCAAGTCATGCGTTTATGGAATAGATCAAAACTAAGAAACTTGCGGCTCATGAGCTGCACGAGAAACTCTTCCCTCGACTTGTCTGTTTCGTTGAGCAATTCTCATCATACCCAGTTGACTTCCACGCGTACACAGGATGGTTCACCTAAATATCTTCTCCTAATTAGGAGAGGGGCAAGAAATATTTTGTTTCTAAGGTAATTTTTTGTCGGAGTTTACAAGGTTATCGATGTTCCTTTGTGCATAATTGTATAATTTTTTTCATTGCATCGTGTAGCTGATGTAAGAATACGTTGAGATATGTACATTACATGACCTTTTTTTGTACCCCCATAATTAGAGGAGATATTTAGGTGAACCACTCTGTATACACAATTTCCAATGGGTTTGCCATCAGAGTGAAACTAACTAAAGAGGGAGAACATTAGATCACTAGCGGGAATTCCCCATACCGGGGTGGAGGGATAGACCGACTGAAGAGTGGGAGCGAAAAGCGTCGGCAAAGTACAGGGTGTTACTCTACCTATAGTCAATATTTTGGGGGGTGATTCTACAGGCGAATATAAGTCGAAAATCAAGAGTGATGAAATTGCGGTAAATGCTTTGTTTATTAATTATCGATGGTTAAAGATTGGCGTCTGGAGCGCCTGAATGACGGCAACTTAAAATAGGGCCGGTCAGTATACCAATATCGATCGGCGGCAACGTCGAAGACCCCAACGAAAATCAGCTGATGGAACAGCCCGGCCGCCGATCGATATTGGTGTACTGACCGGCCCTATTGTCACCGCAGTTCGAATTTTAATTATTTCTCTATTAACCCTTTGCATTCGAGGAATGTTTCGGTACGCACAAATCCAGTCTGCTTTTCCTGTACAGTTTTTAATACCAAACGGTTACAAATGGTTCTTACCGTATTTACCACTGTCCGTCAAGTTGCCGTCATTCAGGCGCTCCAGACGCCAATCTTTAACCATCGATAATTAATAAACAAAGCATTTACCGCAATTTCATCACTCTTGATTTTCGACTTATATTCGCCTGTAGAATCACCCCCCAAAATATTGACTATAGGTAGAGTAACACCCTGTATACATATACAAGTTCCTCAACTCTGCAGTAGATGGATCAATTCTAATTATAGAAACAGTCGACTGACGAACATTGAAAAGGACAGCAAGTGAAGGAGATCCTTCTCGATTACACGCTTTGTAGCATGTGAAGGGTAATCTTCCCTCAGTAGTGGGGATGAACACTGCCCATTTATGCTGTAGATCAGTTCGGGCACATATCCAATGTTCACTGTAGTTCTATTTTTACAGAAGTAATATAATACCTCTTTTTTATGAATGTCCGATTGCGAACGATTAAATGATAGCTATCAAAACTATTTAACGCGACATCTGGTAAATAGCAGAGATTGAAAACAATTATAATTAGTGTTAAGACCCATTCTATTAATATCAGTTTGTAAATTTCGATTCAGTATCGATATGTATCAATGTATCAAAGACGCCAGTATCAGAAAGAATAGATACCTGTTTGATATTATAAAAAAAAATGCACTACTAATTTAAAACATTACATTTCATCTTTAAACGCAGTTATGAACAATATTAAAGTTTCATGCGCTCTTTGAAGAATTCGTTTGTTTGAAATTTTTTCATTTCGTCGAAAAATTTCGGCACATTTCTGAATTTTTTTCTCGAAAATTGTTAGGATTTCGAGGGTATGTTTATTCATCAAAAATGATTGTAATTGACCCCTGCATCTAAAAATTATTTTATTTAAACGATTTGAAATGTTTTAATTTTGTCGAAAAATTTTACACCTACTCGAATTTTTTTCTCAAAAGTGGTTAGGATTTCGGGGGTATGTGTTGTCACCAAAAATGATTGTAATTGACCCCCACAGCTGAAAATAATTTTTCTAGAATGATTTGAAACTTTTCAGTTTTGTCGAAAAAAGACACCTGTCGATTTTTCTTAAAAATTCGTTTTTCATTTTTAATAAATTTGGTTGGCGCTGTACAGAAAAGTTGTCTAATACTTTTCTGTAGGTACCCATGAGCTCTGTTTAAAAAAAAAATTTCAATCAAATTCATTCACTATTGTAGGAGTTATGGCCGTTTGAAAATTGAACCTTTTTTATGGGGGTTTTAGCATTTTACGGGGTTCAGGAACAACTTTTCAAATATTTTTAGAATTCCTACATATTCTTCACCAAAATACGCGTTGTTTGCCGGTTGAAACATTAAAATCCCCCAATCCGTTCAGAAGTTATGATATTTTAAAGATTCGCATGAAATTTCGGGGTTCTCACATTAGATTTTCGGTCAGGAATTTTTTTCTCGAAAATGCGTAGGATTTCGAAGGTATGTGTAATGGCCAAAAATGATTGCAATCGACCTCTGCAACTGAAAAGAATATTTTTAGAACGATTTGTACAATTTTTTTTTCGCCGAAAAATTTCAGCACCTACCCGAATTTTTTTCTCGAAAGTGGGTAGGTTTTCGGGGGTATGTGTATTCACCAAAAATGATTGTAATTGACCCCCACAACCAAAAATAATTTTTTCAGAATTATTTGAAATTTTTTAATTTAATTTTTTAATAACTTTTTAACGAAGCATTTCAGTCAAGAAATTGATATTCTTAATTTTTGTTTTATTTTGGCCTCTAGAATCTCCCATTAAAATTTTTCCCAAGGGTGGCCTAACACCCTGTATAAAAATGAAACATACGCCGTTATGTAGCAACTAAGGTGACTATTAAGTATCGAATAGATAATCGATATACATATTCTTTTGCCCAGACATCAAATGAATATCGAACAAGTATCGATTCTTTGTTATAAGTATCGATTATTTTTTTATGCTTACGTCTTTGATTAATTAAATCAATGAATGTAACTGTAAAACAAATCGATAAGACCTGTAATGTTAATAATATTTTTGTCTTATTACACTTAGTTGCTCAGGATTGTTGGAATTTGTCACAGTCTGTGCGAAACACTTAAGAATACTGTACGTTTGGGAAACGTCACTGATAGAAGACTCCGGGCTCGACGTAACAAAAGTATCGAGGAAGATTTCGTTGCTCCTCGGTCGTACATGGGTACCTGAATACATCCCGTTGTGCTAAAAGCTTAACTGTAATCGAATCAATATACACATATGATGCGAATACACCAATGGCCGACAATAGTTTGCACATATACTGAAAATGTGATAATTAGACTTTACGGACATACCTTTTCTATTTTTTACATGAATTAATTATGTAAGTGATTGTATAATTTCGAACTGTAGCGTAGATATTGTATAAAAACTGCAGGTTTCCGATATTTTTAGGACTGCTATTTACAAAAACCACCAATAGATTAGAAATGTTAGTTTCTGAAACATTGTTTCAGATGAATCTTTCCGTATTTTTTCCTACAATCCACTGTTGACAATGGATTAACAATTATTACGAAAAAAAAAATACACAAAAATGTAATTCCTTTTGTGAATTTGTACTCTTATGTTAATGTCTGCGTAACCCAAAGTATTTTATACATTGGACGAGACTCCAAGAAAAAGAATGAAAAAAGTCACGTATTATAAAAATTGCTCGTGTCTGTTAATACCAAAAAATATAAACTTTATTAGATTATAATGGTACTTTTTGCGTGTGGTGTATATAAAATAAAATAATACCACTACTTATTTAAACTGTCGCTCATGGTAGATATGTATAATATACAATAATTATTATAGTCTATAATGTTATTGTAATACAACAGACTATGTACATTATTTCTACATTATAACACAAATGATTGGGTATACTTAGTATTACGATATCTAATAACGTTAACAATTAATGTTCTTATTATTTAATTTTTTGTTTAAATTTACGCGATTATTTCGTTTTTACATCTTGCCGATGCTATTCTAAAGATGCGAAGCGCTCAGTCTTGTATCCCAGCCGATATATCCGATCTCTTGTCTCATTAAGGCCGATTAAAAACCTAACATTTGAACAATTCACGCTCCGTTTACAACAAACAATTTTAATCTATACAAAAAACTGTATCATTTTTCATAAAAGTTTTACTGTTATAACGAATAACGTAACGAACAAATGTTGTTGTATTCTTATGAACATGATAATATTTCCTTGTTAAAAAAAAACAGCAATTTTTAAAAAATACAATAAAATTTAAATTATTTGGTATGTAACAACGACGTATACTTGTCATGTTATTAATTAGGAAATGTTCTAAGTACTCATTGGCATTTTTAAGCAACTGTAAACGTATAAAAGAACCTAAGTTCACACTTAAAGTAACAGAGCCCTTTGAACACGTTTGACACACTCATCAAAATGACTATCTCTTTATTAATATCAATATGAATATTTTAATGAAAAATATTGCAAAAATCTTAGGAACACGTAGAAAAATTATTTTAATGTAAATATATGGCTTTTGTTCTTAATTATCTGTGTTATCAATATACTTGTTACAAACACAGATGTAAATTTTCCTATTAAAGTAAAAATTATTTTTAAAAGGGCTCAGAAGCACATAAAACATTTTCACGAACGTAAAAATATAATGTAATTTGTAATTTTATTATCGTCCCTCTGTTAACAATCTCTTCGCTTATTAATTGCAGTGATTCTTTTAAATGTACTAGATGAGCAATACAGTTAAGTCTCGTTCAATACTAGAGTTTGTTTTTATAAGAGATAAAAACAAATGTTTAGACCGAATACAAATACAATATATAATTATTTATTCACAGTATTAACGTATCTTATATTTTTTTATCTTCAATGTGTATATACAACTTTTTCGCACAAATAATTTAGTGCCTATAACTTTTTGTATTAATTGAAGATTAGATAATCACATATTAATCGAGACTTAACTATACATATTATATATCTCTCAAGTGTGATCTGTAGAAAGCTACTTGATGCTAAAACGTGGAGTACTATTTACAATCAAGATTTTCCTTAACAAGCTTCAACTAGATTCATAATGTGTTGCAGGAAAATCAATTTAAAATATAAGTCAACATAAATCAAGTTTAGCTCTATACAGATCACATTGTACCGAGGTTTAAAACAAACTTTAAACATAGTTCACAGCTACATATAAAACATGTCTAAAGTATCATTGACTTTTAGCACCAGCTTAGGCATGTTCACCATCCTCTATAACCACTACTTTTGGCAAAGTAATATTAATGCTACCAGTATGCAAGTTTACTATTAACAGGCATAACAAAATAGGTCAGCAATTACCTTATATGTATCATTAAAAAGGAGCAATCAAACAAATGGACGGGTTTGGTTACTTACTCTACGCATAACTTAAATCAGGGCTGCACAACATCAGGCAGGTTCAGTAGCCACGTAGTATAATTGTGGTACATATCTCTGACATCCCCATCACTAGCCCGCTCTCCATGCTATGCTCCATTCCGTTTTATATGCATCGATACAAACAAAGTATTTCGATTACCACTGATCGAGGGTTGCCTCACCATCACTTTAGAAGAAAGTGGGGATGGGGAAAGCTTCCAAGATGAACTATAAAGTTACGAATGAAGGCAATGGAATAAACGTAATAGCCAAGCATGGCTAGTGGGCCTCCAGTTGTACAGTGCTGACTGAAGTGTTTAGATACACAGAAAATTAATGCAGCTTTAAGAAACATAATATTTTTTGAGCATTTCGACTGCTAAATTTGCTCAAGGGGCCATTCGTTTAGATGCATTTAAAATTTAATTGTCTTATATCTCTTCGTTTATGTAATTGATTTTAAAAAAGTTTCACAACTTTCTGTATCAACATCTTTGATAAACAGAGAAATTGTAAAAATTTTAAGCCCCAGGAACAAAATGGATAATATAATTATTATGATTGCCTTGGCGCACAATAAGTTTAACAATAACAAGATTTCCATTACGACATTTCGTACTGAAAATAATAGTTTTCTTTTTATAATAGATTTTGCTATTATATACGCACCTGTTTGTTACTTATTAAAATATGGCTCTTGGTACTACCCAGTCATATCAATCAAAATATTTCAAATATCCGAATTGATCCTACAATAGAGAATTATATTTTTTATCTTTTTACGAATTTCAATTATAATTTCTTATACATACCTAAATAAAACAGTCAATCAGGCATATCGATAGAAATTATGGGTACAACAGGCTTTGTTAGGTCAATTTTTTTAACGTGTTTTTCATTTTTTTCCGAAACCATTGGTTCAGATGGTGGTTGATCCTGATCGCTCCTCGGTTGGTATGAAATATTACCATATTCTTGAAGTAGTGGACATAATCCTAACAGAAAGTGGCAAAAATCCTTCCTAATACCAAACCACCCTAAAATTAACAACAAAGTTTAATTAACGATACTTAACATATGATACTGTTATTATTACAAAAAATTGGTTTTTTATGAAATTAAATAATTTTTTCTTACATCTGTTTCCACCTTTTGCATCAAAAGACATAAAAATAAGTGTTATATGAGATATTAAAAGCGGCATTGCTACCGTAGTATAATTTAGTGAAATATCTCCATCCAATTTGTTAGCTAGCAACACCTACGATCAATGTGAACATATTGTTAATAATATTTATTAATTATCATTGTATCTAATGTAAATTACAATTCTTACTTGGAACACTAAAATTGGAACCACAAGAAATGTGTATGCCAATGCTGAATTTAGAGATGTTCTCCTTTGTCTGGCATTGATTTGTGGAGTTCTTAATAAAACAGCGGCAAATACTATGGCATATAGGACAGCAACTAGAGATAAGCATAGTAGTGCCCAAAGAGGCACAAATACTACTTCCCAACTCCACGTTATAAAACCATCTAATCTTAACGCCAAGAAAATGAATTGTAATACATTAACTGCGCAAAACAATTCAAGTTCAAATGAACGATCGTGTTTTGCAGCCCAAATACATACCTAAAAATATAAAACATTTATACTTTCTGAAAGTTAATTCATATCATTTTAATACGTAATTAAAATTTACTTACAGCTATCGACACTATAGAGATGAAGATAAGTGGTATAAATACAAGTATCCAAAGGTGTCTTTCGGATTCTAATTTATCACATACTAACAATTCAAACATTAACAGGATCAAATGTAATGCCAAAGTAATTAACATTGCCTTGTAATGTACATAGGCATCTCCTTCTAGCCTCGCGTGCGGATGTCTCCACCACACATAACTCCCAATAGTAGCACCCAAAATTACCATGCTCTTCCAAAACCATATTGGGGTAAACACAGACCAATAACTCCACTCTATAAAACCATCCAGCCGAAGAGCAAACAAGGATGTAAATATCATCAAACAAGAGTGCACTAGAAATTTGCTGAAATAAAGATTTAAAGAAAATTAGTAATACAACTCTTTTATAAAAACTCTTTGTTAGATTTGTATTAAACTTTTAAATCAATAACCATTTGAAATACTGAAAACTAAATATTGTATGAAAATCACAATAAAGAAAAGAACAAGGAGCAATAAAGACTTACTTGAATCTATTTTAAAATGTTAATTAAATTACGCAACTTTAATTGTAGACTATATATCTTTGATAGATACGTGTTCAAACTAATTTAATACTTATGATCATTTACGACAAAGGTCAATAACCTCGTAACAACGACAAATGTGCTGAACAAAGCGGCGAGTATTTGTTTAAAATAAACATCTAATCCGTTTAGAAGATATAATTCGAACGAAAAGTTACACTATCGCAAGATATGTTTATTCAATTATCGAAGGGTTTATCCATTAATCAAATCAGGTTGCCGACTTAAGTGAGGGAAACTGAATCGAACACTCGATGATAAAAATTTCCGTATATACAAAATAACGCTTATTATTTTTCATTTTTTTCTTTATTTTATACACTGCTATAAGTATGAGATTTCAGTAGTCTGTGGTAATTCATTTTTCGTTTGTAGCTTAAAAGAAAATCCATGCAGCCCACTCGCAAGGTTTTACCTTGGATTGAAGTCTTGAAAGAGTGTTTGTAAATTCATGATTATCAGAAACGTTTTGTAGGCCAACTACTTGACGTAAATCTTCGCAATGTCCGCCGCGTATACACGCATCCCACTGAGAATCGTTTCATTTACTACACAATTTATCGCGGAAGCACACGTTCGGTGAGCTCTGCATTTCCGTTGAAAGGAAAAAATAAATCTCACTGTCCAGCACGCGAAAATTCGAATTGCACTGAAATCAGCCGAAGGCCAACAGCTGTCGACACTCGATACGTCAGTGTAACTCAACGTTAATAGAAAACTTCGTACCTATTAAAAACTCTCGTACAAATTGTGGTACACAAAATGGTTAATAATATACATATGCTTCACTGGTCAATTTTCTGATAAATAATAATATAATCGTTATCTCATTACTTCTCAAATTTCATCTTTCCGTAGATCCTATACAAAATTTATTGTTGGACCCCCTCAAATAGAATTTAATTATTCTTATTTAATATATTTAATGTCATAATAATTTGTATTCTATTAAAAATAGTTTCATATTTTCTAACTGAAATGTTATATACATCGTTTATTAAAACAATGCACAAACGTAAATATGAAAAAACTTAATAGATTCACATAAGGCTCCTTAGAATTGATGTATAAGTATACGATAATGCATACATTGTTTATTAACTAATAGTTTAAAAAATTCTTATCTTTAACCCTAATGTGCAACGTTATGAAGGTGCCGACAAAGGCCATAAAAATAAAAGCAATTCGATCAATTATATCAACACTTTCTGTGAACATAACTCGTGTAAAAACACCGCATATATTCGTAAGAATGGTTTTACTTAGTCTTCAAAAATTTGAATCATGAACTTCGTACAATGTAAAACATTCGTATACACTACTATTCAAACTATTTGTTTATAGGTTCAGTCAGAATTAATTTCTATTTATTAAAAGAACGTAGTCGACTCTTTAAAATTACAAATTTATATTAGTTACTTCTTAAAAATAATAATCAATCTGTTATTCTTTTATCAAAAGTACACATAACAAGTGAAAGGTAATGTACTTAAGATAAAAGATCCAATTGCTGTCATCTGAACGATCAACTATGATTTCATTGCTATGTTTGTATTATTCATTTATCAAAAGCACGTGTTCTTTTATCTGTTACGATCCAATGTCTCTACTTTATTTTTATTCATACATTCAATAATTAAGAAATTCACTCGATTAAATTCTGTCAGAGTAAAAGACCCAATTACTGTTCCCTAACCAAAAATTAAATTCTAATGAACAATATTTGGCAATACTTTCGTGTTGTTTATAGAACATTGCATAGATTGTAAATTATATCAGTCTAAATATTTATTGAAAATCTTTAATTAAACAAGTCGAATTGTACGTTATGCCACAGTCGACTCCAGTATTAACCATGCTAAGCGACAGGCGATAAAGTTGCAAGAGTTCGATTTTGCACTAGATAGACAAAGCTATACAAACATTACGTACTTTTTTTGCCAAGTGCAAAATCAGACTCTCGCAGTTTTACTGTTTCTCGTACAACATTACTAGCACTGGAGACGGCTATAACGTAACACATATTATATTTAATATTATATAATTTCGAAAATTTTTATTTTTAAGTAACGAGTAATGGAATTTTAAATTACAGTAGTCACTTTTAAAAATGATATTGAAGTATAGTAACATGTGTATCAGCCAATCAGCATTTACGTATATTCTGGTAAACAGTAGGGCGCCTTGTGTTTCCGGTTTGGAATGAACGTTCCTCTTTCCGTTTGTAACTTTAATCATGGCGGTGGGTAAGAATAAGGGACTTTCAAAAGGTGGTAAAAAGGGAGTAAAGAAGAAGATGTAAGTAAATTATACTATTCTTCGTTCGTACTTTAGACATTTATGATATTAATAATATAATTTCCTGTCTCCGATGTAGAAAGATGCGTCATATTAACACAGATTCTAATAACCTGTCATTCGAATGTTTGCATGTAATCCACGTTTAGTACATTGCTTTTGTCAATACTATTCAAATGAAAAAATTTTCTTCCGATTGTAACAATGAAGTTTAAGTAATGTTTGAAGTATTAGTTACTGATTATAATTAACCATTGACAGGAAATTAAATATTAAGTAATGAATACCGGAAACATGCTCCATAATTTATACGTTGAATTAAATTTTTTTTTCTATGAGATAAAATTGTGCATTTCATCTATTTTTAAGCTTAATTATTGAAAGGGTTAACCTCATTATATTTTTGTTAGTGTTGATCCTTTCACCCGCAAGGACTGGTACGATGTTAAGGCACCATCTATGTTTACCAACCGTCATGTTGGTAAAACATTGGTTAACAGAACCCAAGGAACAAGTAAGATATTTTGCAAATTCTTTAAAAACGGTTTGTAACTCCAGCTCCATAAAGGTTATATCAATACTTTATATGGCGTTTTATGTTACATAGAGAAATGCAGACCCTTACCATGGTGTTTCTTCATTTATGGAAATACTTAAATTAGCTTATGCTACAAATTTCGATCTTTTTATAAATCTTTTTTACTACCTGTAGTTTCAATTAAAAATTTAAATACCTTTTTTATTTTACAGAAATCGCTTCTGAAGGTCTGAAATATAGAGTATTTGAAGTCTCTTTGGCTGATTTACAAAACGATGGAGATGCAGAGAGATCTTTCCGTAAATTTAGGTTGATCGCAGAAGATGTTCAAAACCGTAATGTTTTGACTAACTTCCATGGCATGGATTTGACAACAGACAAATTGAGATCCATGGTTAAGAAGTGGCAGACTCTAATCGAAGCTAATGTCGATGTAAAAACTACTGATGGCTATCTCCTTAGAGTTTTCTGCATTGGTTTTACGAATAAAGACCAACTGAGCACTAGGAAGACATGTTACGCTCAGCACGCACAGGTTAGTGATCACATTGGTTCATTAGATTTTATTTTTGATACGTGCAACTCTAACATCCATTGAAATTATATTCATATTTTTTGTGATACATGAGTTGCATAGAGAAATATGCACTCGCTTACCACATTATTTCTGTAAGAAGGAGTAATGATATATGGTGTTGCAACAATTGTAATCGTTATGTATAATCGTAGTTTATTTAACGTATAAAAAAAGGGTTATTCACTATATTACCGACCTTAGAAATTTGAGTGCCTTTGACGTATGTAAAAAAGCAAAGAGGGCGTCATAGAGTGTTTTGTAGCAAAACAAGTATAAGACTCTGTCAGAATATTCTATAACATAATCCTTTCTTTTTATGTTTAGGTTAAAAAAATTAGACAAAAGATGGTAGACACAATCACAAATGATGTTACAAAAAGTGATTTGAAAGGTGTTGTCAGTAAACTTTTACCAGACGCTACGGCCAAAGACATTGAAAAGGCCTCACAAGGAATTTATCCACTTCACGATGTGTATATTCGTAAGGTATGTACAGTAACCATAGTAAAAGCGTTCTTAATAATGGTTGTAATGTTTTGTAGGTCAAAGTATTGAAAAAACCACGTTTCGAACTGAGTAAACTGTTGGATCTCCACGGCGACGGCGGAGGTAGCAAAAGCGAAGAAGTAGGAGAAAGTGGCTCGAAGGTTGACAGACCAGAAGGCTATGAACCACCTGTACAGGAATCTGTTTAAGGTGGTAATTCTCTTTCACTATTTGATATAAATAAATGTCACGTGACGGCGGAAAAACTGTTTTCAGCTTTATTTTCTTCGTTTACCTGCTTATTTATTTTAGTTAAGAAGGTTTAAACATTTTTTTCGATGATTAATATAACTATAAAGATTTATTATTGAAAACATTATTTTCGTATAATACAACACATCGGCAACACTCAATTAATACAAACAAGCTAGTAATTGCTAACAAAAGAATTCGTAGTTTATTTGGTCATATTATAATGTGAAGGTACTAAAAGTGTTACAAACTAAGTACAGTGATGCCTTCAAAATTGGTCGGTTGCTATCCCCACCAGTTCTTGGAGCTGGCTTTCCGCTTGCCCTGGCGGCCAAGTATGTTTATGTTTTTAAATCTGCGAGATATCGATGTGCCGTATTGTGCATCTCTGTCTCATTCGCAGTCTGAACGGTCCCGAACGTCGGCCAATTTCCAAGGCATTACTGTAACGAATAGTTAGTGCGACAATGCTCGGGTAGCGAGCGACCAGCACTGTACTAGTAGTGCTTTGAAACTGTTATTCCAGGATGCCAACATGAAAAACAACAATACGAAGAAAAGTATCTTTGTAAGTACGTCAACCCAGTACATACTGTAACAAAAATAAAGCGTATGAGAATTTGATGTGTTAGTAGTATACATATTGACTTGGCAAAACTTCCATTGAAATACTTACACTCTTAAATGCCTCCGAGCAGCTGGTAAGGTTTCCGGAAGTTCATTTAGGATGAAAACTCTTGCGGCTCGTATACACGTTTCGAAGTACGCGTCTATATCCATGTCGTTCCCATGTAATTGGTACTTTTCATACTCCACCGGATTAAATAGTTCTCTCACTACGGTTATGTTTGAATTTTCAAAGTCCCATTGATTGTTAGCATAATACTCAAAGACTTCAAAACCTTTTTGTATCCGACGTTGCACACGACACATACTGTGTATAGTAAGATTTTTATATCCTTTAATATCGTTAAATTATTTTGATTTTGAAATCGTTTATTTTCTATAGATGAATAAATTAAGGTACGGTTTAAGGGATCGTAGGTGTACTTACATCGGTTTGTAGCCTGCAAGAAAAATAAGCGAATCTAAGAAATAGGCAGGTATCATGTGAAAAAGTAGAACGCATATATTGTGCAGAAGTCGTGACTTTTTCATACTGCCGCCCGGATACCAGACGATACCATTCAAGGGTACTTTTTCTGTTATTTTTCGACCGCGCGCAATAATTTCTGCCCACGACACCTAAAATTATCACGTTAAAATTACTTCGACATTAAAAAAACACGTGAAAATAGTTGAGAAATAGTTTAGAAATACACCTTGAATTCGTTGCTACTCGTAAGGTTGTAAACTCTTTTTTCATGATCTTTATGGTAAATAAAATTCCAGGAACTGGCCAAAATAGCGTTTACAGCAATGTCGACTGGTAGATAGTCGGCATAACTATTTTCGTTACAGTACATTGTTCGAATTACGCCTTTTCCAGCACCGATTAAAAGTCCCGTTGGCCCATTTATGTTATCTGTCCACCCCGGTACAGGTTCTTTCCACACAGGTATAACTATGCTCGGTCTAAGATTAAAAATGTCATTTTTCTACAATTAAACAGTCTTACAATTTTCACAGCAGTCGATGAATTTTATCTACCTCAGTATAATTGCTGGAATCTGTGGCATCGCTTCTTCGACGAGACCTTCGGATAAGGCTTTAGTGAAAGCGTATGTATTTGGATAGTTTCCTAAAATTTTATCTGTCATAGCTTCAACGACATTATCATCCATCCATTCTACACATTTGATTATTTTGTGGGGATCTGCTGGCGGGGGATACGGTTTTTCTCCTAAGATCTAAAAGAAATTATAAGTCAGGGCTCATTGTTTTGGTTTAGTGAATTTTCACGACGTAGCAAGGTTTTACAACATAAATAGTGGTTCAGACCGCTTTTCTAGAGAACAGAAGTCTATCTATGAATTCTTATACAGGATGTTCGGCCACACCTGGGAAAAATTTTAATGGGGGATTCTAGAGACCAAAATAAGACAAAAATCAAGAATACCAATTCGTTGATTGAGGCTTCGTTAAAAAGTTATTAACGTTTGAAGTTTAAAGCACGCAGCTGTTCGCAGATTGCCGTTCTACAGGCGCGACTTTAAACGTTAATAACTTTTTAACGAAACTTCAATGAACAAATTGGTATTCTTCATTTTCGTCTTATTTTGGCCTCTAGAATCTCCCATTAAAATTTTTCCCAGGGGCGACCAAACACTCTGTACATAGTATTTTTTGGTAAATACTCGGAGCTCGGAACCGTCGAGTATATTGACAACATATAAATACATAATAGAAGCTCGAATATTTAACACTAGAACTACCGACAATTATAGTGTGTTTATTTGTACCAAAGAAATTGAAACGATAGATCCGGAAAGAAATATATAATTTAATGAAAATAAGTGTTTATATATTCTCTTATAGAAAATTACGATTTCAAAAATTCAGTCGAGTAAATTTTTTACAAGTTTTATTAGAAATTACGAATGGGTGATTTTGACTGGTTTGGTAGTTCTAGTGTTAAATTGTAATGGAAGATGTTAAAATGTATGTTTTGTATGATAAAATGTCTTTTTATTTCAAGATTGTAGGCGCAACGTTTTGATGTAAATCAGTTCCGAAGCTCTGTCGTCCGATAAGGGTTACAGTGATGTCTTGGAAATTGGCCGGTTGCTGTAACCACTAATTCTTGGAACTGGCTTTTCGTTTGTCCCAGTAGCCAAGTATGTATATGTATTTTAATCTATTATGAGATATCGATGCATTCTTTGAAAGAAAGAGATACACAGGATTTCTTGAAGAATCTACCCCCTTCAACTTTGGCCAGTTTCGGTCCCAAATATCGCCCAATATCCAAAGCACTACCGTAATCACGACACAAATTACTGTACTTTTTCTTCAAGGTGGCAATACGCAGTGCTAATATAAGCAAACAGTTTTAATTGTTTCATTTCTTTGGCCAGGTCCAGCATCTGTTTCGTGCCACGTGTGTTCAACAGAACTGCTCTCTTCAATAGCTCATCGAATCTGAAAAAATTCGACGGTTAAATTCAGTAAAATAGTTTTCAATTATGTTTTACAGTATGTTGTACTAAATTACCGAACGGTGGCAGCCGCGTGGTACACAATGTTAATCTTTTCACAAAGTGTTTTCCTGTCTTCCGCCGAAAGTCCAAGACCTGGCAACGATACATCCCCGTTTATGACTGTCACTGCTTTCTGAAGCGCTGTTAATCCTTTTTGCTCTTTAACTTTTTCAAATAGCTAAAACGAACGATTCCTAAATGATGTTGCTGATCACTGAACATTTGATACATTACGTCATTATTGCGTATAAGTTGTATACGCTCACGACTACGTGTGTATTTAGTTAAATACTTCTTGATAATTGTTACGATAGCCAGGTCAATTGTTAGGTCTGGGTATACATACATATGTAGATCTACGATTATTTTAAAATACTTGGAAGTTTTAGTAAGGACATCTACGAGCAATGTAACAATATTTATAATTATGTTAAAGATTCTCTGTAGTAAATCGAGAAACCATTGAATGAATAAGGAACATTAGCTTTAGTACGTACACAGGTCGCGATTACCGCGTATTACGTGGTAATGTGACCGATCAACAAACTTGTTTTTTCGCTTTTCCCGAGTTTCTAATAGATGCTGTTACAAACGGCAATGACTCAGCGTTGAAAGAAAGGAAATCAAACGTGAGACATACTTCCATGTTTTATATATGTTTTTATAATGTTTTACGAAATGTTTGTATCGTTTACGTGTATGTGTAGTGTTATACACCTTTGATTTGAAAATGTAGAGCAAATAGTTGCAAATATCGTGAGATGCCCTGCAAAATATGTCACAGGAATAATTACGATGTTGTTCGTAGGATAATCGATGACGTAAATTGTTTGCTCGACAACATTGGCTAATTTATTTTGCAATATTCACCGGGTGATCTTGGACAAGAATGAGATATGAAAATTAAAAAGAATGAGACATGAAAATTAAAAACGTTAGAGAGTTCAATTTAATCTCAAAAGATAGAAGAGTGTTTTCTGAATATACAAGTGTACATATTTGTTATAATAACCACGTAATGTAATAAAAATATACATTTGCATATTCAAAAAACAGTCTTTTACCTATTAAGATGGGACTTTCTAGCATGTGTATTTTTCTTTCTTTTTGTGTCAGGTAAAGAATTTTTCGTAATTAAGCAAAAATATAACTATTAATGTTAGCATATTCAGGAATCTTTTCTCTATCTTTTAAGACAAAGTGGAATTTTCTGATGTGTTTAGTTTTCGCGTAATATCTCATTTTTGCCAAAAATTGGGTGTTTTTACAAAAACTCGTATTTTTCGAAAACCGAGGCTGATACAGCAATTCCGTTTCCAGATTCGTGTTAGGGGAATGGAGCGTTATAAAAATCACATAATGCATATTGCAAAACAGGAAAAGGAAATTAATTTGTGGAGCACTGTTCTACAAATTATGTCTGATAATTTACGGAAATTGCAGAAATTGTAAGAATCATTTTTCCTTGTTAAATGATTCATAAGATGTCGTGGATTGACCTGTTTGACTTTCTTTCATGCCGTGTGTTGTAATTCATCCTCTTCTGGCAGAGTCATTTGCATCCCGCGTCCGCGTTTCGACACACGTGTCGTTTGACGCTGTACTTTGGTTCTCAGAATCGGTAAAGGTCTAGAATTTTTAATTCGAGTAATCGAAACGAATGAACAATACCAAGAAAAATTCGGTCATTCGTATGGTAATTTAAGCTAGTTGAATTGTTTGAGTTACACGGACGATGTTAATTATTCGAAACGTTCAATGCTCGGTTCGTGTCGCATTTTACTCACACTTAACACTGATAATGGTAAAAATGGTAATGGGGTCTCGAGACCTCAGAAAAATGGGCTGAAAAAATACATCGGGTGAAAGGTCTACTCGTGTATCTCGTCTGTGTTAATAGAATTGCAAAGAGTCTATTATTACAAAATAAATTAACGTGCTTTCATTGAACAATAAGTTAATCATATTTTACCGTATAAATTGCTTCATTGTGCTACACGTTTGCAATCAATTTAATACATGGAGATTTTTTCGATTTCTTTGTGAGTTTGGCTGTTACCGGTTAAGCAGATCTGACATAACACATCACCACACGCGATGTAAGAACTTTCACCGAGCTCGAGACTCCATAGTGATGATAATATTGTTCGCCATCCTCGTTAGACGCGAGGCCTTGACTCAGTTCTACGCTTTTTTGTCCCATAACGTAATTACGCAACTGAGCGGTGTACTTTCGCCGTAAAAATGGCGAATTTAATTCTTTACTTTATACCAAAGGTTATATCACTATTGATCAAGAATTTCGTATCGCAAAAGCTGATGCTTAATAGCGTATCATGAAATCGTATTTCACGGGCGAGAAAATCGGATTGAAGGATTTTAATGTTTCAAAAAGCAAACGACGCGTATTTTAATGGAGAATATGTAGAAATTCTAAAAATATTGAAAAAGCTGTTCGTTAAAACTCCATAAAAATGGTCCAATTTTCAAACAGCCATATCTCCTACAATAATGAATATATTTCAATGAAACTTTTTTCTGGACTAGAGCTCACGGATACCTACAAAAAAGTATTAGACAACTTTTCTGTAGGGCGTCAAACAAAATTATTAAAAATGGAAAACGGGGGTAGGTGTCTAAATTTTTTGGCGAAAAAAAAAATTTCAAATCGTTCTGGAAAAATTATTTTCAGTTGAGGGCGTCACTTACATTCATTTTTGGTGAATAGACACACCCTCGAAATCCTACGCACTTTCAAGAAAAAAATTCGATTAGGTGGACAAATTTTTCGACAAAATTAAAAATTTTAAATTGTTGTGGAAAAATTATTTTTGATTGCGGGGGTCAATTACAATCATTTTTTGTGAATACACATACCCCCGAAATCCTACGTACTTTCGAGAAAAAAATTCTTTACCGAAAATATACTGTGTGGCCGGAAATGTTTCTCTAACTTTTTAACGAAGCCTCAATCAACAAATTAGTATCCTTGATTTTCGTTTTATTTTGGCCTCTAGAATCTCCCATTAAAATTTTTTTGTGGGTGGCCGAACACTCTATATGTATATCATAGATCCAGGAGCGATCAATTTTATTGGTGTCAGGTGCCGAAAGAAATTTGTATTCAATATATGCAATGGAATACAAAAGTTGTAGACACGTTATTTTGACGATTTAGAAAAAATTAATATAGTCAATTCAGATAATCGGAGTGGTTTCTTTGATTTGTGGAAGTAAAAAAAGGTTATAGAGTCATCGAAAAATGTCACCGAGCTGTAATTGCAATTTTGAAGTGTTTATTTCTCTGTTATTAAAATGTTAAGTAAGAATTTTGTCTAAATTGGCTAAATTTTGGGAACCCGTTGAAAAGTGAAATTTGTTTCTTAATGGAACTCAAAGTATTGCCATAGACACGTATAAAGGTGATACTTTCTAATTTACAAATATGTACAAATCAAGAGGGCACGTTTCTCAGCCCTGGGCCTCGAAGACCTTAATTTGACCCTGGTAATTACACTTTCTCTGTACATATCGCGTGAAGTATCATAAGTTAAAAATCTTTTATATGATGACATAGCTATTAAATACTCGTAATGTATATTTAAGAAAGTGGATTGTTATCATTTTTGTGACTTAATAATCAGACATTTTTCGTTGATATTCGAATTCCTCCAGTATTTAACATTGCTCGTAGTATTCACCTTTCTCTCAAATACTTTCCTGTAGAAATTAGGCCAAGAATAATTCCTCTAAACAGAAAAAGGTTCACGTAACAAACCTGTTTACACATACGCGAGTACTTCAAATGCTTTTTCTTCGTAGTTACATAATGTAGGTTTTCCGTTTGGCTTTTCTATAAATTAAACTAGAAAATTCTGTATAAAATACTTCGAATGTATAAAAGCATTTTCATAGAAAAGGAATTTTAATAAACTTTGGAGTTAAAAAATTCTTCAGTTTGATCGACTACAACGGATTATACAAATACCAAAGTTTCGATAACATTTTTACCATTTGACTCGTCGCTTATATTTTCAAAAAAGAAAATGGGAAAATGTTATTAAAGTACATAGTCGAAACGTTATTTTGTATTTTATCGATTTAAACAATTTTCAAGTAAGATTAAATAATTGTCACCTAAAATGAAATATATAGAACTTCATTTACAGTTTATAATTTAGTTTTGGTATTCAGCCGATTTTACCTTTGTCACTTAAATTACTGTTAAATCATTGAAAGACTTTTTGAAAATCGCGCGAATCACTTACCGCCGAGTTGAAAATTTCTTCCAGCCGATCATTCGGGTCTTTTCCCTTCTTTGGTCTGACGAGCACGTAAATTTGTTCCGTATTTGACAGACATCGAAGAAATTTCTCGATGATAACTTTTCCTAAAAATCCGGTACCACCGGTGATCAAAATATTTTGATCCTTGAACGTCAGTGCTATTCTGTCTGGAATCTCCACCTCCATATTTGTTTCCACTTTTGTTACTGTCATGGACTCTTGCCCAACTTTATGAAACTAAAAAAGTGACACCTTTTAGTTTACTCCAGTTGTAGCTCATTTGTGAATAATTTGTACCGGGCATAACGATTATATGTATACAGGGTGTTCGACCAACCCTGGGAAAAATTGTAATGGGAGATTCTAGAGGTCAGAATAAGACGAAAATCAAGAATACCAATTTGTCGATTGAGGCTTCGTTAAAAAGTTATTAACGTTTGAAGTTTGAAGCACGCAGCTGTTCGCAGATTGCCGTTCTACAGGCGGAACTTTAAACGTTAATAACTTTTTAACGAGGCCTCAATCAACGAATTGGTATTCTTGATTTTCGTCTTATTTTGGCCTCTAGAATCTCCCATTAAAATTTTTCCCAGGGTTGGCCAAACACCCTGTATACACAATACATAGCTTCTTAATACAGAAATTATTTTGATAGTTTTCTATTACTCCCGATTTTATGAAAAATAATGTCTTCATTACCACTTTTATATTTAAAGATATTTTACTTAACGTCTCATAAATATTGATTCCCTCAGTCATCGAAAATTATCGTCGACTGGTTTTACATTTGCCACAATAGGCGTGTGTATTAATTTATTAATTTGCTGCGTAACTTGTTATATAATTTCTACAATGTTCCAGATTGCAAGAAACTTACTCGGGAATTTCGAAATATTTGAAAATTGCTTTCCAGAGATACGAAAATGGAAATTTCTTTAAAAATCTCACAAATCTTCGAGCACAATCATTATCATAGACGGACATGAATATGTAAATGAATCTCGTAAATTCTCGAGCGCAATCATTGAATTAGACACACATCAATATATAAATATTATATTTTTTTTAAATAAATGCGACAATGCTTTCGTTAGTCGTCATTTGTATATCACAATAGAGATTTATCTTTCTTATATTATTATAGATATGATTTTCTAATTCGGTAAATGACACTCGTTGTATTTATGAATTTAAATGAAATTCGTAGTTTCGAAAGACATACATACTTTCAAAAACCATTCGTTTCTTTTTTTTTCAAACATTCATAATTCATTTGATGATATTTCGTACATCGAGGAATTTAAATCAAAATTACAACACCTGTTAAACAGTGCCTTGCATTCTTTTGATGTTGATCGAGTCTATTTTTGTAGGAAGTAACCAAAATATTTGACACGATCTATGAAAGTAGTACGGATGTTGAACAGTTTGGATTCGCGTAGTTGATGAGAACGTCGAGATAATTGTTGTCGCTAATTGCTCGAACGCGAATAGTATCAGTATCGCGATTAAAGCGGAGAACGGTCGAGGTCCAGCCGAGGCAAACGCAATGATGCAGACAGACGTTGCAATTTACGATGTTTTCTCCGTTTATTTGTAGCACTGTTCGCCAATGTACGCGAATCTCGTCAGTGTACGCAAAAGGAAAAAAAAAGAATGCGTCGAGGTATGCACTTTGCATATCAAGGAAACACTTTTAAGGCTTTCCGTACAAAGTGTGCATGTACAGCATGACTGTTCTTCGCAAACGACCTCAAAAATGTACGTGTATTGCATTTCAACTTGCACGATGCAAGTAAACGGGGATACAGACATACAAGAGTAACTATAAATTTATCAAGTTGTTAATGGAAACAGCTGACGTTCAAAATATAGTTAATATACAGTATGCGTTTATTTTCAGAAATCTATTCGAATTAAACTTGGTACTGAAATAAAAATGTCCAGGTAATGTTCAGGATAAACATTATACTATAATAGTATAATAATATAACCTTGATGCATCTAAACGATAGTTAGACTCAATAAATTTGTAACACGTAAAAATAGAAAACAATATAAAGAAATAACATGTTCGCTTACTTTTGTGTAATTACATAAATTTCGCAAATTGTTCAAGTCAAATAGTCATTGGTTAGGACTGACTATTACAAACGGTCGATAATTTAACTGCAGATGGTAAAACAATCTAATTGGAAATTAGAAATTATTGTACGTTGTAATTTTTATTAATAATTCGAATTGGAATCATTAACGCGTTGGCTGTCATGGTGGTCGCTGGTAACCGGCATTTTAAATTTATAACGTAGTGCAATATTGTTTACAATAGTAAAAATAGTGAAATTGTAACTCTACTTTAATTAGGAATGCTGTAAAATAACAGGTACACCATTATTGATTAGTTCTATGTTTCACACTATAATCTGAACAAATGTCAAGGGCTTACTGCATAATAGTAAATGTGTTATTGAAAGATATTAGAACCATTATAAATTTTATTGTTGAGAAGATAGATATACATACATATAGAAACATTGCAAAAAGTATAAAGTTTTTATTGGATTGTATTTTCTATTAGATAAGATCGATTTTTTTATTTACGTTTATCAAATTATCTAAGAACAAAGAAATATGTAAACGGAAAAAGGTTCCAATTTTTGCTTTAAAACAAGTATTTATACTACAGGTACAAAAGAGGAATATTGTAGAAAACAATAATGTTCATAATTAAACATGGCTGTAAAATTAAGCTTTCCTAACAAGTAGCATTTTTGTGTTTAACTCGAATACTAAATATTTATAATTGTGGAAAAGTAGAAACATTTAATTTACGTATGCCATTAATTTTTCACTCAAGAGTAAGCCGCAAAAGCCGCAAATTGGGGTTTAACAGTCAGCAGTCTATTATTTTTTATTAAACGTCACAATTTTTTAATGTGGTCGCAAAGCTCAATTCAGAGATAGATAAAATTCTTATTTAAATACAAACTTTCGAGTATTTAAAATAATAAAATGTTATTTAGTTAAATAAGTAATATAGTAAGTATTATAATAGTTGAATAAAAATACAAATTGCAATTATAAACAGAAATATTTTACAATGAACCCATAAAAATTTAACTGTTCGATCGAATCGTTGCTCTTATTAGTTATCTGTTATTCAAATAAAATTTTACCGATCTCTTGCTTAAACTTTAATATTCCAGAAACTTTTTAATCAGTTTTATTACAAACAAATTGAAGAAATTAAATTTAATTTCAATACTTTGACTCGAGTTCGAGTGATTTTTAGTCTGAAAACAAAACTAAGAAAATACGTATCATATAAACGTATAAAATATATTATATGAAAATGTAAAGATAACCTTTAATAAGTTTTTTAATAATAGTTCATAGTGTACAATTTAAATTTCTTGCATACTTGTACTTTTTTTTCTTGTATACTTCATTACATCAACACTTTTTTATGGGTATTCGTAAGGTAAATAATTCAGTGTTCCATTTACCTTTAATTTTTATAAATAAATAACTCGAACTTAAATTTAATTTCCTTAATTTGCTTGTACGACTGAATTAAAAAATCTATTTTTTTTTTAACGTCTGTGACATGTTTTCTCACGTTACACAATTTTAGAGAGATTTTCAAGAATGTATTAAAATTAATTAGGAGACTGAGAATAGTTTTCAAAATAATAGAAATCTTTTTATGGGATAGAATCTATTTATAAGAAAAAATGTTACGGTCAAGAAAATATTGCGTGTGTATGTTGCAACAATTTTTACGGGAATACGAGGAACGTAATATAGCGTTGACAAAGAAACGCGAATGACAGTAGCATAACTCGAGATATTGTAAGAGATCTTTGCGATAGGAGAGTAGTAGGTCACTTTTACTTTACTTCTTATCCCCATCGTATTTCACGTGTAAATTCTCAACATTTCGAAATTTCACGTTTTCGACACTACTATTTGAAGGATGAAATAATTTTTTTAATTCATAACTGTTAATTAATTTTTTGAGGAAGCAATTTTCCCTTGCAAATTCTTAAATACTCTTTTTTTAGTTTACTGTTTATCAACACTAGAACTACCAAAGTGGTCAAAATGATCCATTCGTAGTTTCTAATAAAAATTGTGAAAGAGTTATTCAACTGGATTTTCGAAAATTTATCGTAACTTTTTATAAGAAAATGAATAAACATTTATTTCTTTTTAGTACAAAAAAGTTTTAATTTCTTTTGGTACAAATAAATACACTATAGTTGTCGGTAGTTCTAGTGTTAAAGTGGTGTGCACGATATTTTAGAAACTAACCGACATCGAATTTCGATATCATCGAAGGAAACACTTTTACGCGGATATTGAAACTGGATAAAATTCAAAAATTAGAAAATGTAGCTTTATACAAAAATTCAAGAACGTTACAAAATGGTCATCGAATTAAAAGTTTTCCTTTCAAGCGTGTGTCGTTTTGAAAAATTTTACTTTTTTCTCATAATAAATTCAGTGTTTCAAGAATCTCGTATATGATATAATTCAACGTCAGTTCAGGGCATTTTTCGAAACGTGAAAGTGCACGTAATGAAGCCACGTTTTTTCTCATCGTGTTATGCATCGGAGCGTACAGATACCATTATAGGTAGCTCTTTTTCTTGTATAAAAATTATAGAACCTTGTTAAGTAACCGACAAAACCAGTTGAAAACTTCAAGGAAGGTCTGGTTTATACTTTCTCTAAAGAAAACCACAAACATGACCCATTTTTTGAAGAGTTAAAATAAGAGAACTATTCAATGTTTACATTAGGTACTCAGTATAGAGTATTTAATACTTGGTATTTGATATTCAGTATTCGGTATTTATCTAGCAATACTTATATTCAATATTACGTTGAGCATTTGTCTATTAGTTTAATACCAAACAATATATTGAATCATCGTATTATATATCGGAAAATCCTGGTTACTATTACGTTAATCTATTGCTTCAATTAGAAAGTTTGGTGTTCCTAATTCTAAATAATTTGTCATGCATTTTACAAAAGACAATTTTGTGAACCGAACGTCAAAATTAATTATCGTAATTGTAAATTTATTTAAATATTGGAACGCGCGTTGTACGCATTTTTAAGTATTCGAAACGAGTATTTGTTAGAAAACTACTTGTTTCCAAAGCTTTCTTGTGGTAACATGAAACTGGTTTACAGCGAGTAACTTCGATTCGAAAATAGTATTTATACATATTATACGCATCAAAGCAAGTAAATCAACTGGTAAATTGAAAAGTATGACAATGTTGCAAACACTGAAAAATTCAGATATGCCGCACTTGAAACACTTGCTCGATAAAATGAGATTTTCTCGCGACACATATTGTTCGAAACACAAATTGCAAAGATGTATTTAAACGATACGAAATTAACACATAGTGTTCAAGATACGTCGAACACACGAGTATGATTCGAGAAGTAAATGTTCACAAAGAGATTAAAAAGGAAAATAATAAAAATTGGTTGGAGCGTAAACACTTACAAGATTGAAGAAAATCCTTCTTCCTTCGTTTTATCCGAAATGCAAAATCACTACTGGCAGATACGGCCAAAGAAAGCACGACTGTTAGTAACAGTGACCGGCTAGAGACTATCGTTCTTGCTCCGATGGTGAGCCTGTTACAAACTGAGAAAGCATAACGCTAGCCCAATATTTTCCTGGACGATCATCGTCACCGGTGCAGGTCCGTATACCTTGCTCCGTCTGATTCATGTCTCCCCCCACTCGTACTTTAAAGAATCCCCCCGTCTTTTAATTTCGATACAGCATACATTTTTAAGGATTTATCCAAGTATTATATATTATAACAAAGTATAATTGCTAGTGAGTTTATAAATTTTTGTATTTGTCTATTTGGCTCATGTTTCTCCCACTCGAGTAAAAAAAGAATTGCTTCTCGCTTGTAATTTTAACGAAGTAAACATTTTGAAGAATGTATGGAAGTAGAGCTCATGGACACCTACAAAAAAATACTAAACAAAATTTCCGTAGGATGTCAAAAAAATTTATTAAAAATGAAAAACGAATTTTTAGGAAAAATTGACAGGGGGTAGCGGCTGCCATTTTTCGACGAAAAAAAAATTTCAATTCGTTCTAAAAAAAATTATTTTTGGTTGCAAGGGTCAATTACAATAATTTTTGGTCAATAGACACACCCCCGAAATCCTACTCAGTTTCGAGAAAAAAATTCTTTACCGAAAATATCATTTCTGGCCAGAAATGTCAGTCCGAATGTTCATGCGAATCTTTAAAACATCATAACTTCTAAACGGATTGAAGGATTTTAATGTTTCAAAAAGCAAACGACGCGTATTTTAATGGAGAATATGTAGAGGTTCTAAAAATATTGAAAAAGTTGTTCGTTGACACCGTAAAGTTAGAAAAACTCCATAAAAATGGTCCAATTTTCAAACAGCCATATCTCCTACAATAATGAATATATTTTAATGAAACTTTTTTCTGAACTAGAGCTCATGGATACCTACAAAAAAGTATTAGACAATATTTCCATAGCGCGTCAAACAAAATTACAAAAATGAAAAACGAATTTTTAAGAAAAATCGACAGGGGGTGCTGTCTAAATTTTTCGACGAAATTGAAAACTTTCAAATCATTCTGAAAAAATTATTTTTAGTTGGTCAATACACATACCTGCGAAATCCTACCCACTTTCGGGGAAAAAATTCGAGAAGGTGTGAAATTTTTCGAGAAAATTAAAAAATTTCAAATCGTTCTAAAAAAATTATTTTCACTTGCAAGGGTCAATTACAATTATTTTTGGTCAAAAGACATATCCTCGAAATTCTACACATTTTCGAGAAAAAAAATCATTACTGAAAATATAATCTGAGGCCAAAAATTTTCATGCGAATCTTTAAAATGTCATAACTCCTGAACGGATTGGAGGATTTTAATGTTTCGAAAAACAAACTACGCGTATTTTGACGGAGAATATTTGGAAATTCCAAAAATATTCGAAAAGTTATTTCTTGACCCCTTAAAGTGAGAAAAACTCCATGAAAGTGGCCTAATCTTTAAACGTCCATAACTTCTGCCATAGTGAATGTACCTCAATGAAATTTAGTATGGAAGTAGAGCTCATGGATATCTATAAAAAAGTTCTAAATAAAATTTCCGTAGGATGTCAAACAAATTTATTAAAAATAAAGAACGAATTTAAAAAGAATTGCAGCTGACATTTTTCGACGAAAAAAAAAATTTCAAATCGTTTTAAAAAAATTATTTTCGGTTGCAAGGGTCAATTATAATAATTTTTTGTGAACAGACAGACCCCCGAAATTCTACTCACTTTCCAGAAAAATTCGAAAATCTGTGAAATTTTTCGACAAAATTAAAAAATAACAAATCGTTCTAAAATAATTACTTTCACTTACAAGGGTCAATTACAGTCATTTTTGGTGAATAGACACACCCTGAAATCCTTCGCACGTTCGAGAAAAAAATTCAGGAAGGTGGACAAATTTTTCGACAAAATTAAAAATTTCAAATCGTTCTGGAAAAATTATTTTTGATTGCGGCGGTCAATTACAATCATTTTTAGTGAATACACATACCTCCAAAATCCTACGTGTTTTCGAGGATAAAATTCTTTACCGAAAATATACTGTGTGGCCGGAAATGTTTCTATAACTTTTTAACGAAGCCTCAATGAACAAATTAGTATCCTTGATTTTCGTCTTATTTTGGCCTCTAGAATCTCCCAGTGAAGCTTTTCTCAGGGGTGGCCGAAGACTCTGTATATTATAATAAGATATGATTCACCAATACATATGTTTGTACTTTGCACTTAAATAAATCATTTTCTCGTTGTCTAAAAGACTTATATGTCTACAAAATGAGACATGTTTATTTCATTTCCGTTAGAAATTATATAGCTACTGTTGATCTTCACTCTGCAATTTTAGAAAACTAGTTATAAAATATAAATTTTATTATTGCTTAAAAAAGATCTATAATTCTTTATAACTATACAGGGTGTTCGGCCACCTCTAGCAAAAATTTTAATGAGCGATAGTAGAGGCCAAAATAAGACGAAAATCAAGAATACTAATTTGTTGATGGAAGCTTCGTTAAAAAGTTATTAACAATTAAATTCAAAAATTTCAAATCGTTCTGGAAAAATTATTTTCGGTTGCGGGGGTCAACTGCAATCATTTTTGGTGAGTACACATACCTCCGAAATCCTATCTACTTTCGAGAAAAAAAATCGAGTAGGTGCTGAAATTTTTCGGCGAAAAAAAATTTTTCAAATCGTTTTAAAAAAATTATTTTCGGTTGCGGGGATCAATTACAATCATTTTTTATCATTACACATACCTCCGAAATCGTACGCACTTTCGAGAAAAAAATTCCTTACTGAAAATCCAATTAGGTGCCTAAATTTTTCAACGGAGAAAAAAAATTGCAAATCGTTGTGGAAAAATTATTTTCGGTTGCGGGGGTCAATTACAATCAGTTTTTGTCATTAGACATACCCACGAAATCCTGCCCACTTTCGAGAAAAAAAATAGAGAAGGTGTGAAATTATTCGAGAAAATTAAAAAATTGCAAATCGTTGTGGAAAAATTATTTTCGGTTGTAGGGTTCAATTACAGTCATTTTTGGTGAATAGACATACCCCCGAAATCTTGCGCATTTTCGAGAAAAAAATTCAGTAAGAGCGGCACTTTAAACGTTAATAACTTTTTAACGAAGCTTCCACCAACAAATTAGTATTCTTGATTTTCGTCTTATTTTGGCCTCTACTATCGCACATTAAAATTTTTGCTAGAGGTGGCCGAACACCCTGTATATAGGTTGAAGTGTTTTTAATTCATTTTAGTTAGAAATTATATAACTACTTGTGACTTTTATTTTGCAATTTTGGAAAGTCAGTTATATAATTAATTTATGTGTGAATTATATTTTCATTAGGATTTAGTTTGAGTATAAACGTGTGACCTATTTGAGCTTGGTTTTTAAAGTTACAGGAATTTTTATGTTTTGATATTCTTATTAGCATACTGATAGAGAATAAATTATTTTCACTTTACCATACTTAATTTATGTTTCAATTCATTTAACATTTGCAATTAGAAATTGCTACAATAGAATCACGATAGTTTTAAAGTAACGAGGTTGATCATTCCTGCAAAAATCGAAATTTGTGCAATTATAGAGGTAACAAATCCCCGTTTATGCAATGTATGCTAATTATAGCTCAAAATGGGCCTTTCTGAATTACACTTCAATATTTTAACTCCGTTAAAAAAAAAGTATTCAACTTCATTATTTTCGCACTTTTCTGTTGTCCATTTATTTAAATATAAAGAATTACTAATAATGACTACTATCCTTTCATGTGGCGATGATATATCAGAATGTTTTATGTGTTTTGTTTTCTTTGGGGGGGGGGGAGATCAAACACAAGATCTCTGGCTACGTTACTGGTCACAAGATACTACAATTGCTTCTAATTATCAATATATTGCAATAATCGAGGTTCTACTGTAACAAGACGCATCCATGTTTGCACAGATACGACACATGGTAATTTTTTACGTTTAACCAAAAAGATAAGCAAACGAATCGTGAACACATGGCCACAAAAATCAATTTACCGGAGAGAATTCACTGGAGAACAATTCAGGGAGCATGAATAATTTGTACGTAGCCGCAAGTAATCTTCGAAAGTGGCGTACGTGACAAAAGAGAGCTTATGTAACCAGAGAAACCGATTTATGGGGTTTCACGTGGGCAGCTTAAAAAAGAACTTCAGACGAGTTTTGATATACTTTATATGTATGAACGACGAATGAAATTTTAAATAATCTACCACAAAACTACGTGGTCTTAAATATTATACCACTATAAAGAATTAATGTGCTAAAAAATTCACTTGATAGACGTTGGAATCAGAAATGGAAATTAAAAAGAAATAGGAAGAAATTAAATTTAATAGCGTATCTACATACAATTTGAAACCCGCGAGATTGGATAGTTTTACGTGTATAAAATATAATCCACAACAAGATACATGTTTCGAATACCGAATAAAAGACAAACGACTGTTTATTCGTTACTTGTTGAGTAAAAATTTTAATTTGTATTAGGGAATAAAATATTTTACAATGAACAAATGAGAATTTAACCATTCCATCGTGTAAACATAGCAATTAAATTGATATACGTTGGTTTCGTTCGTAATCTATTATACGAATAAAATTCTGTTCATTTCTGCTCTAAAATATATTTAGTAGGTACCAAATACGAGTATCAATTGCAGAAACATTTGCAAACTGAGGTTCTTAACTATAGTAGTAAAACTAGCAATATTCTCTTTGAACAACTGAACAAGAAACTTCGAATTTTTCCACTAAATGACGAATTGTGAGTTCTATTGGTCGATTCTGTTGACCATAAATCGAACGTTGTTCGAATTGAACAAGAATTTTGATAATACATTTTAATAATTTCAACGCGTTGAACAACTGTGTATCTCTCCATGATGACTTGTAAAACATTATTGAATACAAATATCACGTGACTCGAGCAAGTGAATAATAAATATAGAGGCTATGACAATTGAACATTCTAGCGTTCTTATCGGAAAACTCACCATTCCACATTTTTTTAAACAAATACGATAGCACTAGTTTGTCAACGTTAAAGATGCAGTATAATCGTATATTTTGCTCCTGTCTAAACACACATAGTTGCTTTTTATCGATGGAC